ACATACTCCCCTGTTCCAAAATCATTAAAGACCCTGTTTACAGGACCTTGGGGTGTCTGTTGCTGGTGAGAGGCATACGCCCCCTGGTGCCCCCCAAACCAGTTTCACGGTGGGTCCCATTTCCAACTGCTGGTTAAAAGGGCTTGTGGGGGATTGCAAGAGGGCCACAGAGACACTATGTGAGGACTAGAAGAACTGCAGAAGAACTGAGGCTTCAGAAACACCTGGTGCCGGTGGCTCATGCCTGTAATCCTAGCTACTCAGGAGGCTGAGGATCGCAGTTCAAAGCCAGCCTGGGCAGGAAAGTCCGTGAGACTCTTCAATAAAAACCACCAGAAAACCAGAAGTGGTGCTGTGGCTCAAGTGGTAGAGCGCTGTGGCTCAAATGGTAGAGTGCTTGCTTTGAGCTGAAGAGCTTAGGGACAGCGCCCAAGCCCAGAGTTTAAGCCCCACGACCGACAAAAAAAAAAGAACCCCCTTGCTGGGGTGATAGCGACCAAGCAGGAGGAGCAGTCCCTGCCTGCCCAGCCTTGCGTCCAGCACTTGCTGTGGTCAGAACGAGGGGACAGCAGGTGGCAAAGCAGAACTGGGATTTGCAAGTCTTAGCTACAGCATCACAAAGCAGAGCCTGGAAGGATGGATTTGAAAGCAAGAGACAGTTGCTTAACAGCATTGGTTTCTTCACTCTGAAAACCCTGTGCTGGGGCTGGGAAGGTGGCTCAGTGGTAGAGCACTTGCCTTGCATGCGTGAGGCCCTGGGTTCAATTCCTCAGCACCACATAAGAAAAAAAAAAAAAAAACCCACAAAAACCAGAAGTGGTGCTGTGGCTCAAGTGGTAGAGCACTGGCCTTGAGCTGAAGAGCTGAGGGACAGTGCCCAGGCCCCCCAACCAACAAAAAATAACAACAACAAACAAAAAAACAACCCTGTGCTTCCACATATGCAGAAGGAAGAGCAGGAAGGATGTGCGAAGAAGCCAAGAGACCAGTGAAGGAACAGTGGCATTTAGGAGGAGTCAGAGTCCCAGGTAGTCAGCTAAAACTGTCTCCAAATTTGACAAGCTGAAGTAAAACTTGAGGCAAATATTAATTTAGACTCCAGTGGAACCCCCCCACCCCCCCCCCACACACATAATTTGCAGCTTGAACTCTTGGCCTGGGCACTGTCCCTGAGCTTTTTTTGCTCAAGGCTAGAGCTCGACCATTTGAGCCATAGCACCATTTCTGACTTTTTCTGAGTAGTTTTTGGAAGAGTCTCATAGACTTTCCTGCCCAGGCTGGCTTCAAACTGAGATCCTCACATGTGATTTTTTTGTTTGTTTCTTTGGTATGTTCCTCCCCCGTGGTATAACCCCTGTTTTCACTGTATTTGATGTTGGTGCCCTGCGTCTTGTATATACACTTCTCTAATTTGGGGAGGGGAAGGGAAAAAGCAAAATGCTTAAATAGGGATACAGATTGACCCATTATAACAATGAGATGCACAAAACACTTGTTGAAAATGAACTTTACAACTTGGTGGGGGCGGGGAGGGAGGGAGGAGCCGGGAGGGTGGGAAGGATAGGGATGGTAGGGGAAAAGCAAAGGAGGAGGTAACTGCTCAATAAGAAATGTACTCATTACCTTACTCATGTAACTGTAACCCTTCTGTACACTATTTTTACCATAAAAAATGTTTTAAAAAAAACTGAGATCCTCAGATCTCAGCCTCCTGGAGTAGCTAGATTACAGGCATGAGCCACTGGTGCCTGGCTTATATTTTATTTATATTGTTACTTAGAGATTTTTTTTGGGGGGGGGGTCCGGTCATGGGGCCTGAACTCTGGGCCTGGGCGCTGTCCCTCAGCTCTTCAGCTCAAGGCTAGTGCTCTACCACTTGAGCCACAGCGCCACTTCCCGCTTTTTTCTTTTTGCTTATGTGGTGCTGAGGAATCGAGCCCAGGGTCTCTGGCATGCAAGGCATGCGCTTTACCACTGAGCCACCTTCCCAGCCCCTACTTAGAGATTTTTTGGATAGTACCAAACAAATAGTTGAGGTTGCATAAATAGTGGCAGTTGGTAATCTTGAAGGTTCTGTGGCGATGGATTCAGATACAGAGATCAGCCTGGACCATGGTGTTTGGGACATGAACTGAGAAGGTCGCAGGGCCCACTTCCACCTCCATTGTGCACCTCTGTGTGTTCAGGGAGCTCTCCGCAGTGAAAGCTGTCCTCTGGCTTCCAAAGGCACGCTGGCTTCTCCAAATGCTATAAGGCTAGAAATTCGTTCTAAAAAGTAAATTGGGAAGTTCATGTGTATAGAATGTGCTTAAAAAGAAAACACTGAAGGAAATAGAAGAAAAAAGAAGCACTATTTGGGATTCCAGTGGTCATGAAGAATGGATAGTGAAAACAAGAATAGTTACCTAGCTTTTGAAAAAGACATTGGGGGCTGGGAAGGTGGCTCAGTGGTAGAGCGCTTGTCTTGCATGCATGAGGCCCTGGGTTCGATTCCTCAGCACCACATAAGCAGAAGAAAAGCTGAATGTGGTGCTGTGGCTCAAGTGGTAGAGCGCTAGCCTTGAGCTGAAGAGCTAAGGGACAGCGCCCAGGCCAGAGTTCAGGCCCCCGACCAACAAAAATAAATAAATAAAAATTCAAAAGAAAGAAAGAAATTGGGCTGAAGCTGGGTGCTGGTGGCACACTGTGGCCTGTAATCCTAACTACTCAGGAGGCTGAGATCTGAGGATGGTGGTTCAAAGCCAGCCCGGGCAGGAAAGTCTATGAGACTCTTCAATAAACCACCAGAAAACAGGAAGTAGTGCTGTGGTTCAAGTGGCAGAGTGCTAGCCTTGAGCTGAAGAGCTGAGGGACAGCGCCCGGGTCCAGAGTTCTAACCCCCACTACGGACCAAAAAGAAAGAAATTGGGCTGAGAAACAGAAGAAAAAGGATGGTGACAGTGATAATATTAAATTAAAAGAATAACTAAGATTGCAAAGAAAAAGTAAAAAGAAAACCCACAAAGGAGCCAGGACCAGTAGCAGATAACCAACTTAGTTTCAACAGAGCTTTTGAGGTACGTCTGTATTGTATTAATATGAAAATGTCATTCTTTTCCCTCAAAAAGCTCAAAAGGCCCTCAACTGTGTTCTTTCTTGGTGATACATAAAGCAACAGATGTTTCTCAGGAGATCTTAGACTAATATACTTAAATCTGTTCTTTATAGGAGCTACATTTCATGTAGGTAAACAGGTATACCTTTCAAAAACTAGTCTGGAAAAGAGCCAATAACTGTAGAGTGTTTCCAACATGATAAATCTACTTAGCAGAATTAGGGAGATAATTCTCCTTAAACGACCTCCTTAGTCAACAATTTAATATTTGTACAACTTTTGGATCAACAGCCATGCTGACTCAGAACTTTAATTCCCAGGCTACACATAGGAGGACCATACATTTTATTACTCCAACTGGATACCTTGTAGAGAAAAGGGAGAGCAGCTATTATGCTAGGACAATGGATATAACCGGAAGCTGTCAGGGAAAAGCAGGGGCAGCACGCTTACTCCAGCTACCTATGCTTCCTGGAGATCAATGCACTGAACAAAGATGCTAGATAAACAGAAGTAAAGTATACCATAAAACAATATAGTATAACAAAAAAAACCCTCAGAGATAAACTTCAGTTGCCTTTCCAAACATAGAGATCTTTTTTTTTTTTTGGTGGGGGGAAGAGGGGTATCTGGGCCAAGGCTCTGTCCTGAGCTTTTTGCTCAAGACTAGTACTCTGCCATTTTGAGCCACAGCTCCACTCCTGTTTTTCTGGTGGTTAATTGGAGGTAAAGAGTTTCATGGCCTTTCCTGCCCTGGCTGGCTGTAAACCATGATCCTCAGATCTCAGCCTCCTGACTAGCTAGGATTACAGGCATGAGCCACTGATGCCCTGCTCAACCTTAGAGATCTTGAACTCTCATTTTTTTTTTTTTTTTTTTGGGTCCAGTCGTGGGGCCTGAACTCTGAGCCTGGGCGCTGTCCCTCAGCTCTTCAGCTCAAGGCTAGCGCTACACCACTTGAGCCACAGCACCACTTCCGGCTTTTTTCTTTTTGCTTATGTGGTGCTGAGGAATCGAACCCAGGGCCTCAGGCATGCAAGGCAAGCGCTTTACCACTGAGCCAACTTCCCAGCCCTCATTTTGTTGATAATACAGAAATAAATCCAAGAAAGAGACCCATACAGGGTCCCTTCTGTTTGTATTGAATTTTGCAAAGACTATTCCTTCCATGATGGGGTAATTGAGAAACAAATCGCACTGTGAAAAGTACAAGATTCAAAAATTAAAAAAAGGATGTGTTGTCTCCAGACTGTCACTGTGCTGAGCAAAGAACTCCCCTGAGAGTCAAACACCACAAGCCAGATCGTGTGCAGAATTGTGGTTTGATGTTAAATTAATGGCATGAATTCAACTCTTGGTGGAACTGAGTTGGAAAAGGTTTTAGTGTTGATGGCTCACACCTGTAACCCTAGTTACTCAGGAGGCTGAGATCTGAGGATCATGGTTTATAGCCAGCCAGGGCAGGAAAGGCCATGAAACTCTTACTTCCAATTAACCACCAGAAAAACAGGAGTGGAGCTGTGGCTCAAGTGGTAAAGTGCTAGTCTTCAGCAAAATAGCTTAGGGACATCACCCAGTCCTGAGTTCAAGACTCAGGACTGGCAAAACAAGAAAAAAAAGTCCTAGAAGAACATGTGCAGTATGAGCCCATCTACCTGAGATAAAGGGGTGCATGTGGCTTGGTCTATACAACAGTGGCAATGCTAAAAGGACAGCAGGCATAATTCTCACAGAGTTTAGGTGAGGCAACTGAGGGGTAGCTAAGATCCCTGTGGACTTTATCTGGGGAGTGAGTACATGGGTAGTGCTTTATTGAAAATGTACATTTTGACTTGGAAGGCGGAGGCAGGGAGATGATTTGAGTGCCAGAGTTTAAGGTTAGACCAGCCTATATAATACAATGAGACCCATTTCAAAAACAGTATATTTTATACAATTTTGTCTCTATAATACACACACACACACACACACACACACACACACACACACACACACACACACAAGGAATGGTCCTTATAGTCGGTCTCAAATCCCATAGGACTTGCTGCTAGAGTGCTGTGTTGGTAATGTTTTCAATGCCAGCTTCTTTGGCCATTAAATAAAAGGGACCAGGGTTTTCTAATAGCTCTTCAGGGCTGCCATATTGTACAATCTTCCCGTTGTCTAGGACCATTATCCTGAAACAAAGAAATAAAAGTCTTAGAAAATTACATCTCAACTATTGCCATTTATCAGGATAGCCAGGACTAAGCTGTGGTACAAGGCTACAGTAAGTGGAGAAAAAGAATGAGCCACAACTCCATACAGCAGCACAGACAGACTGCACATATCATACTGAGCATACAAGGCAAGCCACAGGAACACACAGTATGTACCCCCTAATATAAGTTTTCTCCCAAAGCTTATTGTTTAAGAGTGATTAGCTTTAACCAGGCACCTATGGCTCATGCCTGTAACCCTAGTTACTCAGGAGGCTGAGATCTGAGGATCTTTGAAGCCAGCCCACACAGGAAAGTCTGTGAGACTCTTATCTCCAATAAACGACAAAAAAAAAAAAAAAAGCCAGAAGTGGAGCTGTGGCCACACACACACACACACACACACACACACACACACACACACACACACACACACACACACGACTAGCTTTAAAAGGGAACCTTCTTTAAACAGATTTCTAAGGTCACTGAACTTTGAGGGCAAGGTACTAGAGCAGGAAGGAAGCAATGGCTGCTGGTCATTTTACAGAGAAGGAGTTCACACTTCTCAAGGTAGTTGGGAAGGTTTAATAAGGTCCACATCTGACAACTGTAGACTAGATCTCCATCTCCTCAGACTCAGTCATTATAATTTCTTATGATACACTCAAGATGGCTCCCTTGATGTATTAGGTTTCATTAGTTGGGATATATAATTTCAGCTAAATTTCTAGACGTTGCTAGGTGTCAGTTCAATCAGTAAAATGGCGGCACGAGTGGTGAAGCATTTCGCAGGCGGGTCTGCTGCAGGCGGCGCAGGTCACTTACTTGTCGCAGTCCATGATGGTGTGGAGCCTGTGTGCGATGGTGATAACGGTGCAGTGGGAGAACTCGTTTCGGATGGTTGTCTGGATGAGGTGATCTGTCTCCAGGTCCACTGCAGCGGTGGCCTCATCCAGGACCAAAATCTTGGATTTCCGAAGCAGAGCCCTGCCCAGGCACAGGAGCTGCCTCTGTCCTATACTGTAGCCAATAGAGGAAGCCATGGATTAACTTCCAAGGATCAAGGAAAAAGCCTGGTACACGGGACAGTTTCATGTGCCAGATCAGACTTGGGAATTCTCCTTCCAAAATGTCCCACTTCACTTCTTACTGTTGTGGGAAACAGTTTTCAAACTTGCCCAATGAGAAGATTAGGGGTGTGTGTGTGTGTGTGTGTGTGTGTGTGTGTGTGTGTGTGTGTGTGTGTGTGTGTGTGTGTGTGTGTGTGTGTGTGTGTGTGTGTGTGTGTGTGTGTGTGTGTGTGTGTGTGTGTGTGTGTGTGTGTGTGTGTGTGTGTGTGTGTGTGTGTGTGTGTGTGTGTGTGTGTGTGTGTGTGCGCGCGCGTACTGAGCATTGTCCCTGAGTTTCTTTTGCTCAAAGCTAGCACTCTGCCATCTGAGCCTCAGCTGTACTTCTGGCTTTTATGGTAGTTAGTTGGAGATAAGATTCTCACGAACTTTCTTGCCCAGGCTGGCTTTGAATCTCAGTCCTCAGATCTCAGCCTCCTGAGTAGCTAGTATTACAGGCATGAGCCACCAGAGCCCAGCAAAGTACAAATGCTTAATAAAAAATATCCCTGGTTTGGGGCTTAACCGTACTGTTAGTACGGGGAAGCTGTCTGGGAACGTGTACTTTTTAATGAGCACATCAGTAATTTTCATCTTTAAACAAGTTTGGAAAAAATTGGTCCAGGAACAGTGCTTTCACTTGGTGACAATGAGGGTAAGAATTTCAAAACGACACAAATGCTACCCAAAGTTACTGCGGTAGTATCTGACCTGACACCATTAATACAGGGTGGCATCACACTGGAATGCCCCAGTGGCATTTCTTTGTGGTCTAAGTAAATACATTCATTATTTTAATGTGCAATTCTAGTCTCAAGGCTAATTATTTGTTCAAGGCCTTCTGCCTCGATTAGAGACAAAGCTATCTAATGAGCATGATGTCTTGGTGTGAGATGCAATGTATGTGGAATTCGAATATGCTTGTAAAATGCAAATAGCTTAATTTGCTAAAAGCCTGTAATGAAGGCCGGACCTCTTACTTACATAAAGAAGCCTTGGGAAATGATGTGAAGGAAATATTCTGGAATTTGCTAATTGTTCTTTCCTGCTGTGGCCATTAGGGATCATATTAAACAGAGGGTGGCTAAACTAAAGTTCTGTAATTTCCTGTAAGAAAATTTCTGCAGGAGATGAGAAGTCACCCAAGATGAACTTCCAGAATTTGTGTAATGCAAGAACGTAGAAACTACAGAACGATTTACTTAGCTTCTACCAAACTCCTGCCTGTTTCTTTTTTTTTAGACTTCACAGTAACAGGCTGGGAAGCCACTTTGGCTTTCAAGCACTCTGTCCATCATTGATCAGAGATATTCAAGTTTTGTTTAGTTATGTTTTCTTTTCTGACATATTTAAGTTTTAATCTTCCAAACCAAGTCAGTGCCACCGAAACAAAACAAATTAAAATCTGCTGATTAGCAGCAGGCTTTGTCTAAGGGCTCAGCTTCATTATGAGAAGGGAAAAAATATTATAGAGAAAATGTCAGGCACACATCAGAATGGGCAAGTGAATGTATGGTGAAGGCCAGAAGTGAAATGTCAACATACATGAAAATACGTTGAAAAGGCAAGATTTGTGTAATCTGAGTCTTTGTATTAATTTGTTTCACCAGTATCTATGGACTTTGCAGACACCACATCTCTATCATCTGCATGCCCTGTAGATCAGTCGTTCCCAAACTGGAGTTCCCTTTGCAGCCCATCAGGATCCGCATGCCCAGTCTGTGCCTTAGACCTAGACCAGGTATCAGGACTTTAGCTGTGCACAGCCAAGTTGAGAATCTCAGCTTTGTACGATTCTCTATAATACTGGTATTTGCAAGCTCACATTGTGTCATGCCACATGATACAATGTCACATCTAATTACAAAGGTTTTCAAGAGCTCCTCCTATGTACTTTCATAGCTACTTTATCATATGATCTTTACAAGGATTCATCTTATACATTAGGAATTAGATATGCAGAGTGAAAATTCCATAGTGCCAGGTATCACCTCACACAGGAACAGAAGGATGTGCCTTATATCCTCTCCTTGCCTGTGGGGGAAGCTGGCTGTAAGACATTACCTACCTCAGGTTGTCACCTGCCTCTGCCACTTCATGGGACAACCCAAGAGTCAGTCCAGCTACAAAGGATTTGAGATGAGCCAACTCCAGAGCCTTCCAAATCTCTTCATCTGAATAGGTGTTGAAAGGGTCTAGATTCATCCTCAGACTTCCAGAGAAAAGGATGGGGTCCTGCAAGTCGAGGGATAAGGGATCTCAGTTGATGGCAGCAGGGGACCCGGTGGCTCTTTGTAGCCAGGAGAAATTGGGTAGGTCTGGCCTGAGACAGACTTTCTGGGCAGGATGCTGGTCCCAGGTGAATTTATGCAAGTCCCCTGAAGGCCTGGAGTGGCTCTCAGTTAGAAGATCCCTTCCTCCAAACGAGATGGAAGGATCAGAGGAGGGTAGAAGAAGGCATAATGCAGTCACCTGAGAAAAATTGATTATGCTTCGGCCATTGAAAAGAGTGTATCAAACTAAGCAAACACTAGACAAACCAAAATTACCCCGAGAGAAACTTAACTACAGTGATGGTTCTAATGAAGAGCCACACACTGACAACATGGAGAGGCCTACTGAGCAAACCTTATTTGGTACTGGAGAAAAGAGTCCACAAGGAAGTCATTCTTGCTGATACACTAAATGTATCGCTTGCTGGCAAAACCCTGCAGCAAATTCCCTGCTCTATCTTTTAATCATATCAAATGGGGAGTATAAAGCTTAATAGCTTCAAGCTTCAGCAGCAAAACTGCTAATGCTGATTGCCAAGGTCTTGTAAACTACAGTGGGCTAAATAATCATCTGCTGTTTGACTTCTGTTGTGTTGCTGCCACCTACTGGTCAGATACTAGTAGTCACAAATGTATGTTACAAGGCAAAACAGGGTGGGTGGTCTTTAGTATCCTAGATTGCAGACACTATAGTCCTAAGTGAATAATATCAATGTTTTTCATGCAGAACAATCTGCTCCACTGTGTGTCCAAGTAAGTTCCAGAGTTTACCTGGGGGATGATGGTCAGCTTCCCTCGAAGGTCATGGAGCCCGATGGAAGCAATATCGATGCCATCAATGGTGATCTGGCCCCCTGCAGGCTCTAAGATTCTGAAGAGGCAGTTTGTAAGAGATGACTTCCCAGCTCCAGTCCTGCCCACCACTCCAATCTGTGAAGAGAGTGCCTTTGCTTGTTAGTTCAACATGTATTTCCTGGGGTAGGGGGTGGGGAGAGGGAGGGATGTTTAGTCTGGACATCCACAATCACAAATGGTAGAAGGCAGCAACTGGTTACTACCTCTCTAAGCCATTAAATGACTTTTGGTTTTGGTGGGAGAAAAAGGTCCAGATGTCAGAAGAAAATGACTCTCCCATGCCAATCTCCTATATCGCTACTTGCTAACAACTAAGGCAGTGACCGTTAGAAACAGAGACATGCTCCCAGTAACTACTGCTGTATATCTATAATTGAAAATTATAAGCTCTTAAGAAAATCTTTTCTAAAAGTGAGAAGAAGAGGAGGATAGGTTTGCTATCAGCTGAGAATCAGACATTGATTTGGACTTCAGCATTGTCTCCCAGATTTTTTCCCCCAACATTAGACTCTAAATGCTTAGAGAACAAGAGCACCCTAGGAGGGAGTCCAGTTGAAAAGAGCAGGAGGAAAAGTAGTTTTTTCTTTTTTTCTTTCTTTCTTTTTTTTTTTTGTCGGTCATGGGCCTTGAACTCTGAGCCTGAGCGTTGTCCCTCAGCTCTTCAGCTCAAGGCTAGCGCTCTACCACTTAAGCTACAGAGCCACTTCCGGTTTTCTAGTGGTTTATTGGAGATATGAGTTTCACGGACTTTCCTGCCCCGGCTGGCTTTGAACTGCGATCCTCAGATCTCAGCCTCCTGAGTAGCTAGGATTACAGGCGTGAACCACCGGCGCCAGGCTGTCCACAGCAGTTCTTTCCCTAGGTCCTACACATGCTGCTGTGCCCTCACAGGAAATGGAGCCCTGGTGGACAGGCTGGGGGGACAGGATTCACTTGCTGATATCCTGCCCTCTGGTGGTGGTGCTGTATCCTTACATTTCTCCAGAGCCAAGAAAGTGATTAGTCTCTGTCTCCCTCCACCCAAATGATGAAAGCCTAGAGTCCAGCTATTCATTCTGTCTCCAGTTGTCCTCTGATCACAAGCCCTAACAGACCACCAATTTTCACCCCACCTACCTTCTCTGTGCTCTTGATGGCACAAGTGATCCCTTTCAGTACCAGATCCAGCTCAGGCCGGTACCGAACTTGGTAGTTATTAAACTGGATTTCACCTTTGCTGGGCCAGTCTGGTGGAGGCCTCCTATCAGTCACCCAGGGTGCCTGGCAAGGGGACAGGGTGAAAAGTGCTTTACATAATAGCAACTGAGCCGAACAGCCATCAAGGGATCCATTCCACAAAACAGGAGACAGTTAGCAGCATTACAGCTACTTGAACTGCCTTATTCAAGAAATCCTATCTTATCAGGTTGCTGTGTGGATCTCCAGAAGGAAACTATGAATAATTTATTTATTTATTTGTTTGTTTGTTTGTTTTGGTCCAGTCGTGGGGCCTAAACTCTGGGCCTGGGCGCTGTCCCTCAGCTCTTCAGCTCAAGGCTAGCGCTCTACCACTTGAGCCACAGTGCCACTTCTGTTTTTTTCTTTTTTGCTTATGTGGTGCTGAGGAATTGAACCCAGGGCCTCATGCATGCAAGGCAAGCGCTCTACCACTGAGCCACCTTCCCAGCCCTGAATAATTTATTTAAATAAATATTTAACTTCTTAAATGCCAGGATTGACTTGCCCCAAACCATTTCTTATTCTGAGTTGAAGAAATTAGGTCCTTTAAATTAGAGCAAAGGAAACTTTAAAAAGAACACTAGGAAGCTGGACACCTATAATCCTAGCTACTCAGAAGGCTGAGATCTGAAGATTGAAATTCAAAACCAAACAGGACAGGACTGTCCATAAGATTCTATCTCCACTAAAAACTACCTAAATGCCAGAAATAGAGCTGTGGTTCAAGTGGTAGAGCATTAGCTTTGAGCAAAAAGAGCTCAAGAACAGTGCCCGGGCACTGAGTTCAAGCTCCAGGATGGCAAAAAAAAAAACATTATGACCCACATGAGTTATGGAGAAATGATGAAGATGCCCTCTCAAATGAGGTCCTTATTCCTGCATTTCCTCCTTACCTCATTTTCCACATTAATGTACTCAGTTATTCGTTCAACAGACACGATGTTGGTCTCTATTTCAGATGTCATCCTCACGAGCCAGTTGAGGGTTTGTGTGATCTACAGAAACACCACAAAATTAAAAGTCATCTCTGATTCAGAAACCAAGTTGATTAGTCCCACCACCAGGTCACAGTACTTTTATATTCAGCACTGGAGGTTCCACAAGAGAGAAAGGAAAAGTATAAGAAAGATAATCTTTATTTCCTTAGATTAGGGAAAATAAGAGCAGTGCATTGAATGGCTGGAGAACAATGAAATGCTCAGCTATCTGGTGGTCACATGAAGGTCAATGTGAAGGTTAAATAGTTTAGGCTTGGAAAGGCTGGATTTAGGTGGAATGGGATAGGAGTATCTGTCTCTAAGCCCAGTGTGTTTTTGTGGAGGGAGTTAAGAATGACATCCTACAAACAAGAAAGAGAATGAGAAGACATAGAACAGAAAAGAACCTTTCAAAATGATCTGTGATCTCATGCAAAAAGGCAAAGAGGATCATGATTGGAAGCCAAGAGACTCCAATTAACTACCAAAAAGCCAGAAATAGAGGTGTGGCTCAAGAGGTAAAGCATCAGCCTTGACAGAAAAGCTGAGACAGCACTCAGGCACACATGCACACATGCACACACAGACACACACGCACACACAGACACACACAAGAAATTTAAGAAGAAACATGAAATTACGTTCTTCAGGCTTAAAGGAAACATATTTAAATCTTTTTTCTCCAGATTACACTGTTGCCTACTTAAACAGGGTAGGTGAAAGATGGAATTGGAGTTTGAACCTCCCTCTGGATCTAGAAAGGAATCAAAAGCATGGTCTTATAGTACATTCTACCCCCAGATTAAGAATAAGGATATTCATCTAGCTGAACTCCCAAACTCAGACTTACATTGAGGGCATTGGACAGAACAAACCCCACAGTGTCTCCACTTAGGGTACTTTTATAAATAACCAGCAGCAAGCCTGAACAGAAGACGATCATGTTCCCAACAAACTCCAGGCGAATTGCAAGCCACCTGTAGGGTGAGAGGACCAGAGAAAGAAGCAGCACTGATCTTTACCTCTTCACTGTAACCAAGAATCTTGGAGCTCATAACAGTTTACAGGAGTTGGAGTTGGAGTGGTTGTACTCCTAGGGGATTGCCTCAATTTTATTTAGGAACATGAAAGTATGTTCCTAAAGGTTTATTAAATTATTATTATTATTATTATGGTCATTTGTGGGGCTTGAACTTAGGGCCCAGGCACTGTCCCTGAGCTTTTTTTTTACTCAAAGCTAGAGCTCTATCATTTAGAGTCACAGCTCTACTTCTGGTTTTCTGGTGGTTAACTGGAGATAACAGTCTTACAGACTTTCCTTCCTAGGCTGTCTTTAAACTGTGATGCTCAGATCTCAGCCTCCTGAGTAGCTAGAATTATAGTCTTGTGCCGCCAGTACCCAGCTTAAATTCTTTTTTTTTTTTTTAAAGAAAATATATTACATTTTGAAGGCATATATACTAATCTTAGGGAATGATAACATTTATTATTTGCCAAAGTTGTCAAACTAAAAGAATCATCGAGGGCAAAAGCATGTTACAAATTAATGTAAAAAAATCCCTTTTCCTTCTTATAAAACATCATATATCTTTGTAATCAAATCTATAGCCTCTCAAGGTTCCAAATAATACTGAAAATCATTAGTCTGCCCATAATACCTTAAGACATTCTGGAAGCTACTCAACAATTTTCCCTTCCTAAAATGACCTTTCTCCTTCAAGGACATATCACTGCTTGCCAGGGTCTAATGATTCTCACCCTACTCAGAGACTCAGCTCATAGAATATGAGCTTTCTATTTTGGTTTTCAGTGGTTTTTACCCATTTCCAATGTTTTGGATTTTTTTTGCTGGTTAGAGATTAGAGTCTCTCAGATTTGTTTGCCCAGGGTGACTTTCAAACACTATCCTCAGATCTCAGCCTCCTGAGTAGGATTATAGATGTGAGCCATTGGTACTTCTGGCTTACCTTTGTTTTTAGACAAAGAAACTGAGCGTTTTTCTTACAAAAGTCAAGGCAGAACTGGCTGAGAGCTAGTCTTTTATTTCAAGCCTCATGCTTTCTTCTCTCTACTTACATAGCATGACAAATGTCTGTGGGCCAAATTAGTTTTACATACCTGACCTCCAGTGGCTGGTGTCAAGCATGCAGAACCCCGAAGCTTGTATTTGAGTAAACACTCAGCCTGAGCCTTACCTGTTGGAGGTGATCCAAGAAAAGACACATTTCTGGTTGGTGTCAATCCCCATCTCACTGCGTGCTAGAAATCGCGGCTGGTGCTCAAAAGCACGGATAACAGGCAAACCCGATACTGTCTCACTGAAGTGAGAGTAGATCGGGGACCTGGTGACAGAGTCCAAACGTCTCAACTGGCGGGAAGTAGACACGTAAAACACCTGATCACACAAAGCAAACATCAGTCAGTCACACATTATCATGTTGGATATGCTGTACTTTTTCTTTCTGCTCATGATCCAACATCTTTCACTTGATGGCCTTAAGCCCACATTTGAACCACATGAAAGCCTGCAATGTTATCCCTGGCAGGAAGAAAGATGAGAGGCCCAAAGAAGGCAATGCTGGCAAGATTGTGGTTAGTAGGAAACAGAGGAAGATGAAAGAGAAGGGATTTGGAGAATTCAGTTTCCCAAACATAGGAAAGTATTGCCAACAAAGTCCATATTCTTCTCCCAAATCCATAACTGATGTTCAAATGATAGTTTCTATATTAGTTAGAAAAGTGGTCTTCAAAGGGATTTTATAAAAGATGTTGGGATTTAAGATGTGTGTTAAGTGAGGATGAGCAGCAATGACCAGAAGTAATCAAAGAAAGGAATACTGAGGTTTGATTAAGAAATGGAAGAACATGGTATAACCCCTGTTGTCACTGTATTTGATTCCGGTGTCCTGTATCTTGTATATAGATTTTTCTAATTCAGGAAGGGGAAGGGAAATAACAAAATGCTGAAATAAGGATACAGTTTGACCTATTGTAACAATGAGATGTACAAGACACTATGTTGAAAACGCACTTTACAACTTGGTGGGGGGAAGGAGGAGTTGGGGAGGTGGGGAGAGAAGGGATTATAGGGGAAAAACAAAGGAGGTGGTAACAATGCTCAATAGGAAATGTACTCATTACCTTACTCACGTAACTGTAATCCCTCTGTATAGTACCTTTACAATAAAAAATTAAAACAAGACATGGAAGAACACAGTGATCAAAGCTCTGCTTAGATGGGCTATGACAGTAAAGATAGTCTTAGAGCTGTGGAGAATGTTGTGTGTAAGATAATAGAATGATCCATTCATCTACTGAGGGGCATCTGGGGTGGTTCCATATCTTAGCTATGATAAATAATGCAGCAATAAACATAGTTGTGCTGGTAGCTTTAGTATAGTCTTGTTTGTGATCATTTGGGTAAATGCCCAAAAGTGGGATTGCTGGGTCATAGGGGAACTCTATGTGGAGTCTTTTGCGGAACCTTCATACTGCTTTCCAAAGTGGTTGAACAAGTTTACACTCCCACCAACAATGCAGTAGGGTTCCCTTCTGTCCACATCCCCTCCAGTATCTGTTGTTATTAGAGTTCTTGATTATAGCCATTCTAACTGGAGTAAGGTGGAATCTCAATGTTGTTTTGATTTGTATTTCTTTTATGGTAGAGAGGTTGAGCATTTCTTCATGTGTCTATTGGCCATTCTTATTTCCTTTTCAGAGAAGTTTCTCTTTAAGTCTTTAGCCCACTTATTGTGGTATATATATACAATGGAATTCTATGTCTCCATCAGAAAGAATGACATTGCCCCATTTGTTAGGAAATGGAAAAACTTGGAAAAAATTATATTAAGTGAAATAAGCCAGGCCCGAAGAAACATAAGGTTTTCCTTATTTGCAATAACTAGTATATGTCTGGGACAAGTAGAAAAGGTCAAAAGCTATGTACATACAACCAGGTAAGATGAAGTTAAGCACATGAACCCCAAGATAGGGACACAAGTGGTTTTTCTTTCTTGTTATTGTTTTTAACATATTTCTAAGGTAACATGTGATTTTTTTTGTTGCTTTGTATGTTCCTCCCCAAGGTATAACTCCTGTTTTCACTGTATTTGATGTCAGTATAATTTGGGGATGGGAGGGAGAAAAAACAAATAGGGATACATGTTGATCCATTGTAACAATGAGATGTACAAGACACTATGTTGAAAAACGAACTTTACAATTTAAGTGGGAGGAGAGGGGGAGGAGAGGGAGTGTAGTTGTGGAGGTGGGAGAGAAGGGATGGTAGGGGAAAAACAAAGGAGGAGGTAACAAATCTTGATAACAAATGTACTCATTACCTTGCTCATGTAACTGTAACCCCTCTGCACAGTATTTTCACAATAAAAAACTTATTAAAAGGAAGTAGCACTGTGGCTCAAGTGGTAGGGTGCTTGCCTTAAGCTGAAGAGCTCAGGGACAACACCCAGGCTCAGAGTTCAAGCCCCACAACCAACAAAACAAAACAAAAAAACTTATTTAAAAAAAGATAATAGAATGCAGGTAGAATCTTTGGAGGCAAAGTATGATGGAATGGATTAACGATACTACTACATTTCGTGAGGGATTGTTGAGGATCTGGGCATTTGAGAGTTAGAATGCAGTGTTATATCTGGAAGTTTTCTCAAATAATCCTGTATCGTTTGTTGGTTTGTCACAAAGTCAAAAGGCTGTTAGAGATCTGAGTGTGTATAGAGAGAACTCTATAAAGTAGGCACAAAAGGAACCATCTTGACATAGAATTACAATGCCACACTTTAGGAGCTTCAGAACTATTTTCCCTAGATGAACAGTTTATCACTAAGGCAATTGGTAGGACAGAAGTTCATTCCTCAGCTTCCTCTTTCTTACAAAAAAAATTTTTTTTGGTCAGTCGTGGGGCTTGAACTCTGGGCCTGGGGCTTGAACTCTTGTGCTCTTTAGCTCAAGGTGAGTGCTCTACCACTTGAACCACAGCATCACTTCCATTTTCCTGGTGGTTTACTGGTGATGAGTCTCCAGACTTTCCTGCCTGGACTGGCATTGAACTGCAATTCTCAGATCTCAGGCTCCTGAGTAGCTAGGATTACAGGCGTGAGCTACTGGTGCCCGGCTTCTCACCAATTTTTATTATGGTCCTGGTGGTGCCTCTATTTTGTCCAGTTTTTCTATAAAGCTTGGCTCTCACAGTGTTTCCTCAAAGGATATGTTGAACTCAAACCTAAGTCATTCACAGATATCCCAGTGAAATTAGAGTTGTTCCAAAGGCTCCTACTGCAATTGGGTATGTCTATTTGAAACCAAAAAAGTAAGCAGGCTGGAACATTTTTAGAAATGTTCTAATTGTTGTGGGGATCATTAGAGAGCCTGAAGATTTGTCCAGAGCCAATCTCAAAGTAGGTTTTAAAAAAATCAAAGCCAGAGCCAGGTGCCAGTAGCTCAAGCCTGTAATCCTAGCTACTCAGGAGGCTGAGATCTGAGGATCGCGGTCCAAAGCCAGCCCGGGCAGGAAAGTCCTGAAACTCTTATCTCCAATTAACCACTAGAAAACCGGAAGTGGTGCTGTAGCTCAAGTGGTAGAGTGTTTGCCTTGAGCTGAAGAGCTGAGGGACAGCGCTCAGGCCGAGTTCAAGCCCCACGACTGACAAAAAAAAAAAGAAAAAAATCAAAGCCGGGTGCTGGTAGCTCACACCTGTAATTCTAGCTGAGATCTGAGGATTGCAGTTCCAAGCCAGAGTAGGCAGGAAAGTCCACGAGACTCTGATCTCCAATACACTACTCAGAAAAAGCTGGAAGTGACACTGGCTCCAATGGTAGAGTGCTAGCTTTGAACCCAAAGAGGCTTGAATACCTAGGCCCTGAGTTGAAGCCACAGGACTAGGGGAAAAATAAATAAGTAAAACAAGGGTATTGCCCATGCCAGGCAAGTACCCTATATCCCCTGAGCTATATCCTCAGTCCTCAAAGTAGTCTTGAATCCAGACATTAATCTGAACCACCCAAGCTTCTGGTATACAGGTAGTTAGGATGAGATGTGCTGTCAACCATATACAAACAGATGTTGTCTGTTTAGCTTCAGATGATAGCCTGTAGGCTTATGGATAGATCAACATATAACTAAATGGCAAAGATGTTCAAAGGAGAGACTATCAATAAACAAAAGAGAAGAATTCTCTGGAAAGATCCTGAGCTTTTACAGGCAGAGATAGAGGAAGATAAGGCCACTCCCAAACCTACTTGAACAGCCACATAAATAATGCCAAGAGGAATGATGATGATGGCGAAGACAGGGGTGGCCATGCAAATCATGACCAGGGTGCTGATTATCCCCAAGAAGCATAAAATCCAGCTGCGCATTGTCTGAGGGAGCATATCATCCATAGTGGAAATATCCTAAAAAACAAGGAAAATAATGAGCTCCCAAGACATTTTAGATCTTTCTAATTCTTTTTTTTTTTGGTCAGTCATGGGGCTTGAAATCTGGGCCTGGGTGCTGTTCCTGAGCTCTTCAGCTCAAGGCTTGTGTTCTACCACTTGAGTCATAACACCACTTCTGCTTTTCTGGTGGTTTATTGGAGAGAAGAGTCTCATGGACTTTCCTGCCCGGGCTGGCTTTGAACTGTGATCCTCATATCTCAGCCACTGGAGTAGCTAGGATTACAGGCATGAGTCACAGGCATGAGCCACTGGCACCCGGCTAGATCTTTCTAATTGTAACTAGACATTCTCTCAATTCTTTGTGTTTGCATTGTGTCTTTTCAAATAGTTATCTACAATAGACTATACTGTTCTCCCTCAATAATTAATCTCATTTCTGTCTTTTCCTCATGGTCCACAATCCCTCCAAAAAGACATGGTAGTCATGGTAGTAGTCATCCTTTCAACCTTTTCCCAGTATACTTGGTAAAGGCTGTCACTCTTCTCATTCATCAACTCGTTTACACCATTATAGTTATTGCAAACTACTAAGGGACTTACAGGTTAAATCCTTCTCTCCTAACCAAACCAATGCAGTTAATACAAGTCCTAATTAAATATCTAGAACAAAGCCTGACACATTAAAAACAAAATACTACACCACTTGTTTGGAAGCTCCAGTCAACAAGCCTTGTCACTCACTCCTGACTGAAGAACACTTCCTTCCTTTTGCCAAGCATTGAGCTTCAGGGGAAAGGAAATGGAGAGACAGGCCTTACTGCTGTATTGCCTTCATGTCACATGGAATACATGAACAAATAAGAAAAGGAACTGGATGAATAGATCATTTGGAATATACTCAGGAAGCCTGGCTTATTTTTTGGGTTGTGCTTGCCTGGATTTCTCAGGGGATTACATAATAATGACGTAATATATGTGAGTATGAAGGTGACTGCAAACTTTCTTTGAGGGTTTCCAAACTTGGCTCAGAGTTCTGAACCAGAAATGGCTTCTGAGTCTAATCAACATTTCCCTCAAGTCATATCAGAGCACAAATAGGTAACTATGTCCAAGGCTGGCATAAAAATAAAATCCTTGCTGATTATCAGTTCTATGCAGATTACTCTTGCTCCCTACATATCACAAACCCTCTACCTTTCTCTCCTCCATTGTTTCTCCTCTTAAGCACTCAGCTATTGTGATGGAGATTGAAACAAACCTTTTTGGCCTACCTCCTGCTCCCAATACCTCTTGACACATCCCTGGACTTACTTCTACCTCTCACCTTTCCTGACTTTTCCCATCCTCATTCAAGTAGAGCTAGCACTTCTTTCTCTGTCATTTCTTTGCATTCCCAGAGTACCTACTGCTACTGGGCATACTTAGCATAGTCTATCTACTCCTTCATTTCTTTCTTTCTTTCTTTCTTTCTTTCTTTCTTTCTTTCTTTCTTTCTTTCTTTCTTTCTTTCTTTCTTTCTTCCTTCCTTCCTTCTTTCTTTCTTTCTCCTTCATTTCTTTGGCTATTGAAAAGCCAGAGCTCTTCACCCATGTATCCCTAAGTTCTTTGGAACCTATAGGATGTACTTAGGAAACATTTACATGCTGAGTAGAAAAAAGGATTTAAGTCACATAGAGTTTCCTAAGGGACATGAAAATTAGTTCCCATTAGAAATAAAAAAGATCCTCAGCACACAAACAGGTTACTATGTAATCCTTGAGATACTTACACCAGCAAACCTGTTTACAATCCGGCCTGTGGGTGTTGTGTCAAAAAAACTCATGGGTGCTCGGAGGATATTGTTTAACAGATGTTTATGCAAAGTTTTTGATGCATGGGTGCAACTGTACACAGTCAGGATACTTGCGCCAAGCACACAGAGACCTAGAAATAGAGGGAGTGTTGTCAGCTCCACTCACAGAAGAGTTGCACGCAGGGCATAGTGGCAAATGCTTTCCTGAGTATAACAGGACAAGGCACCAGGAGATTCCAGAAGAGATGGTTGTTGTAGCATCAGGCATACCTTGTGCTATTCCCAGAGCAGCATAGATGCCAATTCTCAGGTCCCTCTGAGAGGCTGGATAGGTGGTGCTATTGAAGGTTTGAGAGTCACTGGTCCATGCACTGAGCCACAGGTTGGAGCCAATAAAAGCCACAGAATTCATCGTGTAGATAAGGATGATGAAGACAATGGAACACAACCCTATTGCTTGCAGATATTTCACATAGATGGAGAACTTCACCTGCAAAACCCCCATCAGTGTGAGTAGAACACCCTAATGGCTTTTAAAGAGAAATTACCTAGAAAATCAATCACCAGGAGTAGAGATAGGAAGTTAACAAAATTTGGTAGTCTGTGGTCATTACTTTTGCCTTGAGCTAGGGTAACAGACAATAGTGATTACAGTGCAGAACAAATAGCCATCTGGTTATTAATAAGTATTTAGAGCTACTTGAGAAGAAAAGATACAAGGACTAGGAGAAAGATAAGGTTTTTCGGAAGCCCTTGGAATATATGGCATTAAATTTCATTGATTTATACTGTGTGCCCAAGGTGTGACATATTAGTGTTTCCTATCTCCTAGAACTGCACCTCAAAGCAGTTTTGTTGTCTATATGTCAGAATAGAGTCAAGCACTCCTGACAGGTAGTGTGAGGGAACTGACAGGAAGCAGGTTATTCTTTACAGAAAGATAGACTGCAGAGAAAGCTTCAGACTCCGTTGTAATTTTAGTAATGATTTTGAAGATTTGTAAAGATCTTTGCAACATATCACTCCTATAGAGCTATATTGCAATTTCAACTAAAATTTAAAATTTCAGACTTCAAGTTTCATATTACCCCAGAGCGCGCGCGCGTGTGTGTGTGGTGCTCACCTTTCCAGTTTCCATGAACTCTTTTTGAATTAGTTTCTGTCCTTTCACTAGTTCTTCCCTCTCCTTCAGGCCATTCGCCTTCCGTGTTTTCAAGGAGTCTTTTAGGGACTTCCGGTGCTTGCTACTGGACCTAATGCTGAAAGGCAGACAGAGGAAAGCTCTCTGAGCACAGATATTTCCCAAGTCGCTTCTTGCAGGTAGATGTTACAGTCACCCTGTGGGCACCAAAGTATATTACAGAGCGTTTGGCCATAGGAAGATGACACAAACCTAACCCTTCCCCCACTCCTAAATGGATATAGAAGAAGAGCTAGAAGAATCCATGGGGGTCTTTTCCCTCTTGGAGAGTCCATAGAGGTGCAAGTACGGCAGCCATGTGGGCTGCCACTGGAAAAATAGGCTACCTGCGGCTCATGGTTCGACGGAGACTCTTTTCTCTTTTCAAGGTCAAGGAGGCGGATTCCTCAGGGAGCTCCTCCATACTGGGTATTAGTTCACCATCATTGTCTTCTTCCTCACTGTCATCATTGACTAAGGAGACAGGTTAGAGGTCAGAGAAGTAACACAAAGTGCTCTCAGCCCTATGAGAGCTCAGCAAGTAAACACATAGACTAGAATATTTTATACCACAAATACCAGTTATTAGTATAAATTCTTTCTAAGAAATTGTAGGACAAAGGAGAGATAGTTGCATATTCCCCTTGAAGAGAAAATGATTCAAAGAAGAGGAAAACTCCTGGATATTTATAAGTCTTTACAGCAGTAAAGAACCTTTAGGATGGAAGTGGCGCTGTGGCTCAGGTGATAGAGTGCTTGCCTTAAGCTGAAGAGCTGAGGGACAGCACCCAGGCCCAGAGTTCAAGTCCCACGACCAAAAAAAAAAAAAAAAAAAAAAAAAGAAGAACCTTTAGGAGCCAGGCGCCAGTGGCTCATGCCTGTAATCTTAGCTACTCAGGAGGCTAAGATATCTGAGGATCATGGTTCAAAGCCAGCCCGGGCAGGAAAGTCAGTGAGACTCCTATCTGCAATAAACCACCAGAAAATTGGAAGTGGTACTGTAGCTCAAGTGGTAGAGCACTCACCTTGAGCTGAAGAGCTCAGGGACAGCACCCAGGCCCAGATTTCAAGCCCCATGACCAACAATAACAACAACAAAAAATTAAACTTTTGGGACTACTGGAGACGAACAGAAGTCATCTCTCTCAGAATTAACTAGGGATTACTGTAAATAAAAAATGCTAATCTTGATGTTTAAATGACTTAACAAACTTTTATCAGTTAAAACCACTTAAAAGCTTTATACCAAAAACACAATAAAACAAAATAACATGTAAACTCAGCAGGTGCATCAGTGGACAGGGTAGAATAAGGATCTCCAAAAAGATGATATGAATACTGACAAAAATGAAATTATCTAATGAACCAAAAGTCTGCCTTAACTGAAGGATCTTTTTCATAACTGAATCTTGGTAAGAACAATATGCCTCACATTAGTTTAAATTACCCTATTTCCATCTCCTCTGCCTCCTTTCCATCCCCTCTCTTCAGCTGCTGTAGCCTAGAAAAACAACAGCCATAAAATCATGGTTGGCCATGAAAACTATCAGCCTAACAGCCCTCTCATGGGACAGTATAGTTTCAGAACTCCCCAAAAGCCCAATCCCAGGATAAGTACCATTATGTTACCTATTCCCTGAAAATTTCCATTAACAAGGCATGCCTCTACTTCACGTAGTCAGAGATAGCTCAGTCAGCATCTATTAACTGTTAATATTACAGCTGCCTGAGGTGACCATAATTGTAGCAAATAAGATGACAAAAAAACAAACTGGGAGCTGGGCACTGGTGCCTCCTAACTACTTAGGAGGCTGAGATCGGAGGTTCAAATCCAGCCTAGGCAGGAAAGTCCATGAGACTCTTATCTCCAATTAACCACCAATAAGCCACCACTGTGGCTCAAAGTGGTGAGCACTAGCCTTGAACAAAAGAGCTCAGGGACAGCACCCAGGCCCTGAGTTCAAGCCCCATGACCAAAACAAACAAACAAACAAAAAAACACCAAAAAACATCAAAAACATTGGGCTGCGATGTGGTTTAGTGATAGAGTGATGCCTAGTATGCATGAAACCATGGGTTTGATTCCTCAGTACTACATACACAGAAAAAGCCAGAAGTGATGCTGTCGCTCAAGTGCTGAGCCTCAAGTGGTAGAGTGCTAGCCTTGAGCAAAAGCTCAGGGACAGTGCCCAGACACTGAGTTCAAGCCCCAGGACTGGCAAAAACAAAAACAAAAACAAACAAACAAACCCCCTAGGGAATGAGATACCTATAGAGGGCTCTGTTAGCCTGATATTTTCCTGGCTTCCAGGAGTATATTAATTGAAGGAACTAAGTAGTCTTCCAATGTTTCTACTGCAATTTGTATAGATTACCATGAAAACAATTGCATTAAAATACTATTGTTTTGCTTTCTCATTAGGTTGCAAATTACTTTTTTTTTTTTTTTTTTTTTGGGTCCGGTCATGGGGCCTGAACTCTGGGCCTGGGCGCTGTCCCTCAGCTCTTCAGCTCAAGGCTAGCGCTCTACCACTTGAGCTACAGCGCCACTTCTGGCTTTTTTCTTATGTGGTGCTGAGGAATCAAACCCAGGGCCTTGAGCATGCAAGGCAAGCGCTCTACCACTGAGCCACCTTCCCAGCCCCTGTAAATTACTTTTGATAGAGGTCACCACACACGTGTGTGGGGCTCTGCACATGCCCAAGGAGGAGTGTAAAAGGCCCCCATCACACCTCTGGCCGACACTCTGGCACTGTGCAGCAGGCTGTTGAAGGCTGTTGAACATACAGTGCTCCTGAACAAGGCTGAGAGATTTCCTAGTGCCAGGTATTTTTAGGAAATCTCTGTCTAATCATTAGCTGACCACCACATCACCACATCACTTCAGTGGCCACACATGACAAAAAACATAGACTTAAGAGAATTAATTCTGGAAACAGATTTTCAATTTCTGATTGTTTACAGCAAAACAGAACTAAATTCACTTCTAAATCTAGCTCATGGAAACAAACAGTTCAGGAGGTAGAAAACAGTTTTCTGCAATGCCCCAAATGCTAGCCTGTTCCAGATCCTCTTATATATACCTGTGACCTCTTCTTCAGGATTCAAACGTTTCATGAAAAGCTTCTGGTTCTTAGCAAACACTCCTTTATTGGCTATCAGAGTGTTATAAGATCCTTTTTCCAAGATGGTGCCATTTTCTAGAACCACAATCTCATCCACTTGGGGAAGAAAGTGAATGCTATGTGTAACCAGAAGTCGAGTCTGTAAAAATAACATTAAGTTGTTCTGATTATCCTGCATCCACCATTTCCCCAGATACTTCTAAAAAGGCTTAAAGCAGATATGTCAAGTTATGCTGGGGTTTCCTTCAAAATATGGCTCAGATTTCTTTATTTATTATACTTCTTCTTTCCTTCCCAGCACTTCATTTATTATTATTATTTTTTTTTTGTCAGTCGTGGGGCTTGAACTCTGGGCCTGGGCGCTGTCCCTCAGCTCTTCAGCTCAAGGCGAGCGCTCTACCACTTGAGCTACAGCGCCACTTCCGGTTTTCTGGTGGTTTATTGGAGATAGGAGTCTCACAGTCTTTCCTGCCCGGGCTGGCTTTGAACCGCGATCCTCAGATCTCAGCCTCCTGAGTAGCTAGGATTACAGGCGTGAGCCACCAGCGCCCAGCCATTTATTAATTTTTTTTTTGTGCCAGTCCTGGGGCTTGAACTCAGGGGCCTGGGTGCTGTCCCTGAACTTTTTTGGCTCAAGACTAGCACTCTACCACTTGAGCCTCAGCACCACTTCTGGCCTTTTCTTTTTTTGGGGGGGGGGCGGGGTCCGGTCATGGGGCCTGAACTCTGGGCCTGGGCGCTGTCCCTCAGCTCTTCAGCTCAAGGCTAGCGCTCTACCACTTGAGCCATAGCACCACTTCCGGCTTTTTTCTTTTTGCTTATGTGGTGCTGAGGAATCGAACCCAGGGCCTCTGGCATGCAAGGCATGCGCTCTACCACTGAGCCACCTTCCCAGCCCCTCTGGCCTTTTCTGAGGTAAGAGTCTCACTGACTTTCCTGCCTGGGCTGGCTTCAAACTGCGACCCTCAGATCTCAGCTCCTGGGTAGCTAAAATTACAGGTGTAAGCCACCAGTGCCCACCTTCAGGACCTCATCTTAAAACATTATCCATGGATTTACTTAGTTATTTTCCAACAAGGACAATGAGGTTTTACCCTACCCACATTATTCTTCATGTCCCTTTTTTAGAAAAAGGTTGAGCTAAGGAAAGTCTCTGGAGATCAATGCTAATCATTATAAAAAGCTAACTAACTGGCTAATTGCCTCTTTCCACTGCTAGCTTTTCACTTACCAGCTGACCAACTGTACTAAAAACAACTGCCCAGAAGGTTCAAAGCCAGCCGAAGCAGGAAAGTATGTGAGACTTTTATCTCCAATTAACCACTAGAAAACCAGAAGTGGTGCTGCGGCTCAAGCGGTAGAGTGCTCACCGTGAGCTGAAGAGCTCAGGAACAGCACCCTAGCCCAGAGTTCAAGCCTCATGACTGACAAAAAAAAAGAAGAAGAAGAGAGAGAAAGAGAAAGAGAAAGAAAGAAAGAAGAAAGAAAGAAAGAAAGGAAGGAAGAAAGGAAGGAAGAAAGAAAGAAAGGAAAAGAAAACGTAAAGGCAACACTGCCAGCACCTGCTCAAAGGTACTTTTTTATTCATAATCAATCATCATAAGAAGCTCAATGTCAGAGCCATAAATTAGCCAATTACAGCCTAAGCCATGACCTCAAGATGGGAGCCTTCATCGGATAGTCTCCAAGGGAAACAGCCTGACCTTGTATCTCCTCAGGAGCCAGGGGAAAGAGAAAAACAAGAAAATCTGTGTCAGGATGACAAGTGCTCACTAACTGCTCAGGGAGATGGGTGTGAGTCCTACCTCCTTACACTCATTGGAGGGACTGTGATGAAGACAGCTTCATCATTAAATGATTTCTTACCTTGCCATGCAAAAGGCCATTGGGACCCAAGACCTTATCGAAAATATGTTTTCCTACATGAGCATCCACAGCTGACAGAGGATCGTCAAGAATATAGATGTCTGAATTTTGATAGACAGCTCTGGCCAGGCTGATCCGTTGCTTCTGACCACCACTGAGATTTATACCCTGAAGAAGAAAACAATTTCTATTAAAATATTCCCTAATCCCACCTCTAGAGTTTTTTTTTTGGGGGGGGGGCAGTCGTGGGGCCTGAACTCTGGGCCTGGGCGCTGTCCCTCAGCTCTTCAGCTCAAGGCTAGTGCTCTACCACTTGAGCCACAGCACCACTTCTGGCTTTTTTCTGTTTGCTTATGTGGTGCTGAGGAATCGAACCCAGGACCTCATGCATGCAAGGCAAGCGGTCTACCACTGAGCCACCTTCCCAACCCTTCCACCTCTAGAGTTTAATATGGAAGTGTAACAAGGGTAAATTTGCCTTGATAAAATATCCGGGAATTTAAAAAAATCTCATAAATTTCTTTATATCAAAAATAAGTTTGATTCAAAGCCTAATAATATAAGGTATGACCAATTTAGCCATTTACTATCCTATCCTTTACATAGCTAATATTTTTGCTGCTTCCCTCTCCATGATGGTGTAGGGCTATGCCAAGGTTTTCTCTACTTTGCAGTTAAACTGGTGTCTGTCACACAGTACTTGTTCAATAATGTAGGCTGAATTAATGAACAAAATCACTCTAGAATTGTGTCTTCATTGGTTTTCCAGCATCAAGATCCTTGTCTCCTAAAGATTGCTACATTCGTTTTTAATACTGAAGAAGGATGAAGTTTTTCTAAATACATATAGTAATCAGCAGTTTCTAAGTAAACTGTGCTATATTTATATAATGATGCAACATAGTTATTAATCTATTTTTAAAAGATATTTAAAAACACAAGTCAACCGTGGGCCAGTGACAGCCTCTCAGGTTCTTTGCTGTTACCTCTGATTCAGGTTACACAGTTCCTGTATTTGCTGTTACCTCTGATTCAGGTTACACAGTTCCTGTATTTGTCTTCAGGTACTAAGTTGCAAAGTTCTGAGTCATTTACACAAAATATCATAACAGTACAAACACTTTTTTGATGTTTGTTCTAAACCTGAGTACCAAAATTGGCTAACTATGTTCCCCTGAGTACTTTCTCATGTCTTCACCCCTCAGTGCCTCTTTGTGTCCCAAGTACCTTCTCTCCAATCTCAGCCATGTCTCCTCCAGGCAATATTTCCAAGTCTGGGAGGAGAGCACAGGCCTCCAGAACTTGCTTGTATCTTTCTTCATTGAACTCAGATCCAAAAAGGATGTTGTCCTTTATGGTGCAATTCTGAATCCAGGACTGCTGAGGGACATAGGCTGTAGTGCCCTAGATGGAAAAGAATCATACCACACAACAATGGGACCTCCAGAAATGAAGAGTGACAGATGAGATGGCAGAAAAAGGGAGGGACAAATAGATCTTAGGTTTGAAAAGCTATGTTTCAGGTTGCTTAAGCATCTGATATTTCTTAATGTGCTTAATAATTAACCAGGAAGAATCAATCCTCTATTCACCATTAGTACCCCCATCCTCACTTTATATCATTTTCTTGCCATGATCCTGAAAACCAGAAGGAGAATGTGCATGGTGCTTCTATATGATGTTTTTCATCAAACCCAATGAGTTTACTGTGACTTCAACAATGTTAATACTTTCACAACATGTTATAAATCATTAGGCAGCAAATTCTAGGAGGTTGGAATCAGGACACCAAGAGCTACACAAAGCAAATTCAAAGAGAGAGAGAGAGACTGTCATATACATGTATTTAAGAAAGAACTCAAAGCCAGGTGCTTTTGGCTCATGCCTGTAATCCTAGCTACTCAGGATAGTAGCTACTGAGATGTGAGGATGGTGTTTTCAAGCCCAGATAGAAAAGTTTGTGAGACTCTTATCTCCAATTAACCATTGGAAAGCCAGAAGTGGAGCTGCTATGACCCAAAGTAGTAGAGTGCTATCCTTGAGCAAAAGAGTTTAGAGATAGAGTCCAGACCATAAGTTTAAGCCCCATGACTGACAAAAAAGAAAAAGAAAAGAGAAAGAAAGAACTCAGTTATGAGTTGGCATCAGAAAGCTTTCCAAGAGTTATACAAAGTTAAATCTGCTGTCTTTTCTTATGTGTTTTTAAAGTGCAAATTAGCTCCTTAGAGATTAGCAAATAGTGAAGAAGATAATTACAATGTGGAAGAGATGTTTCTTAAGATTTTGCTGAACAAATCAACATAAAGTAATATAAGGCAACCTTTTTCTTTATAAAGATAGCTGAGGGCTGGGAAGGTGGCTCAGTGGTAGAGTGCTTGCCTTGCATGCATGAGGCCCTGAGTTCAATTCCTCAGCACCACATAAGCAGAAAAAGGTGGAAGTAGCACTGTGGCTTAAGTGGTAGAGCACTAGCTTTGAGCTGAAGAGCTGAGGGACAGTGCCCAGGCCCAGAGTTCAGGCACCACAACTGACAAAAAAAAAAAAAAAAGATAACTGAAGTGGTAGAGTATCTGTTAAACAAGTTCAAACCCAGTACTTCCAAGAAAGAAAGAAAATCTTAGCAATTTATAAATATCTTTTTTTTTAAGCTGAAAATTGGGCTGGGAATGTGGCTTAAAGGTAGAGTGCTTGCCTTGTATACATGAAGCCCTGGGTTTGATTCCTCAGTACCACATAAACAGAAAAAACTGGAAGCATCACTGTGACTCAAAAGGTAGAGTGCTAGCCTTGAGTAAAAGAAGTTCAGAGACAGTGCCCAGGACCTGAGTTCAAGCCCCAGCAATGGCAAAAAAAAAAAAAAAAAAGCTGAAAATCTATAGACTTGCCTCTTTTGGTGCAAGTAGTAGCTGAATTAACAACTCAAAAGAACCTATAATTTCCTCTAAATTTATCTCTCTGGAGATCAGAGAGACGAAGATGCCATGAAAATGTTTTTCTCTTGTGTTAAAAAACAAATAACAAGTGATTCATAAAGAAGTCAACATTTTACATCAGGCCTTTGTATTAGAAGTCTAACCCTTAAAGGAGGAAGTAAGAAACCCAGGCCTAGTTGTAAATACCACTATTCAATTTATAACACCACTGTTGGTATTGTTATAACTATGGTCATGGTTGGTACTATTTTCGTTGGTACTCTCATTATAAGGTTTTTTTTGTTTGTTTATTTGTTTTTGTGCCAGATCTGGAGCTTGAACTCAGGGCTTAGGCACTGTCCATGAGCTTTTTTGCTCTTGAGTCACAGTTCCACTTCCAATTTTTGGTGGTTAATCAGAGATGAGTCTCATGAACTTTCCTGCCCAGATCTCAGTCTCCTGAGTAGCTAGGATTACAGGGGTGAGCCCTGATGCCTAGCTAAAGTTAAGTTTTTACTTTCAGTTGTTGTAATCTTGTTATTGCAGAGTGCAAAGTTTCCAGAAACACATAAATAGACTTAGCAGCAAAGCCTATACTTTGAAAATAGCATCTGCAGTTAATACTTCTTACATTTTAGTATATAAGAATAGCATGTAAAAATCATCTAGGGAGCTCAATAAAATACATATTTTTAGTTCCTACCCATGAACTCTGACTATTTAAGCCTGATTATATAGGATGGGGCAGAGAAGCTATAGGTCACAATGCCACCAGGTATCTTCAAGGGTTTGTCTACTAACATCTTATCCCAAATTAGGAAATGGCACTAAGTGGTCCATAGTTGAAGGTCAGAAGTATTATTGGTTTTCCCTTTTACCTTGATAGTGATATGACCATGGATATGTTCCATTTCTCCCAGCATGGCTGACATCAAGGAGGATTGGATATGTTCCATTTCTCCCAGCATGGCTGACATCAAGGAGGATTTCCCAGAGCCAACGGTGCCCACCACAGCCACCAACTGGCCTGGCATAATGTCCAGGTTCACACTGAAAGACAGACATGTTTGTGAAGAAAATGAAGATGGGGTTTTCAAGAGTAGCTCAAGTTATTTCTCTGATTTTCTAAGACAATAGGGTATACTAGGTGTGGAGAAAGGAAGACATAGCTGCTCAGGCTCTGAGTATGCTCTGTGATGTGCCCAGGGGATATCCATTATACACAGTGTTCAAGAGGCATCCTGTGTGCAGCAGCGTGGCAAGAGAGGCCTGGCTTAGATCAACACATCTGTCAAATGGAAGAGGGGCCTATGTGATGGGTCTTACAGATGGGTTATTTTGATGTGAAACTCCAGATCTGAAGCTGCATTTTAGAGAGGCAGCTCCCATTGTTCAATCTTGGGAGAAAAGCCAGATCTCAAAGTTCTTAATACTATGAATGAATAAATTTAGTGAATGGATTGCTTAGTGAATAAAGAGTTGTAGGCTGATTCTATGACTTGAAAGGAAGAAAGAAGAGTGACAAATATAACCACTAGGGACAGAGGCATAGAATTTTTGCTCTCAGCTCATCCTTCTGGATCTAGCCTACATGTGTATGTGCACACACACACACCCACACCCACACCCACACACACACACACACACACACACACACACACACACACACACACAAAGAGTTTGTTTTCCTAGGTGTTCTTTTACAAGGAATTCTCTCAGAACAGTACAGGCAAACAGAATCCTAAAGACAGAATCCAAAAGCAGGATGTTATGAAGGCAACTCACTCTCGGACTGAAGCTTCCAAATTTCGGTCCCAGGTAAAGGTGGCCTCTGAAAACTGTACTGCTTTGTCTGTTGAAAAAAAAAAATCCCCTCTTTTAGTCACATGTAGATTTCTACATGTCAGCTCTTCTTCAACCTGCATATGTCTTGACTTCCTTTGTTCCCCCCTAAGATCACATCTGCTACGTGCTGCTCCTACACTAACAGAGGACAAATGAAAGGTCTGAGACTAGAACTAGCCTGCATATAAAGTCATTTTTAATCCAGAACTCCTAAACTAGTAGTCAGGATTTCTGCTTACAGGTATCTGAAGTACATCCCTCTGTTATCTAATCTGTATGAATCCTCCCTCCTGGAGTCATCATTTCTGCTTTTTGGAACCTTTGTCGTATTCCTCTTATACTCAGAAAAGCTGGCACAGCTTTGCTTAGCAAGCTTGCTAAGTAATTTGTTCTAGGTGAACACACAATTTAAGCTAAACTTATTATATAAGCATAGATGCAAGACTAATCCCCTAGCTCCTCACCCCTCCTTTTTTTTTTTTTTTGCCAGTTCTGGGGCCTGAACTCAGAGCCTGGGTACTGTCCCTGAGCCTCTTTGTGCTCAAGGCTAGCTCTCTACCACTTGAGCCACAGTGCCACTTCTGGCTTTTTCTGAGTAGTTTATTGGAGATAAGAGTCTCACAGGGACTGTTCTGCCTGGGTTGGTTACAGGCATGAACCACTGGCACCTGGCTAATATATCAAAATCCTGATACCATCACTAAAAATCTTTTTGGGAAGCAACTTCCAAATTTGTTTACCAAAATTGGAGACACGTCGAATGGCAGATGTGTCCAAGTCATCTCCCCCAAAGTACTTCTCTAGCCGATCTATAGAAACACTGGCCTGGAGAAGAAAACAAAGTATCTCAAGAACAAAAGAAAAATCCAGAAACAAACATGAATGGGGGAAGGATTTTTGTCTCTGTCATCATCCATGGTTTGCCATTGCCACAGTTGAAACTCCAGACCCCTACCAGACTCAAACACACAGCCCTGAAGCCAACCTAGCCGGCATAGAAGGAAATTAAGACACCATTTCAGGCCTTCACAAAACTCAACAAGTTCAACTCTACTGATATTTCTCTTTAGTTTTGGGCTCTATTTCCACAAGCCACGCCATGACTTTTTATAAGACAAACTCCCAACTTTTACCTACTTCTAGTAACTGAGCTCTTTTGTATTCTTATTAGATGGACTCCATGCCTTGAAGACATATCCAGTGTTCTAACTGGGCTATGACTGGGATACTACAGGAATTGGCCAAAGCTTAAGCTACAGTTTACATAAGTGTTGCCAGAACACCCTCTGCCCCTAGAACATGAGAACCTAAGAGGTTTCTAAGGAGCTTCTAAAGGATGGTTTTCACTGGCTTTCCCATCTCCCAGGGAAGCTGTCTTCAGATGGTTCCTTGTAGCCAACAAGTCTCTGATGATGTATTAGGGCTTTCCACCTGTCCCTTCCCTAGACTGTAAAACCATTAGCTGTGCCATGGATCAGTTCCTCAGAAACAGAGTGCTCTGATACCTGGGCTGTTCCATCACCTTACTCCTTTTGGTTCAAGAATGTAGGGCACTGTCACCTTTTCTGACCTTGCTTTTACTATCTATGTAACAAATTATTTAAAAAGAGCATATTGTTTTTTCTTCCCTCCCTCCCTTCTTTTCTTGCCTGCTTTCTTTTTCTTTTCTTTCTCTTTATTTCCTTCCTTCCTTCCTTCTTTCCTTCCTTCTTTCTTTCCTTCTTTCCTTCCTTTTTCTTTCTTTCTTTCTTTTTCTTTCTTTCCTTCTGCTGGTCCTGGGCTTCAACTCACAGCCTGGGCACTGTCGCTGAGCTTTAGTGCTCAAGGCAAATGTGCTACCAATTTGAGCCACAGTACCATTTTAGTCTTTTTCATAATTAATTGGAGGTAAGACCCTCCTGGGTTTGTCTGCCTGGCTGGCTTTGAACCATGATCCTAGCTAGGAATACAGGCATAAGCCACTGGCTCCCAACAACATCTTCCTTCCTTCCTTCCTTCCTTCCTTCCTTCCTTCCTTCCTTCCTTCCTTCCTTCCTTCCTTCCTGCCTTCCTGCCTTCCTTCCTGCCTTCCTTCCTCTTTTTCTTTATTCTCTCTTTCTCTTTCTTTCTTTCTTGCTTGTCAGTTGTGGGGCTTGAACTAAGGGCAGTTGTGGGACTTGAACTAAGGGCCTGGGAGCTGTCCCTGAGTTTCTTTTGCTCTACCACTGGAGTCACAGCATCACTTTTGGCTTTTTCTGTTTATATGGTACTGAGGAATCAAACCCAAGGCTTTATCCATGCTATTCAAGCACTCTACCACTAAGCCCTCCCTGAGCTCTTTTTTGCTCAGTGCTAGCACTCTACTGCTTTGAGCCACAGCTCTACTTCTGGTATTTAGTTAATTGGAGATAAAAGTTTCTTGAGGCCTTTTTTGCTTTTTTGCCTTCTAACCATGATCCTCATTCTCAGCCTCCTGATTAGCTACGATTTTTGGTGTGAGGCACTAGTGCCTGGCAATATATGGTTTCTTTATTGACCAAAGGAGTGAACCTTCCTATGGCTAGAGCTGTCTCAATGTAGCCATCTCTAGAATAAACGCAGGTTGCCCTTCCCCTCTCTGCGACCCTCCACTACATCATTCTGGCCTTTCACCAGTCTGTCCTGTTTTGTGAACTTCTCCTGAGGTCTGCTCTATGGTTTGTCTCAGTGACTGTGCTCAGTTTGCAGAACCCAGACATTTCCTCTGGTCCATCCAAGACTTTCTGAGCTCACTTTCTGACAGCTTAAGGTTCCCAAGTTTACTGCCACATGGGTTTATGCAAAAAGAGTGTTCTTTTCTTCCCTTTGTTTAAATTTTGCCTAGTATTATAATCAACACTTTGAGAGTCTTAAAAAACTGTGGGAGAAACCGAGCTCAGGAAAGGGCTTAGAAATGTTCTCAACACAAGAACTAATTCTAACCATCTCATTAAATGCTTTTACAAAATTGGACCCCTGTGAGGTAGATGAAGTTTGCAAGATTATTTTCAGTTTACAGTCAGATAAACTGGGTTCAAAGAGCTTGTGGTGTTACTAAGATCAAACCACTGGTCTCCAGAGACCCAACAGAACTCTCTCATCAAAAGTTCACTAGCAAAAGTGAGACATGGTATATAATAAGGCAGTCATTCTGGACTGAGGCTTTTAGCCAGAGCTAAGAAATAGGCAATGGAGTTCCCATGTACCTGGAGCATGGCCGAGATCAACATGGGAAGCATAGTCAGGGGAAAGCGCAGGATATTAAAAAGGGTGATGGAGGTGAAGGCCTTTTCTGCATCCAAAATATTGTTGCTATCCACCAGAACGTAAACAGAGAATGTGACCACACACACCTGCAAAGAGCAAGGTCATGAGCAATTTATTACCAAAAAGATCTACATAGCCTTCTGCTAAGTTTTAGGAACATTATGTACCAGAGTTTGGAGGAACAATAGAAATTTTCCAACCTCCTCATGTGGCTGATGCTCAAGGTGACAAAGTCAATTAATGGATTACTAGAACCAGAACCAGAGTTCAGGTCTTCTGGCTCCTTCTACTACAGATCAACCAAAGAAGTTCTACCATGCAAATGGCAGATACTACATTCTCGGAGACCATATTCATTCTGAACATCCTGAAAGCTTGTTCTTGGCTACTGGACTACTAAACTGTATATGAGGGTAGAACTCGAGTTGGGATCACAAACTTGGGGTAATGACATAGGAGTCTGAAGAGTGGGGATAAGTTACCTGGATATTCAGATCAGGCCTACATAAATACCTTAAATAAATACAATAAATACGGAAGCTGGCCAAAATTCAAAAACAACACAGTGCATTGACTGCTCTGCTACTCACCAGGACTGGAGCTAATTGTAAGAGGAATATCATTATACTCTGTAGCTGACCAAAGGCCAGCAGGTTTTTGAGCTCTTTCTTCCGAATGTTGGAAACCTGGTCTTTAAATGAAGGTTCCCAAGCAAAGTATTTCAGGATCTAAAAGATTAGAAAAGAGCACATCTCATATTGTTGCTCAGAGAGCATCCCAGGCACACCCATTCCACCCATGTTTTAAGGATATGTTTTCTAGAATGTGGGGGATGGTAGTAGATACCCAGGCTATCAGGAATGATGACTGGTACCTTGTATCTGTTTACAACCTGCTATATATGAAACATTCTACATACATTGTCTTAATATTTATAGTAAATTGTCCTGTTTGACTAGCCAAGAGGCATTACCAGGATACTGGGCTGTATGTATTAAAACCTGGAAAGTTCTGGGCAAACCAATATGAGTCTCTCTACTTGCATAAAGCTATTGTCTCTATTTTAAAAAATGAAGAAATACATTGAGAGAAGCTAAGTAACTTGCTCCAACTCACCAGACTAGCAAGTGGCTGAAATTCAAAACCAGAGCTTTCCTTTAATTTTTCCACATTAAGAAAAAGAGATAGTTGGGTGCTGGTGGCTCACACTATAATCGTAGGTACTCAGGAGGCTGAGATCTGAGAATCACAGTTTGAAGCCAGCTGGGGTAGGAAAGCCTGAGACTCTTAATTCCAATTAACCACCAGAAAACCAGAAGTGGTGCTGAGATTCAAAGTGGTAGAATGTTACCCTTGAGCAAAATTCTCAGGGACAGCTCCCAGGCCTTGAGTTCAAGTCCCACAACTGACCAAAAGAAAGAAAATGCGTATCCAGAGGTGTGAGTTGAGAAATGTCAGGAAGGTAACAAGGATCTCTGTTTTACTTTCAAGAAACTTACTGAAATGTTAAAAATCCACTCATTAATTTTAAAGTAAAAAACTTACTGGTCATTTTTTTTCTAAGTCCTACTCCTGGGGCTTGAATTCAGGGCCTGGGCACTATCCCTGAGCTTTTTTTGCTCAAGGGTAGCACTCCACTACTTGAGCCACAGCTTTATTTCTAGCTTTATCTTCTTTTTTAATGGCTAATTGGAGCACAGACTTTTCTGCTTGGTCTGGCTTAGAACCACAATTCTCAGATCTCAGCCTCCTGAGTAGCTAGGATTATAGTCATGAGCCATTACTGCCCAGTTTGGTCATCTTTTATTATTTATTTATTTATTTATTTATTTTTGGTCCGGTCGTGGGGCTTGAACTCTGGGCCTGGGCGCTGTCCTTCAGCTCTTCAGCTCAAGGCTAGCACTCTACCACTTGAGCCACAGCATCACTTCCGGCTTTTTTTCTTTTTGCTTATGTGGTGCTGAGGTATCGAACCCATGGCCTCATGCATGCAAGGCAGGCGCTCTACCACTGAGCCACCTTCCCAGCCCCAAAGGCATAATTGTTTTCTTTTTTTCTTTTTTTTTTTTTAGAACCAGTCTTGGGGCCTGAACTCTGGGCCTGGGCACTGTCCCTCAGCTCTTCAACTCAAAGCTAGTGCTCTACCCCTGAGCTACAGTGCCACTTCTGGCTTTTTTCTTTTTGCTTATGTGGTGCTGAGGAATTGAACCCAGGGCCTTAGGCATGCAAGGCAAGTGCTCTACCACTGAGCCACCTTGGTCATCTTTTAAAGTATCATCATCATCATTATTTGAAGTTTTTTTTTTTGTTGTTGTTGTTGTTGTTGTTTTTTTTGGCAGTATTGGACTTTAAACGCAGGGTTTCTCTTTTTTTTTTTTGGCAGTACTGGAGTTTGAATACAAGGCCTCACACTTGTTAGGCAAGCACTCTATGATTTGAGCCATATCCCTAGCTTGAAATTCAAGGATGTTTTATTTTAAAATCTGGGAAAGGGCTGGGAAGGTGGCTCAGTGGTAGAGTGCTTGCCTTGCATTCATGAGGCCCTGGGTTCCATTCCTCAGCATCACATAAGCAGAAAAAGCCAGAAGTGGTGCTGTGGCTCAACTGGTAGAGTGCTAGCCTTGAGCTGAAGAGCTGAGGGACAGTGCCCAGGCCCAGAGTTCAAGCCCAAGACCGGCAAAAACAAACAAACAAAAAAATAAAATAAAACCTGGGAAGTAGCAGGAAGGTAGAAGAAGGCATGCAGGATAAAGAGGAACATATTTTGCCTTTCCTCTACAAACTTCACTTTTGTAAACTAACTACAGAATTCTTTATAGAAATATAGTTAATCAATATGATTTTATTAAAAAACCATCTAATCTATATAATCAATACAGAGGAGTAACTGCATTGAAATATTAAAAATTCCAGCCTTTTGGAACACCTAATGAAAAAATATATCTAGGCAGTGATCATAAAATTCATACAACCCTGGTTTTTGACCTTGACTGCATGTTAGAATTATATAGAAACTTAAAAAAATGGATACCTAGACCCTACACTCAGAAGGTCATTCAAAATGTATTTTTTCCATGTTTACATCTTTTACTCTCAGCTTTCCCCTTAGAGCCGCTCAGAGTACAGCCTCAATCCCATAGTTTTACAAATGTCAGAGTGACTGCCATGTGTTGGTAGAGTCATAAAGCACTGTTCTAGCTGTACGACTAGTCCAGGCTGACAATACTTAGACTCACTGAAAGTCATTATTGTTGTTTGAAAACACTAGGCCCTTCTTTAAAGTAACCTCCTCCCCAAAATAAAAAAAGTCTGACTCTAATGAAGCCTCCAGATCTAACCACCATTTTACAGGATGTACAGGAAACAAGACAAATAATTTATCTTTCAATATGATAGGGGTTGTAGATTAAAAACAATATCCACTAAATGCTATGTGTGGAAATTTTTTACATCATTTTTAAAATTAACCGTTTTAAAAGAAAAAATTGGTGAGATCATAGATTGGTTGTTAATATTTTAGGTGTGAAAATGGTATTGTAGTTATGTTAGAAAGGAAGTCTTTCTTTTGGATACATATACAAATACTTATGAATGAAATGGTAAGATATCTGAGATTTGCTTTAAAACAGTCTGTAGCTGTGAAGTGAGCATATAGATGAAACTAGTTAGGCTAATAATATCTGGGACAGGGTAATACATTCATTATAGGACCATCCTTACTTCTGTGTATGCCTAAAATTTTTCTACATTAAAAGTTAAAAACGAAAAGAATCAAGATATTTAGGATAAATAAATAGAAATTAAGGCTCAATAGAAGGTTGAGAAGGATAGAAGAGAAACAGGGAGCTCTTGGGTAGCTAGATCAGGAGTCATATTACACATAGAAGGCCAAGAAGCAACCTCTACTAGGGTTTGTTAAGGCCAAGACATCCACTGCTTCTGACAGTGCACACACAGGAGTGTTTCCATTTGGCTTCTTACCTTGATTCCACTGAGCATCTCATTCATGAGCTTTAAACGTTGGTCTTTATTTTTCATATTTTTGACCTGTCAGGAAAAAGCAAAACAAAAACAAAACATACTTCCATGGGAGAGGGTTCAAGTTTTTTGCAGATGCTAAGCCTTGGTGGGTACTTGTGGCTCTCAGTCAGAACTTGAGGTGTCCTGTGATGGCATTTGTTTCTCACCAACTCCTCCCTTTGTCTACTCTGCTTAAACCAACCTTATCTTCTTCTTATCCCTGGAGATGTCAAGCTTGCTTCTGCTCTTCAGTCTTTCGCTAACTATACTCTCTTCTTAGGTTGTTTTTTCCTTGCAGTTCCCAAGACTAACACCTTCACAGTCATAATGTGTCATTCGGAGCTTAATTTAAATGCTCTCTTCACAGAGGAAGACTGCCAATAAAACACAACCGTCTACTCATTCGCATTTTATACTCAGGTCCATCTATAGTATTTCTCATGGTATGGTATTTTTCTTCTTTGCTTATTGCCTGCTTCTCCACCCCTAAGAACATAAGACCCATGAATACAGGAGCTTTGTCTAATTTGTTGTTGTGTTCTCAGAAAAAGTAAGATGTGCAATAAATATTTTAAAAACAATTATTTGTAAATAAATAAGGGCAAAGCAAGTCTAGATATCATATATACTGTTAAGCGCACCCAAACTATGAATCCTGGCTGTGCCAAGGGCTGTCTGTATGGATTCCTATCACTGGCAGTAGCAGGTGATTGCTAGGACTGAGTCAGAGATTTGGATCACTCACCAGCTCTGTAAGGCTGGTTAGTAGCGCTATGATGGAGAGTCATAATCAAATAAATAACTATTTTGAGGGCATCTCATCACAGCCAGTGGAAGAATATGTACCAGGTTTCTAGAGCAGCCCTTTCCTCTTCAACTAGGCTCTTCCCTTTAACATGAATGAAGATAAAAGCATGTGAGTCCTAAGAGTGGTCAAAAGCTGAAAAAGGGAAATAGAGAAAGCCAGGTATCTTTGGGATGACCGAAAGCCTTCTATCAGTTTTCCTTGCCAAACTTCCTAAGAATTAGTAGAGCAAGCATTTTAGATGCTTACAAAAGCATAGATTTCCAGGATGTTTCTTTACCTGAATATTTCTGTTCATGGTAGCCAGTATTCCATTAACTGGGACTAGGAGAATCATCACTCCAACACCTGCGAAGACAGAAGGTCCCAACTCTCTCCACAGAAAGAAGATAGCCAAGCAAATCTGCAAAGCACTTGACCACACCAAGTGCATGTAATTGGTCACATCCATGAGCTTTTGGGCGTCTACAGACATCAGATTCACTGTTTCTCCGATGGTGTACTGTTTCCTAGCCAAGTTGGATAGGGTCAGTGCCTAAAGATAAAGAGAGATTTGGACCCATTGGTAAGGCCAAGGATACTGAGGAGTAGATGGAGGAACTCTGGAAGTGAGAATACAATGGAAGGATAAGCTTCATTTGGACATAAGTTTTCCAAAAAACAAAAACAAAACAAAACAAAAAAACCTTGTGACTTCTTGCTTCCAAACATTACACAGTGTTTTCTCATCATCGACAACTCTTTCGGCCTATTTACACCCATATTCCTCCCCCTGCAACTCTCATTTATCTTTTAGTTCTTTTTTTTTTTTTTTGATGGTTGTGGGGCTTGAACTCTGGGCTTTGGCACTGTCCCTCAGCTCTTCAGCTCAAGGAGAGCGCTCTACCACTTGAGCTACAGCACCACTTCCGGTTTTCTAGTGGTTTATTGGAGATAGGAGTCTCATGGTCTCTCCTGCCGGGGCTGGTTTTGAACCGCGATCCTCAGATCTCAGCCTCCTGAGTAGCTAGGATTACAGGAGTGAGCCACCGGCGCCCGGCTAAATTCTTTTTTTTTTTTTTGGGGGGGGGGGTGGTCTGGTCATGGGGCCTGAACTCTGGGCCCTGTCCCTCAGCTCATCAGCTCAAGGCTAGCACTCTACCACTTGAGCCACAGTGCCACTTCCAGCTTTTTTCTTTTTGCTTATGTGGTGCTGAGGAATTGAACCCAGGGCCTCATGCATGCAAGGCAAGCGCTCTACCACTGAGCCACCTTCCCAGCCCCTATCTTTTAGTTCTTAAATGTAACTTCTGAGAAAACTATTCTCACTTCTAATTTTGAAATAAATAATTCATCCTGTGTACATTTATAATATTTTATGCTTACCCCTTAATCACAATGAGCAATAATTTATTTTTCTATTTTCTACTAGATTTATACTTGGTGAGGACCAGGGTTACATTTGTTCAACTTATTACCTCTTTCTGCCTCTGTATCATTACATCTGGCAATGCTCATGCTAGGGGGATTTTCTTGGTGATACTTGACACATTCTGCTTACCTTCTTATATACAGAAGCCATGATGGTTGTCCGTACACTCATTCCCAGAATGAAACACAATTGAAAATAATACTGAAGGCAGAAAGTTTGAATGAGAGTCACAGCAAACAAGAGGATTGCACAAAGATATCCAACCCATGGATATGTGTCTTTGTCACTTACAAAGGTGATGAGAAATCTGTCAAAGCAAAACCAAGTAAGTGATGCTCAACAGGCCTCCAAGCTTTTAATTTTCTCATATAGCTGACTACCCTACTTTTACTGATAACAAATAGTACGGAACTTCCCAATGTCTTTGGGAGACTTGTGCTCTGGTCTTGTTAGGGTTCTTGGCAGGATTCTTTCTTTCACTTGGGGCAGCAAGAGATTACATGACTGAGCGACAGGCCTAGAAATCCCACAGCTCAGAAGGCTGAAGCAGGGCCGGGGGTCAGGGGTGGGGGGGGTTGCAAGTGTAGTTGTGGAGATGAGAGGGCAGGGATGGTAAGGGAAAAACAAAGGAGGAAGAAACAATGCTTCATAAGAAATGTACTCATTATCTTGCTCATGTAGTTGTAACCCCTCTGTACAGCATTTTCACAATAAAAAAACTTATTAATAATAAAAAAGAAGGCTGAGGCAGGAAGATGAAGAATTTGAGGCTAACCTGGGTTATGAAATGAGATTCTATCTCAAAATGCAAACAAAAGAATGAATAATGAAAGAAATGTTCTATGTAGCTACCATTGTAATGCTTTGGCCTTGTCTTGTCCATCCCTTAATAGAAGCAGCTGTGTGACACAAGTTGATTCATTTCTAGCCAATTAGGACATGTATCTAAGAATCATAAATTCAAGAGGCTTGCATGGTGGTACTTCCTTCCAGATAGAGGAAGGTTGCAAAGTCTTGTCATGATGAGTCTAAACCTCCGAGGAGGGCTTCTGGGTATAAAGAGAGGCTCTTATCATAGAAGTTCTGTTTAACCAGAAAGAGTTTAATGAGCATCTGGCTTCTATTAGAGGAGGGACACAGAAAAGAAAGAGGTTAAAGTATGTATCATCTCAGATCTCAAACACTGTCTCATACTCCTCATGAAGACAATACTGTAAGGTAGAAGAAAATTATAAGCATTTTTCAAAAGTGGGAATTTATGAAAACTCTTGCTTGTCTGCACAAGGAGCAAAAAGGAGGGTGGCAGAGGAGGCACTCAGGGACAACCATGACTGGGAACTCACTTTAGCAGCTGAGGATTCAGAAACAAGAGGATGTCATGCACTAGTTTTGCTATGAATGATTTCAGGATCACAATGTAGAAAGTTTTGAAGATGGCCTTTATAAGCCAGGACTTGGGAAAGTCTTTTGTGGCTTCAGACTTCTTTTTTTTCTTTTTAGATTCTTCCTGGGTACAGAAAAAAAACAACAGTGTTCACAGAGTTGTGCAGAATAAAATTTTGTTCATACCCTGAACAGCTCTAGAGTTCCAGAAAGGCCTGGAGGCCTGTTGCCTTCTTGTATAGATTTTCATTTTCTCTATACCTCCTTGTTGCTGTCTCTCTCCGTTGTAATTGATGCCATAATCTGTTTTGTATCAGAAAATAGTCAACTATGCTGGTAAGAATATCACATAAACCCAGGCATGGTGGTACACACTTGTGATACTCAGCACGTGGAAGGCTTAGGCAGAAGGACTGTAAGTTTGAGATCAGCCTGTTTTATATGGCAAGTTCATGAACTGCCTTGGTAAGATTACATCAAATAAACCAATGGTTAGGGATATTTTTCAGTGGTAGAACACTTGCCTAATATAAGCAAAGCTCTGAGTTGGATGCCTGGTATCTCTCTCACACTCACACACACACAAAGTATATGATATGCATGCACACACACAAAGTATATGATATTCATGCACACACACACACACACACACACACACACACACACACACAAAGTATATGACATCAAAACAGAGAACAGTCTCTGAGGGAAAAGCTGAGAGTAAAAGATGTAAATGGAAAAAGTACATTTTAAATGCCCAAAGCTTTTTTGTTTTTTCCATTTTCATAGTCATTGGAGGAGTTATAAGTTGAATTGTGTCCCCACTAAAACATAAGTTGAGTTGGGTGCTAGTGACTCATGTTTATAACCCTAGCTACTCAGGTAGGTGGCTGAGATCTGTGGATAATGGTTCAGAGCCAGCACGGGCAGGAAAGTCCATGTGGCTCTCATCTCCAGTTAACCAGCAGAAAACTGGAAGTGGAGCTGTGGTTTAAAGTGGTAGAGTACTAGCCTTGAGCTAAAGAGCTCAGGGACAGCACTCAGCTCCTCAGTTCAAGCCCTTGACCACTACCACCAACCACAAAAAAGTTGAAGTTCTAACCTTTAGTATCTTGGAATGTGCCCTAGGGAAAATAAGTCAAGGTCTTTAGGGTAGTCTGTACTCCAAATGACCAGTGTTCTCATAGAAGAGAAAAAAATGGGGAGAAGGTGGTCATGTGTCCTAGGCCACTAATACATGAACCACAAAAATTCATCTGCCAGCTTCTTTTTCCTATATTCTGGCATCCTCATGCCCCCAAATTCAGCTTTTAATCCTCAGCTTTCAAGTTTTTCTACTACTGACATCCTCTTGTAACTTTTCTCAGTGATCAGTCTTTCTTGCCTAGACAACTGCTAGCCTTCCCACAACTGTCCCTCTTGCCAACAATCCACTCTCTAGGTGCAACTCAAGTCATCTTTCAAAAATATAAATCAGTTCACACTACTATTCTTCTTGAAGCCTGACATTTCATTAGACTTCAAATAAAATCCAGTCACCTTACTATGGCCTCCAAGGATTCACATAGCGTAGTCATTGTCCAACTCTCTGAGCTCATCTCATCCCACACTCAACCTCTCTCCCCATGCTCCAGAGATCTCCTTCCAGTCGTCTGAACATGCCCTACAGGCCCCCTTTCAGCCTCATATTCCTGCTCTCTCTGATTGGAACAGATCTCCCTCTGATTGCTCATGAATGGGTTGTTCTTATGGTTTGGGTCTCATTCTGCCACCATTGTTTTTGGTTGGTATTGGGACTTGAACTCAGGGCCTGGGCGCTGTCCCTGAGTTTTTGCACTCAAGGCTAGTGCTCTACCACTTTGAGCCACCGCTCTGCTTTCAGTTTTCTGGTGGCTAATTGGAGATAAGGCTCTCCTTGGATCTCAGCCTCCTGAGTAGCGAGGATTACACATGTGAGCCACCTGTACTAGCCATACCACTATTTTTTAAAAAATGAATCCTTACCAGTTACTCTGCTTTAAGCAGCACATTATTCTTTTTATTTTTTTGCCAGTCCTGGGGCTTGAACTCAGGGCCTGGGGTCTGTCCCTAAGTTTCTATGTGCTCAAAGCTAAAGCTCTATCACTTGAGCCACAGTGACACTTCTGGCTTTTCCTGTTAATGTGGTACTGAGAAATCGAATCCAGGGTTTCATGCATGCTAGGCAAGCACCCTACCACTAAGCCACCTTCCCAGCCTGCAACATTTCACTGTAAAGTCAATAAAATCTCGTCTTCTTTTTTCTCTTGAGCCTAAGCAACCCTCCTACCTCAGCCTCCTGAGTAAATGGTACAACAAAAGTGTACCACAGTGCCTTTCTTGTTTAATTTCTTAAACAAAGCATTTATTACTCTCAACATATGTATTAGATTATTTTCTAGCTGTCTATAGATGGGCACTTACTTGACCAGGATTCTTCCTTATATCTACTTCCCAAAACAGTTTCAGACACACAGCTATGGTCAATAAACATTTTTGCTAATGCTAACTTGCATCAAGATACAAACTCTAGTAATCCTGAGGTATTACTAAAATACTTATTGTTGTTATTATTTTGCCAATCCTGGGCCTTGAACTATGGTCCTGGGCACTGTCCCTGAGCTTTTTCTCAAGGCTAGTGTTCACCCGCTTAAGCCAAAGTGCCACTTCCAGGTTTTCTAAGTATTTTATTGGAGATAAGGAGTTTCACGGACTTTTCCTGCCTAGGCTGGCTTTGAATTGTGATCCTCAGATTTCAGCCTCCTGAGTAGTTAGGATTATAGGTGTGAGCCACTAGAACCTGGCTTATTGCTAAAATTATTTTATAATGGGAAATTTAAAATATACTCAAAAAGAGTATATTGTACACTCATTATCCAACAGTAAGGTATTACTAGTATCACAAATACAACTAATGCTATAAAATGCATTGAACAGTATAAAGTACTTATCAGAATCACTATGACATTGTTTCTTTCCTGAGACATAGAGCACACTCATATAAACATTTGTGGGAAAGTTACCAGGACAAGGACATCTTGACTTTGACTCTGGTTTTTGTCTAAGCCAGGTAGTGTGGCTCCAGATTTCCGCCGGGAATTCTTCTGCTGCCTCCTTTGGAAGGCTCGCTTGGCCTTCTGTAGGTCTCTTGTCATGAATACTTCAAATTTGCTCACTACTGACTTGGTTTTAATATCTTCATCAACATCCCAAATATCTTCAAGTGTCAAAGGTTGCTTGTAACCTTTTAGAACCATGCTGGAATAAGAATGACCCACATAGTAAGACACTGTGGTCTGCATAAAAGGCTTTCTCTTTGCTGCTCCTATCAAAACCTGCCTTCCAGATCTGGGATAAAAGGACCTCTTCTGGACCTTTGAACTTGACAGAGGGATGGGAAGTATATGGGGATAATAAAATGTGTTAGCAGACAATAAGAAAAGGGAAGGAGGGCTATCCCTGTGGAATAATACCTGCAGCCTGACTATACTCTTGCCTCTCCCAGAGTCTCCATGATGTCTTTAGAAAATGGATTAGGCCCGATAGCTGTTTCCAGCACTCCAATTTGGAGTTTGAGAACATGGATAGAAAATAAATTACATTTTTGGGCTGGGAAGTTGGCTCAGTGGTAGAGCGCTTGCCTTGCATGCCTGAGGCCCTGGGTTCAATTCCTCAGCACCACATAAGCAAAAAGCCGGAAGTGGCGCTGTGGCTCAAGTGGTAGAGCGCTAGCCTTGAGCTGAAGAGCTGAGGGACAGCACTCAGGCCCAGAGTTTAGGCCCCACAACCGGACCCAGAAAAAAAAAAAAAAAAGAAAATAAATTACATTTTTATTTATGTAGCTTCTAACTGAAATCTATCATTTCCTTCTAATAAGAGCTCAGTATGATATCTTTGTCACCAGGAGAAGTCATAGATGTTTTCACGGCAAATTTATGCTCATCACTACTTTAAAATTTTGGTCCTTCCAGGAAGTAGCACTGTTGCTCAAAGTGGCAGAGCACTAGTTTCAAGTGAAAAAGCTTACGGACAGTGTCCAGGCCCTGAGTTCAAGCCCCATGACTGACAAAAAAATTATGGTCCTTATTCAACCTATCACTTACTTACCTTGCTACTTACTATACTAATTTAAGAGTACATGTATTATTATATCACAAATTCATTTTAAAGTATTTTAGTAACCATATTTCAATGTATCTTATTTCCCTGATAGTCTTCATATCTTTTTTTAATTTTTCTCTTTTTTTTTATTGTGAGAATACCATACAGAGGAGTTACAATTTCATGGGCAAGATAACGAGTACATTTCTTATCAAGCATTGTTGCCTCCTCTTTGTTTCCCCTTCCCTTCCCTTCCCATACTCTCCCCACCTCCCCCCACCCGATCCTCCCCCCCAAAGTTGTAAAGTTCATTTTTCGACGTAACGACTTGTACATATCTTTTACATATTTAAAACATCATCTGAGAAGGAGCTCATGGTTTCACTAGCTTGCCAAAGGGGTCCATAGGTACAAAGGCCAAGAATACATATTGTAGACCCAGACCAGCTTGGGTCCACCAACTATGTACCACACTGACTACCTCTACATTTCCCCTTTCTTCTCCTACTACCTCTTTCCTTTTCTCCTGTGGAGTTCCCAGGCTTCCAAGAGCAATTATCTTCCATCCATTATGATCCTAATCTGGCCAATAAAAGAGCTAAATTAAACTAACTTACAGAATTGTATTTTAAAATTAACTTTTCCTTCACTTTCAGACTAGTGAGGAAGTAGAAATATGGAAAAAACCCATACTCCAGGGGTTTCCTACCTGTCATACCAACTAAAGGTAATGCTACTCAGAAATGAAGCCGTGGATGAAGGATTCTGAAAGATACAAAACATTAAAAAGTAAATCAGTTGGAAACAGGAACTCTATGGGACTCTAAAACTTGAAACTGATTTTTCTAGATAACTATGCGGTGTTGAAAATTTGGTATGATGCTAGAGTCAGTTGATCAATATAAGCTTATCTGAAGACCATAATTGAATAGAATAATACTCAGACTTTCTAGATTGGATGTACACATTAGCCACCTGTGCTGAAGATTTAAGGGTAAATTCATGTTCAGTATAATATGCTTGTCATTATTTCTTTGTATATAAAATATTCGGCAATACAGGTTGAATATCCCTTATCTGAAATGCTTAGTATCTCAGGAATTTCAGACTTTGAAAGTTTTTTTTTTTGCAATATGCATAGACTTTTTGAAAGTTTCAGATTTGAAGAATTTTGGATTTCAGACTTTCAGATTAGGGATGCTCAAGCTGTATGTATATTATTTGGGGAACAGAGGACTTCCATAACACTTAGATATCTCAAAGTTACATTTGTTAAGGATGAAGTAGTATATGAAATGGGCATATTTAGTCTCACATGTGATGAATCACTTGGTTCAGAAAGGGCCGAAAGGATCAGGATCAGGATCTGGAATCCATAGGAGACGAAGTATAGGCAGGAATAGACCATATTAGACTTGCTGTCCTACAGAGGGAGGAGGTTGGAAAAAAAATGAGTCTTTTATCCAAGTCTAAACAGTCCAAATGTATCAGTGCTTGTGATTAGAGACTGTTACCAACCCCCTCTCCTCTGATACAATTCTATCTTGGAACTCAAATTACTTGATGCCCTTTGCTTTGACTTAGAAGTTGCCCAGAAGTACCTCCTCAAGTCACCTTCTCTTTCCTGCTTACCTGTATGAGTGCCCGGAGCATTGTCTGAAATTGGAAAGTACCACAAAGTATTGAGAGAATCCAGAAAAGGGACAAGTACCAAGAATTTTTCTGTATACACCACAGCCTACTGTGTTGGACCAGCAAAACCAGGATCTAGAAAGAAATCGACATGAAATTCTGAAGGACAGTGTCACTACTAACCAAAAAAAGGAGGGGAGGAAGGTATCTGATGAAGTGAGAAGAGAGGAGCTCTGAAGGAGACTGTTGATATACATGAATGTCAAATTGTACATTTCCTCACTGATGCTATCTAACTCACTTCTTCCAGTGCTTCATCTCTATTCACCACCTTTGGTGGGAAATTAGCCAAGAAACAAAAGGGTCAATGTGCATTTTAGAAGAGTTACTTTGGAGCTGGGCGCCAGTGGCTCACGCCTGTAATCCTAGCTACTCAGGAGGCTAAGATCTTAGGATCACAGTTCAAAGCCAGCCAGGGCAAGAAAGTCCGTGAGAATCTTAGCTCCAATAAACCACTAGAAAACCGGAAGTGGGGCTGTGGCTCAAGCGGTAAAGCACTCACCTTGAGCTGAAGAGCACAGAGACAGTGCCCAAGCCCAGAGTTCAAGCCCCACGACCGACCAAAAAAAAAAAAAAAGTTACTTTGGGAGTTATGAAAACTTTTTCAAGACTCAATGAAGGGCTGGGAAGGTGGCTCAGTGGTAGAGTGCTTGCCTTGCAAGCCTGAGGCCCTGGGTTCTATTCCTCAGCACCACATAAGCAAAAAGAGAAAAGCCAGAAGTGGCACTGTGGCTCAAGTGGTAGGGCGCTAGCCTTGAGCTGAAGAGCTGAGGGACAGTGCCCAGACCCAGAGTTCAGGCCTCACGACTGGACCCAAAAAAAAAAAAAAAAGACTCAATGAAAAGGCAGATTCTGATAAATATTTACCAGTTTTCCATGTCTTGATTTTGTAATATTGGGCTAATAAATTAATTCTGACAACACCAAACTTTGCCTTTTATCATCTCACTTACGTGCTATGTTGGTTTCCTAGATCAGGTGCTATGCTAGTAAACCAGTATTGTGGGGGACTAAAATTGTGGCTTGCAATTTTCCTGGTATAAATATTTCTTGCTATGGTAGATTTTTAATTCCAACCTGTCACTAAATAAAGAGCTGTATATGAGCCAGGTCCAGTACACCACTGTCTACATCCTTCTGTGTTTATTCTATAATAGTAATAGCAAACAGAAGTTCCCAGAGTAGACTTAGCAGGTCATGATATGAAGTGAAGGCAGGTCCAGGAGAGCAAGAGCCTTATTGCCATATGCTGTAACGGACCAACTTCTACTCAGTTTCAGTAGACTATTGCTCTGTGAGTGTAGGTCTATAGCTGCAAGATGTTCTCTGATTTTTTTTCAAGAAATTTTGTTAATCTAAGTAAGTTTGGGGTAATCTTTTAAAATGATAGCAACTAATTGAATTGTTTTTAAACACTATACAGGACCTCCAAAAATATGCTTGAAATCTTTGCTATTAAGCTATACAAATAATTCAGTGAGGTATGGTTAGTCACCAATCAATTTAAAATAATAATTACAACATTAAAAATGTTTGTTGACATTACTGGGATTTAAAATCAGGGTCTTACACTTATTAGGCAAGTGTTTTACACTTGAGCCATACCTCCAACCCTTTTTGTTTTAGTTTATTTTTATATAGGGTCTCTTGCTTTTGCTACAGCCAGCCTCAGACCATGATCATCCTATCTACTTCCCATGTAGCTGAAATTACATGGATGACTCATTATGCCCAGCGTGGGTTTTTTTTGTTGTTGTTTGTTTTGTTTTGATATTTTGGTTTGGTTTGGTTTGGTTGGTTGGTTGTGGGGCTTGAACTCTGGGTTGGGTGCTGTACCTGAGCTCTTCAGCTCAAGATGAACACTCTACCACTTGAGCCACAGTGCCACTTGTGGTTTTCTAGTGGTTAATTGGAGATAAGAATCTCACAGACTTTCCTGCCTGGGCTGGCTTTGAACCATGATCCTCAGATCTCAGCCTCCTGAGTAGGTAGGATTATAGGCATGAGCCACCAGCACCTGGCCCCAGCTTGTTTTTGAGACATGGTCTCACTAACTTTTTACATGGTTTGACCACAAACCCTGATCTTCATCTCTCTGCCTCCTGAATAGCTTATCCTCTCTCCACTCCTTTTATATCATCACCCTTATATCTCATCTATGATCCTAAAAGCAGAGAAGGCTTTAAAAATTAGATGAAATCTAAGGTTTCATCCCATTACAACATTACAATCAAACTTTGCTTCCTTCTAAATCCTTGAGAAATATAGATAGAATTGGATGTAATTTTACCACAGAAGCATACACTTCAGCTAGATGTCTATAGGTAGACAGAAGATAAACATGGTGAAAGTGGTGATAGGCCTTACCCATGTGCACAGGTAGAGGATTGGATTTGTATATTTAACAGGAGGGATAGTGGCTTGTCCAGAGTCTTCTGTGAGTACAAAGGCCAGCTCTATCGCTGCTAGTATAAGCAGAGACCCGACGAGTATCTGACAAGGAAAAAAGATGGTTGTTAAGCTCATGTCATTCTTTATAAGGCTCTGGTTTCCAGAAATGGATGGGGAAAATAGTATATAGAGATTCAAACCACACAATGAATATTTTGAAGTGAACAGACATAGAGTTCAAGTAAGAATTTAGTTCAAAATATGTCTTGACGAATATTTTTAAGAAATGCTAAGTGTGAGGGCTGGACTTGGTGACTCCATTCTAAGGACAGAAAATGGTGCAAATGATAGTGTTTGATTTTCAAGATTAGGTCATAAAAAGCAATGTAGTTTCTTTCTTTTTGTTTTCTCTGTCATATCACTCACTCTGAGGAAATCTTCAAGCACCTGCCATGAAGGCATTCAAATTGCTCTAGGGAGAGGGTCTCTTGAGTAGGAAGCAAGACCTCTTGCCGATAGTCACATGGGTTTAGCCAACAAGCCAAGTGTCTAGGCCAGAACCTCATAAGAAACCCTGAAACAGAACCTAGATAAGTAGCTCCCAAATAAAAAATATTTATTCTTTAAGCTGGGGGACTTATTGCACAATTACAGAAAGTTAATAGAAAGCAGAATCCCCTTAGCCTAACTGGGATGATAACCTTTCATTTTTTTCAATATTAACTTTTGAAGTACTATCACAAACAATTGTGACTATTTAACCCTGGGATGACTTTAAGCCAAAAGAAACTGTCCTATGAATCCAGGTGCTAGTGGCTCATACCTGTAATCCTAGCTACTCAGGAGGCTGAGATCTGAGGATTACGGTTCAAGGCCAGTGCAGGCAGGAAAGTCCATGAGACTCTTTATCTCCATTAACCACCAGAAAACTAAAAGTAGTGCTGTGACACAAAGTGGTAGAGCATTAGCCTTGAGTGAGTGAAAAAAAAATCTCACAGTGCCCAGGCACTGAGTTCAAGGCCTATGACTCTCTCTCTCCCTCTCCCTCTCCCCCCTCCTCTCTCTCTCTCTCTCTCTCTCTCTCTCTCTCTCACACACACACACACACACACACACACACACACACACACACAAAAGGTCCTAAGAGCTCAAGACTTACTCCTTATTGTATCACGTTAAAGATTCATTCCCCAGCCATCAGGAAGATCGCTGCTGAGGAGAGAAACAGCCCCCAAATGAAGACCTTTACTACTATCTCCCTTTCCACCTCCATGCATTATTATAAATCTCACTCATCTAGAATGGCTCTGACAAAGTCCTTTGTAAAGAAAAGCAGCCAAGGAGATTACTGTACCTTAATAGGATCAGTGCAATATTTAACCAAGGAAGCCAATGGGACATGTTAATATCAGGAATTAATTTCCTCAAGTACATCATACACTATATTGTACTTGCTTCCTGATAAACATTAAGGTTTCAGGTCAGGGGAGAAACAATAATTTAGAGATGAAGTTATGTTGCCCTTAGGAAATAGGAGGTAAAAATAGAATTCAGCACTCATCCTTGAGAATGGCTAGATAGAATGACTACTAGCCAGGAGACTAGACTGGCTTTAAGCCTCAGGACTGGCAAAAATAAAATAAAGGCTGAGAAGGTGGCTCAGTGGTAGAGTGCTAGCCTTGCATGCATGAGGCTCTGGGTTCAATTCCTCAGCACAATCTAAGCAGAAAAAGCTGGAAGTGGCACTGTAGCTCAAATGGTAGAACACTAGCCTTGAGCTGAATTGCTGAGGGACAGCGCCCAGGCCCAGAAGGCCCCATGACCAACAAATAAATAAATAAAAATAAAATAAAACAAACAAAAAGAATGAAAGGTTTATTATGGCTTATAGTTTTAGATATTTCAATTCATGGTCTTTGGGGCTTGTGGAAGTACAACATGGCAGGAGCCTAGGGAGGCCTATTTAGGAAGCAGAGACAAAAGAGGAAAGAGTCCCAATTAATCTTTTTTTTCAAAAAAGGGAATATTTTGATTATTTTTCTTTTCAGTTTCTCTTCAATGGCACACTCCTAGTGACCTAACTTCCTTATCCTAGGCCCCATCTTCTAAAAGTTCTACCAGTTTCCGGTATGGTACAGACTAGTGATTAAGACTTTAACATATAATCCTTTGGGGGACATTTAAGATCCTCCCCACAGCAGAGAGTAAAGTTGGGAAACAACAGAAATCAGAGGTTTAACTGAAGTTGTATAATTATGGTAGTCATTTTCTTCTCTCACCTATTCCACTCCATTACTGCAAGCACACTGACAACAACTATATCAATCATTTCCACAGGTCAGACTAAAGCAAAATAAATACTCTCCTCCAGAGGAGGGCTGTGCATGTAGTGTGGGTATTGGTGCTCCAGAGGGAATGTGATGGAATGTGTCTTCATTTGCGGGAACCTGGCAAGTCTGCAGAGATATTTGTCCAGGACACAGAGCTCACCATCGGGCCTCATACTGGGGAGAGGCCAGATGGGGAAGCCAACTTAAGTATTAGCAGGGAGATCTTCTTTAGCAATATGTTAATTATATCTTCTCTATATATTAATTCTCTTGGGCTTTAACTTAGAAATGCAAACAGAATTAGAAATGGTTAGTTGAAAAAAAAAACAAACCTAAATACTAGCAATGAAGATAGTCAAGGTAATTAATACAATAGTTGGTTCTGGTATTAAACAAATAGAAATTATTAAGTGAACCGAACAGAATTTTAAATTATTTAAAAATTGATGTAAGATTTGGGGAGATATTGCATCCATAAATAGTGGCTTTGTTAAGTGAAAAGGTATATTCTGAAATTAAGAAGAATTATTATAGATTGCTAACTGCTAAAATAAAGTTCTTCTGAAAAACTGGAAGAAAACATTGGGGAAATCTAGAATGTAGGGAGAAAAAAGGAAAAAAACGATTCTAAAAAGGGAGAGAAGAAGACACAGATTAAGGAGAATCCATTCAGAGAATTCAACATCAATTCACAGTGACATATTCTAGATGATTTACTAAGTATGTATCTTTAAACAAACTGACCTAGGGAGTAACTCACAGGTTAATCAAGTAGGTTAACTAAGTCCAAACAAGATAAACACTACACTAATAACCAAATAAAGGCAAGAGGTGAGGCAGAGAGGACAAAGTCCAAAGGTAGATAGAAAAAGAAGCTGCAAAATAAAGTTCAGGATTGAAACAAGATCAGGGTTGTAACAGAAGAATTGGAGTGTTGTTACAATTATATTTATGATTATGTTGAGAAAACAATGAATTATTTTGAACATTTTAAGAAGCACTTGGAGTAAAGAACAAAAAATTCAAATTCAGGCTGCAATGCTTGGTAAGAAATGTACGCATTATCCTGCCCATGTAATTGTAACCCCTCTGTACAGTATGTTCATAAATTAAATTAAATTAAATTAAAAAAATTCAAATTCAAATTATAAATTAATATCCAGAGATAATGTTAGAATGAACAGATTATTAACTACTGGGAGAGGGGGAAGAGTTAATACATTCTTTTTCTTTTTCTCTATAGAGGCTTGTGCTTTCGGGTTAAAACAGAATGTGGTGCATTCACACAAAAGAATAGCATTCCTCCATAAAAAGAAATGAAGTACCAATAAATACTACTTTGGAAACATTGTACTAAGTTAAAGAAGCCAACCATAAAAGTCTATATATTGCATGATTCCACTCATATGAAATGTGTAGAACAGGAAACCTCTACAGACAGCAAGTCGATTAGTGGTTGCTTAAGTATAAAGAAAAGGGAAACACAGAAGTTAAAGAATTTTTCAATGGACTTTGAAAATGTTCTAAACTTGACTCTGGTGATGGCTGTTCCTATCTTTAAATGTACTAAAAACACTGAATTATATTGAAATGTGAGGATTATGTGGCATGTAAATTATTATTATTATTATTGGTGCCAGTACTGGGGTTTGATCTCAGGACCTGGTGCAGTCTCAGCTGTTTTTGCTCAAGGCTAGCTCTATCACTTGACCCATACCTCCTCTTCTGACTTTTTGCTGGTTAGTTGGAGATAATAGCCTCACAGACTTTCCTGCCCTGGGTTGGCTTTGAACCATGGTCTTTAGATTTCAGCTTTGCAAGTAGCTAGGATTAAAAAATGAATCATTGCTACTTGGCTAAAATTAGATTTCATTAGGAAAAATAATAGTTTGCTCATTACCCAACCTCTTGTTGGAAGGTCAAAAAGAAAAAAATAAATAAATAACTTGACTGGTCAGAATGTTTAGAGTCTAATAAACTGTGAACTTAATCCCTAGTCCTAGGGTAAATTTTTCCCCCAGGTCCTGGGGCTTGAACTCAGGGCCTGAGAGCTGTCCCTCAGCTTCTTTTGTGCAAGGTTAGTGCTCTACCAGTTGAACCACAGTGTCAGTTCTGGCTTTTTGTGAGAAGTTTATTGGAAATGAGTCTCATGTACTTGTTGGCCCTGCGGCCAAACCACTATTCTCACATCTCAGCCTTCAGAGTAGCTAAGATTGCAGACATGAGCCACCAAGTGCCCTGCTTGCTAGGGTGAATTTAACATAAACATTTCAACAAATGTTGAATTCAACCTCAGCATTTAATACATGCCAAGTCCTATGATAGTTATTTAGGCCAACAAGGGAGAGAGTAAATCTGCTCCAACTCTCAGAGACCGTTCTTTTCCTTTCCAGTCTAACAAACCCATTCTTAGCCCCCATCCTAAAGTGTTTATGTAAATCCCACTTTCTGTGGCCAAGCTTTTTCCTGTCTCAAGTTCCAGGTTAGTAGATCACAGATACATGTGAGCACAGAGGAAAGAAATATATTGTGTCTTTCTAAAAACTGGTTTTAAAATGAGGACAGAAAATTTTAAAAAAGAAAAACCCCTAGTGAATAAAGCAGATGGTAGATTTTATGATGTAACTTCACAACTTTCATGGAAGATTTTGGGTCCTACAAGACCCCTTCCTAAATTAGTAACTCTGGCTGTGAGTTCCTCACTTTGCTCTTCCAGGTTTCTCTGCCATAGCCCATACCCCTTCTATGATTTCCCTATTCAGGCTTACCTGAGGTCATTTATAAACAACTCTTCCCTCCAATGTGAGAGGAAAACTCTAGGGCTCATAGAATTCTGGGAATTCTATTTTGGGAAAAATGGAAACCTAGTTGTCATCCAAGTTTGGTCGATGAGTGATGATTGCATTGCCTCTATGTTGCAGAAGATGCATTATGTAATTCAATTTTCACTTTTTGGTAAGTGCCAGCTGCACTACTGATTTATTAGGGCAGCTTAAAGACCTGTGATCCAGTCAGTGTTTGCTTCCCAGATACAGGAAAAATATTAACAATTTGAACCATTACTTTTGTTTGTGTCTCTGCTCTCTAAATCCATAGGAGTTAAAAGTCACTATTCTTATGTAATATCATAGCCATTTTGATGAAGAAATAAGGCAGGAAGGAGGCCAGTGAGGCTCAGGGAAGACCCAAAGCATGGTTTTGCCTGGCAAAGCAGTACCTGGTAAAACTAAGAAGATACCAGAGAGAGAGAGAGAGAGAGAGAGAGAGAGAGAGAGAGAGAATAAGACACCATAAAAAATTTTAAAAGAATTAAAAAAGAATAAGAAACTGGGCGGCGGTGGCTCTTGCCTGTAATCCTAGCTACTCAGGAGGCTGAGATCTGAGGATCACGGTTCAAAGCCAGCCCGGGCAGGAAAGTATGTGAGACTCTTATCTCCAATAAACCACTCAGAAAACTGGAAGTGATGCTGTGGCTCAAATGGTAGAGTGTTCACCTTGAGGTGAAGAGCACAGGGAGAATGCCCAGGCCCAGAGTTCAAGACTCATGACTGACCAAAACAAAAAGAAAGAAAGAAAGAAAGAAAGAAAGAAAGAAAGAAAGAAAGAAAGAAAGAAAGAAAGAAAGAAAGAAAGAAAAGAAAAAAGAGAATCTGTGCCACAAGGAAGTAGAGTAAAAGTAGAGAGGGTTACTGTACCTGTTTAGCGAGGTAGAATTTAGTTATAGAAGATGTCTTGGTTCTGGATCTATATACATGGAAAAGTTGCCAAGGTGCCAGGAGCCAAAGAAAACCCAGGGGAATCCATACCAGAACAGTTTGTTCAAAACAAAGTGGCAGGTCTGCCTCCGGGGTATTCAGGTATGAGGAATTCTGAGAAGGTAGAAAGTATTTCTGGATACATGCATTCTTTTAAACAAGCCCATCCCCAACACACCCTATAAGCTTCCAAGTAATTTTTAAATTCAACTCCACATCTACATCCAGCCTTACCCTTTAAATATGTGCTTCCTTGGGCAGCTCAAATACTAAAACTGGAATTCTTTATATTTTCTTGTTCATCCTCATTGACATAAATTCTCCACTTCATGATGTTTAGTGACTTTTCTAGCCATCTCAATCTCTAAGCACCTATTTTTGTGTTATTTCTACACCAGCTATGCTAGATAAAGCAAATTTTTGTATCAGCTCTTCTGAGTGAAACTCAAAATATTTGCCAAATTTTAAGAAAAGGGACTATTCCTCAATGCAATGGGGAGAATATCTACCTGGATATAAAACTGTATTATTATTTATTTTCTAGCACTAGATGAGCTCACTGTCAAATGGTCAAACATGTAGGCACTAGTCAACAGAACACCCATTCATCATATGACATACGGACCTATATGGTCCAAAGGGCTTATTTTTAAAAAAAATCAAGACAGTTTGGTCAATTTAAGCACAAGATCAACAGAAAGCTCCCAGCAAGGTCTGCACCAGTCTTTGTACACTGTAAAATTGAAGTAAAGAGTCTGAGTCCAAGTAACTTCTTACAGCTACCTTGGTGCCTCTTCCTGAGTTGAGGGAATTTTCCACCCAGCACTGAAAAGCCTAGGGGTGAGAGAAGCCATTCAGTAAATGCAGATGCCTAGCTTACGGTGAACTAGGAGGGCTCTGCTTTAGAAAAATGCAGATTGTCATAGCTTTAGAAAAGCTTTGCATAGAGAATGTTCAGACTCTGCCTTGATTATTACCTCCCTAAATGGCTTGGATCACACACCTTTGAGTAGCCTCTAAGACTTCCCCCTATGTAGAAAGTTGAGGTGTAACTTCCCTAGATGGAAAAGTTCTGCTGATACCTGTGCTTGTACCTGAGCATGTCCATATAAGGTCTGCTTTCGTTGAGGCTTCGTCTCTACCCCAAGCATGTGGTTGTTGCCTTAAAAAAGCTTGGTGCCAGCTTTGTGTGGGGCTGCTGGTCTTTGAGACGGGAGTATACCATGTAGTCACTTGCCCTTTAATAAAGACTCTCAATTCGATCTTTCAAAACGTGGCTTCTCTGTTTTCTCACCACACAACACAATAAATAGAAGTATCTTGTGGTTGGGAGGCCACTGAGTTGTGTGAATGCAGACTTTAAAATTTTTCCTTTAGTTTTACATTGTTTCATATGAGTATTGGTACAGACTCTATAAAAAAAAAAAAAAAAGTTGAAGTGCCTGATTTGTCAGGTAATCTCAGGACTTCTCAAGAAGTGATGGTGGGCACTGGTGGCTCACACCTCTAATCCTAGCTACTCATGAGGTAAGATCTGAGAATCATGGTTTAAAGCCAGCCTGGGCAGGAAAATCCAGGAGACGTTTATCTCCAATTTACCACCAGAACACCGGAAATGGCACTGTGACTCAAAGTGGTAGAGCACTAGCCATGAGCCAAAGAGCTCAGGGACAGCCCCAGGACTGACAAAGAAAAAAGAAAAAAAAATACCACCTTCCTGTGGTATTCATGTCCTGGTCTGATCTGACAGTGCTAGAAATAATCTCTGTCTCTCACTCTCTTTCTCTCTCTCATGTTAATAGGGGAGCTTAAACTCAGAGGCTCAACTGAGTTTTCAGCCACACCTCCAGCTCTAGCATTTGACTAATTAATTGGAGATGGAGTCTCTCTGACTTTTCTGAACATGATCTTCCAATTATCTGCCTCCCGAATAGTTAAAAATAAGCATGGCACAGGGGCACCCAGCTTAATTCTCTGCTCCACTAAGCTACTTGATAATGGTGGCTGCCTTTCTATCTTGAAACTCTGCTGAGGCTTCCAGATGTTATACTATTCTTTATGCTCCCAAATACCTGACCACTCCTTCAGTGGTGCTTCTTCTTTACCTTCTCAAAACACAGTATTGCCCAATTCTAATTGTTCAAAAATTATCTCAGAATGCCTAAACTTGTACCCATCCTCATCTTCTGGTCTATACTCTGTTACCAGTTCCTCTAGAACATATTATTATCCACATATCTCAATACTCAGTCATAGAGCTTCTCTTTTTAGCCCCCCAAAGTGTATAAAAATTATCATTACTAACACCAAAGAAATCGGAAAATTCCCCCCCCCCCCCATTTCTTTGTGGAGAAGGCAATATTGCAGGTAGCTAGTCCGAGAAAACAGTCTGAGATACACAAAATACATGTTAAAGAATAAATTCTATTATCTTTTCCTCTGGAGGCAGTGTGAATTGTCTTTTTATTCAAAAGCCTGAGCTATAATCCAGTTTCACTGCTAACTTTTCTTGTTGCTGTCTACTCTAGTAAAAATACCTCTACTCTTGAGTTGAAAAAACAATGAGAATAAATGTAATATCTCACCCAAAAAGTAGAGTTGCAGAAGTTCTCCATAACGATTCTTGGATAACTTCTTGAAGGAAGACTTCTATGGCTGTGTTCTTTCTTCTTTTCCTTTAAGAAGGTGGACTGTAACTACCAATGTGTTCTTCCCATTTTGATGCGCCTATTAAAGGTAGGTCTTCTGACCTTTCATCCCAACAACTTAATAGTTAACCTTGCCTGGATGCATGCCTACCACATCCCAGTGCATAGACATGTGACCTGGGATTTCCAGGGACAGGTAAAACTTTCAAGCTCCTAAACCTCAAACTTCAAACCTCCACAGTATCACCATATATCAAAGGAACCATGAAGAGATGTCAGGTCTCAGCTTCTTGAGTAACTAGGATTATAGGCGTGAGCCACCAGCACCAGGCCACATCTTAACCATTTCTAAGTATACAATTCAGCAGTTTAAGTGAATTCTGGAGAATTTTTCACCTCACAAACAACTTCCTACTTCGTCTCTTTCTAGCAAATCACATATTATTTTAATACAGGGCATCTCAAATGAACAATAAGACATTCTTCCCAACATATTAAAGTATAAACATCCTACATTGGAGGATAGTGTGGAAACATTTGTTTATCAATACAAATGCAACTATACTTCTGAAATTATATAGCAGAACTCAGTTATAATAACTTACTTAAATAATCAACAATGCAAGAACTTTTCTAATAGTACCATTGAGATTATCATTGTTCACACACATACTACCCTGTAAGGAACTCAAGTAATCAGAGAATACAGGACTAATTAGTTTTAACTCGAATTTATTTAAGCACAGTATGTTCTGTGTATGTGTGGGTGACAATCTTGGGGCTTGAACTCAGGATGGGTGCTATCCTTGAACTTTTTTGTTCTACCATTTGAGACACAACTATACTTCCTAAGCACAGTATTTTTATGGCTCTCCTAGTAAGAGTAAATACAATAGTATCTGTGCAGAAAACACTATAGTCTGAATAGGCAAAGTATAATTAAATATGAAGAGTGATTTAGAAAGATGAGCTGGAATGATTTTTGGAAAATGGCAGGAAATAGAGGAATAACTTCATTTGGTCAACCCCAACAAATCGTAGTTAGGAAGATTACCCTAATGTGTTGTAATCATGTCTAGAACCATATTTTTTTAGAGTAGAATAGGAATTATATGCTTTATCTCATATTGAAATGAGAATACTAAACTTAATATAGGAAACCCAATTTTGTGTTTCTGGTGGGTGAACATGTTTGTTAATTCATCTCTTCTTTCTTCTACCGATCACATTAACACAGATTAATTAACAAGGGAATGATGTATACTTTAATACATACATGATTATTTTAATGCATGCTTTAATGTCCAATCTAAGGCCAACTAGTACTTCTTTGTGTTACCTTATTTCATAAATGATAAAAGTTTCCACTGGTACTAATGCATATGTTGATTACTAAAATTTGCTGAAATACTATTCTTTTCATAATTTTTCCATTAGAGATCTCTTATGAGATACCTTATGAAATATCTAATAATTTTCATTTAAAAATACCTAATAAGCATACATTATCTTAAAATAATACATAATTATTTTTATGAGAAAGTAATCTTTTTTTTTTTTTTGGTTGGTCGTGGGGCCTTAACTCTGGGCCTGGGCGCTGTTCCTAAGCTCTTCAGCTTAAAGTACCAATGTCTACTAGAAGGGGTGGCATTTATTTGATTAAAGATGGTGAGGACCTAAGACAATTGTGATAAATTATGGCCATGACATTTTTGCACTTTTTCCTAGCAAGAAAACCAGTCTATTTCCTTACCTTTTGAATCTGGACTTACCTACTATTGGCTTGGATAAGGAGATTGTAGCAGAAGTAATGTTAGACAAATAAGGAACTTTAACTCAAGTTTTTGCAGTTTTCTCTTTAATCTTGTGGGATGCTTCCATCATGATAAAGACTAATTGTCAGATTACCAGACATCATGTGGACAAGAAGATCACATGGAGAGAGATTGGGTAAGTCACTTCAACTACTACAGCTGTGGTCCCAGAATATGAGTGAGGCCATGCAAGACCATCTACTCCTCAGTTAACTCACCTGACTAGAGACACATGAGGAAGTCCAGCAAGAGCAAAACCAACAGACAGAACTATGAGAAACGGTAAATTGCTCTCACTAAATGTGAAGCTGGTGTGTGTGTGTGTGTGTGTGTGTGTGTGTGTGTGTGTGTGTGTGTGTGTGTGTGTGTGTGTGTGTGTGTGTGTGTGTGTGTGTGTGTGTGTGTGTGTGTGTGTGTGTCTTGAAGCTTAAACTCAGGGCTGTCCTTGAGCTTTTATGTTCAAGGGTAGTAGTCTACTATCTGAGCCATAGCTCCACTTCCACCTTTTTTGATGGTTAATTGGAAGTAAGAGTCACATGGACTTTCCTATCCAGGCTGGTTTCAAACTGTGATCCTCAGACCTCAGCTTCTTGAGTAGCTAGGAATATAGGTATGAGCCACCAGTGCCTGGATATGCTGCTTTTTGTCTTTTCTTTTTCTTTTTTTGGTACTGGGGATTGAACCCAGGACGTCACACTTGCTAACCAAGTACTTTGCCACTGAGCTACTTCCCAGCTCATAAGCTGCTTTTTGAATGCAGTAATAGACAACTAGAACAGAGTAAGAAGGTTCCTCTTATGCTGGGTTGGATGCCTACATGAGCTGATGAAAGCAGGAGCCAGTGGAAATTAGATAATTACTGTTATTGGAGATCTCTATGTACTTGTAGGCCTAGAGGAACTTAGATTATACTAGGAAGGAAGAATCAGCTCAGTCAAATAGAGGACAAAGTTTGTAAGATACAGAGACAATTTAAGGTAGTCCTCCAGTTTGGGGACCCAGAATCCTAAAGCACAAGACCACAGATGTTCCTTAATATTACCTAGATAGAAATCTTTCTGAGGAAAAGACTGAATGTAGTGACAAAGTGTCAATAAAATCCCACTGGAATAGGCAGACATTTAGTACAGCATCAACAGAAGGAAAGTACGAATGAGCTTGACTTATTTAAACTCCAACTTTTGACTTGAAGATATAAAACACCTAGTTTATCATATCTAGCTACCAAGAAAAAAATCACAAGGCATAATAAAAGGCAAACAAACAAAAAAACCTACTTTGATATAGAGCAAACATCAGGCTAGACTTATACATGGTGAGGATGCTGAAATCACCAGATGATGAGTTTAGAATAACTATGATGAACGTGCGAAGGGTTCTAATGGACAAAGTCAATAACATGTAAGAGCAGATGGATAATGAAACAGAGATGAAAATTCTAAGAACCAAAAACAAACCCTAAAGAAATCTTTGTAGCAAAAATAATGTGTTCAACTATTCTGGAAAGCAGAATGGAGGTACATAAAAAAAAACAAACAAACAAATTCCATTGCTGGGAAATTATCTGAAAGGTTATACAAAACAGGATATAGTAAAGCTACCAGCACAACTATGCTCATTAGAGACTATTCAGCTTATCTGAGGTATAGAATCAGCATAGATGCCCCTCAATGGGCAAGTGGATCAAGAAAATCTGGTATATGCACAGTGGAATTTTACTCATCCATTAGAAAAAGTGATATTGTGTCATTTATAAAGAATGTAAAGACCTGGAAAAAAAATTACGTTGTCAGACCCAGAGAGACAAAGGTTGCATGTTTTCCCTCATATGTAGAAGCTAGAATTAGCTAATAAACATACAAATAAATATGCTGGGTAATATGTGAGTGTATGCAAATGTATTAACTGAAATATAGTAGATTCAAGAGAGAACTCAAATAGTCTAATTCCTTAGTAGGGCAAAGTCAAAATAAACACCAGAAAACAGGTACTTGAAAGGGGTAGGATGGGAACAAGAGGGAAGGATATATGAATGAAGAGGAGAAAGGAAGTAGAATGCAGTCAAGGATTCAATATATATCCTACAAAATTAAGAAAAGTGAGGGAAGGGATGAGATATGAGGGATGAGTGAGAATATTGAAAGGGATGATATTGATTAAGATGTTTTGTCTTTATAAACTGTTTTGTTAAATGGTAACTCCTTTGAAAACTACTTGATTTAAAAAATAAAGATAATTAAGCCAGTGGCTCATGGCTATAATCCTAGCTACTCAGGAGGCAGAGATCTGAGGATCATGGTACAAAGTCAGCCTGGGCATGAAAGTCCATGAAGATCTGATCTCCAATAAACCACTCAAAGGCAGAAGTGGTACTGTGGCTCAAGTGCTAGAGCATTAGCCTTGAGCAAAAGTTCAGGGACAGTGCGCAGGCCCAAAGTTCAAGCCCCAGGACTGGCAATAAAATAAAATAAAATAAATGCCATTGGGCTGGTGTGGTGGTACATACCAGTGATCCCAGCACTCAGATGGGTGAGGCAAAGGACTGCCAGTGTAAAGCCAGTCTATGCTACATAGGGTTGAAGATCAGACTGTGTTACATGGAGAACTGAGGTTAGTCTGAGCTACATATTAAGACTATCAAAAAAAAAAGTCATTTTAGTAGGCACTGCTGAAGAGTCTCTGAACTGAAACATATCTTGATAGAAACTGCCCCAATTGAAAAGCAACCCTAAATAAAATGTAAGAAACAATATAATGGAATATCCAAGACGTGGGATAATAAGCAAAAGTGTAAGCACACATAATAGGAATACCAGAAACAGAACAATAGAAGGAGCAGGAGAAATATTTGAAACAGTAATGACTGAGAATTCCTCATACCACTTTTGGTCACAAACCACAGATCCATGAAACTTCAGAGGACACCAAAGCATGATACATGCACACAGAACAAAACTTCCCCAAACTACAACTATGCATTATAGTATTTCAATTACAACAAATCAAAGATGAAGAAAAACGAGTCCTGGAGGAAACTGGAAAAGTTAATAATGGTGTATATGACAATGCTAGCCCCTTAAGATTCTATTGTCTACTGGCACAGCTGTATTAATTTGTGTAGGTACATGCTGTGACTCACCTCTCATCCTGTTGTTGAGATGTACAACTTACTTGATTATAATGAGTGATTCAGCAAATGGAAATGGTTATTCAGAATGACTCAGGAGGAAAAAATACCATTGCTACCATTGCAAGCATATTTTGATTAATAAGTAATTGATTTAAATAGGTTATTAAGTTACTTATTAAAAACTAAAAATCTACAGAAGCTCAATGCTTATGATAAAAATTACATACTTTGGTTAGTCAATCTCTATTGATGAAAGGAAGGAAGGAAAATATCTACAAAAGATTTATTTTTTGAAAGGATGTTGCTATGCTCTGCCGTGCAGGCTGATTTCAAATTCCTGGGCTCAAAGGAGCCTCCTGTGTCTGCCTCCCAATCTGGACTGTAGAAGTATGTCACTATACCTGGTTAAAAAAAAATTAATAGTGGTTACTTTCAGAAGTGAAGAAAATAAGCTTACAAAAAAGATGCCAATAGCAGAGAACATGAGCTCCCCAAAAGTATCACCAGAAAAACAATTCATTGCTAAGATGAAGCTGGATTTTGTTTGTTGAGACAGGGTCTCTCTGGGTAGCCCTGACTAGCTTGGTATTTGATACTTCTAAATGGTACACACCTTAATGCCTGGACAAAGCTGACCTGTTGTTATTGTTTAACTGGGTAAGGAAAAGCACTATTTTAACATATGTTGATTTTTGTACTACAAATTAGTTTCATATCATACTAGCAAATGCATTATTATAATTTACGGTTGGACTATTATTATAGACAGTAATGTAGGAAGTGGCACTGTGGCTCAAGTGGTAGAGTACTTGCCTTGAGCTGAAATGCTCAGGGACATCACCCAGGCCCAGAGTTCAAGCCCCATGACTGACTGGAAAAAAAAAAAAGACAATAATGTAAATTGAGAACATGGAAATGACTAAATTAGGTCAGTCTTGTTTGTTTGTATTTGGGAGTGCAAACAAGGGCACATAAAACGTGGAACAAGGATGAACAAATACAATAATGATACTCACTAGACACTATGTGGAAAATGATTGGATATCTTATGGGTGGGGATGGGAGGGAAAGACTGGGAGAGAAAAATGGAAGGGGAGAGACATGGTTCAAAAAGAATTATACTCGCCTGGCGCTGGTGGCTCACGCCTGTAATCCCAGCTACTCAGGAGGCTGAGATCTGAGGATCACGGTTCAAAGACAGCCCGGCCGGGCAGGAGAGACTGTGAGACTCCTATCTCCAATAAACCACCAGAAAACCGGAAGTGGCACTGTAGCTCAAATAGTAGAGCGCTCACCTTGAGCTGAAGAGCTGAGGAACAGTGCCCAGGCCCAGAGTTCAAGCCCCACGACCGACAAAAAAAAAAAGAGTTATACTCATTACTCATTACCTGATTCATGTAACTATAACCTGTCTGTATATCAACTCCACAATAAAAATAAATATTAAAAAATAAGCTACAAAAAACATTAAAAATAAATTATTAGAAAATTTGCCGAACAAGTATCTTTAAGCCTTCTTGTATCAAGACTACTGTAATATCTGTATTTGTCTGTATGTTTACATAAGTTCACACATGTATGTAGTATTTTGGGTAGTGCTTTTATTAACTCTTAGTCCTCAATAGCGCTTACTTGTTGTTTGGGGACACATTTGAGTGGTAATTTACAAAAGCAGTTTGATATTCTAAAAGCCCTTATTTTACTTAAGGGTATCTTAATCTATAATTATTAATCTTAATTACTTTATATTATGAAGAGTATAGTCATCCAACAGCAAGTACAATGCTAGGTATATACATTTGGGCTTAAATAAAATATGCCATTCTCGTAATCATTATTTTTGACATGAATGACAACTGCGTTGTTAACGTAAGAAGAGATTATTGGGTTTTTTTGTCGGTCGTGGGGCTTGAACTCTGGGCTTGGGCGCTCTTCAGCTCAAGGCGAGTGCTCTACCACCTGAGCCACAGCGCCACTTCTGGTTTTCTAGTAGTTTATTGGAGATAAGAGTCTAATGGACTTTCCTGCCTAGGCTGGCTTTGAACCCTGATCTTCAGATCTCAGCCACCTTAGTAGCTAGGATTACAGGCATGAACCACTGGCACCCTGATTCTTTTTTTTTTTTTTTATTGGGGGGGGTCCGGTCGTGGGGCCTGAACTCTGGGCCTGGGCGCTGTCCCTCAGCTCTTCAGCTCAAGGCTAGCACTCTACCACTTGAGCCACAATGCCACTTCTGGCTTTTTTCTTTTTGCTTATGTGGTGCTGAGGAATCGAACCCAGGGCCTCAGGCATGCAAGGCAAGCGCTCTACCACTGAGCCACCTTCCCAGCCTGAGAGATTCTTTCTTTTAGCTTATAAAGGGACCTTTGTGAATAAGTTGAAAGACAACCAAACAGATGACTCATTTATAGGTACCCTATCTTCACAAAAGCAGTAATCGACTTGAGCAATTTCACAGTATAAAGTACATTCTCTAAGAATCTAGCTGGACTCTAAGTGATTTAAGCAATATATGAGATTTAGAAGTTTTTGAATTCAGTCAAAGCCAAGAGACTTACTAGTGAGGTATTTTTTTTCCCCAAAGACAGGATATCTTTTCCAACTGACTGATATATGTACAGCTTTGGAAGTAATAACGCTTATGAAGAAGGTTGCTAGGAAACCTTGACAGCAACTCCTAGATTAGAAATGAGTCATTTTCCGATTGTAGTAGACCTTCAATAAAGACTATGCCCAAATCAAAGTGGCTTGGATAAAAACATTTGTTGGTTTGAAGTAAATCACCTCATACTTAGATTTTTGGCTCCTGTGTTGTCAGCATAGTTGGTCATAGCTTCTGATAACATAAAATCCTAAAAAGTGCCCAAGTGTAGGAATTTTATGCTGTACCAGTTCACTCTGTGATTTTCACACCTTTTCCAAAGCAATGCAACCCAAGGATCACATAAAAAAGAGCTACTACAGATAAAAGCAAAATGAAATACAATCTTCCTTTCATACTTAGCTACAGACTATAACTAGTATAAAAGAGACATATAACAACAGAATGAAATTTTTTTATTTTACAAATGAAAAGACAAAATCCTACTATTGAGTTGACCCTGAAACCACACTCTGAATTTAGACCTTGCAGTTCAATTTTCTCCATTCATTAACCAATCCTTTGAAAAGGAAGCCTCTCTGTGGCAGAAGCACAGACTACATTTAACCATGATGATGACAATAGTGGCTGACAAGACTAAGCAAACGCAGTGACCATATCTGTTTCAATTTTTCTTCTTAGAATCATTCTCCGTGAACAAGTGAAACTTAAAGACTGTCTTAGTAAGAGAAGATTAAAGCTGTGTCACAGAGTACAGCTGATTATACTTCTGCCTTCATTGTACAATATCCATGTCTCTTGGAGAGGTCTCACTAAACCAGGATATTCTTTGCAATAGCATTCAACGTCCTTACTTTGGTTACATCTGTTACCTTCAGAGAATATTCTGAATTAGTAAGTGAGGCTCCCATGACAACAGAGGAATTTCTGCAATACAGAAAAAAAAATAAATGAACAGATAATTACATAAGCTGTTAAATGAGCCCTCCCATGGTACTTTACTCTATAGACTGTTCTATAGTAGGGAAAGGTTAAAGCCTCAGGACTGCTGTATCTCATAATTTTATTAACTAATTAGTTGAAATATCTAGTAGCTGAATCTACCAGGCAGTACAGTTGATTTTATATCTGGAAATGTAAGTTTTAAGGCTCTTTCTTTTTTACATAATATTTGCCCCAACTTATAAGTAGAAAGATTCAACTATTAAGTTACAGGAATTCTCTCAAGTTTTAAAAGAAAACTTCAATCCCATAATTGTTATATAATTTCAAACTAACTATAAAGGGCAAAAGTGAGGGAATACTGATTAAATATTAATGGCAGAGCAATAAAAATGGCCAGAACTCTTCCATCCTTATATGTTATTAGCTTTGGTAAAGAAAGCCTAGGGGGTGCTGGGAAGGTGGCTCAGTGGTAGAGCACTTGCCTTGCATGCATGAGGCCCTGGGTTTGATTCCCCAGTACCACATAAGCAAAAAAAAAAAAAAAAAGCCAGAAGTGGTGTTGTAGCTCAAGTGGTAGAGCACTAGCCTTGAGCTGAAGAGCTGAGTGACAGTGCCCAGGCCCATAGTTCAGGCCCCACGACTAGACCCCTCCCCCCCAAAAAAAGAAAGCCTAGGGGAAAAGGAAATTGTTATTATAACTAGTTTGAAGTTTAAAATAATATATTTATCTACTAGTTTATTATTAACTACCCTAAGTTTAATAATGCTTAAATTATGCAATCAGCTCTACTGAATGAACAAAGTCTGTGGAAGCATCACTAACCATAATAGCATTGGTGGTGGTAATGGTTGACAAGATTAAACCAAGAATATTTAAACATTTGCCTACATTCAGAAGATCCTGCTTATTCAAGACAGAATAAGAACCATTTTCAATGGAAAAAAATGACTACAGTACCTAGATACTAATCACAACACTCTACTCACTGCATTAACTGTAACTAAGTTTTCTTAAAGATGATTCTCTGTACATCACCTTTATGATAACAATTAAAAAATTAAAAGAATGAAGTAAAGATTAGCTTATCCCTTCTTGTATGAATCAAAGAATACATTTTTACCGAAACTTCATTCCAGAGTCTCTGGAAGACCGAGCAGAACAGTGGAATTCTGTAGCACCTGAACCCTCAAGGATCCTTTGCAGATTTCTGTCTGTTATGCCACCTCCTATTGAAAAAAACAAGTAATACATGAAGAGAAAGAAAAAGCTCACATAAAATTTAAGTAAGATTAACTGCTCATTCTACTTGAAATCTCCATTCTGAATTTTTTTTTATTGAATTACTCTCTCCCTTAGAATGGGATCAGGAAATAATTTAAAAGTCTATACTACACATTCTTTATACTACAGATTGTTAAGGACATAGTACCTATATGACAGAATCTCTTACATGCATTTGATTAACAGTGCTACACATTATTAGCTGGGCACTGGTGACTCTTGCTTGTAACTCGAGCTACTGGAGAGGCTGATTTGGGAGAACTGAAGTTTGAGGCCAGCCTGGGCAGAAACGTTTCCCAAGATTCCTTAACAGAGAGCTAGATGCAGTGGCTAAAACCTGTTACCTAGCTAAAATGGGAAGCCTATCACAGAAAGGTCTTGCCCAGGCATGCAACTGGGCAGGAAGTAAGACTCTATGTCAAAAATAACCAGCAGAAAATAAGGATGAGGTATGGCTCAGTAGCAAAAGTACTCTGCCTTGCAAGTGCAAGTCCCAAAGTTTAAATTCTAAGTACCATAAAAAAGGCTACATGTTACTGACTTTAAATTATAAAAAACAAACAAACAAATTATTCAATGTTTCATCCCTGCTCTCCTTTCAATTTAGGCAAAATCCAACTAAAATGAAAGTCAAGGGCAAGTTTGAAGAAAAGCCTGCAAAAGTACCTCAGAGACCTATCTGAAAGAGAATCTGAAAGGTTCTTTCCAACCTTGGTTTGAAAAGAATGCTGACTTGCTGGAATGAGGATAAGTAGTGATTACAGTTCATTCACAACAACATCAACTTTGTTTTTCTTTCATAGAAGAATCTGATTTTAAAACTACATAATGACTGGTATGGCCATACACACTGTAACCTGAAATGGAAACTGAAAGGATCAAGGCAAGCATAGGTAAATAATTAGCAAGACTCCATCTGAACAAAGAAACCAAGGCATGTTGATAACATGCCTGACACAATCCCAGTTCTGTCGGAGGCACAGGCAGTGGGATCTGACCTGAAGCCAGATTGGGTGAAGAGCCTAAAATCCTACTACAAACAAACAAATAAATAAAGCAAAAAGTATTCAAGTGGTAAATAATTTGCCTACCAACCATGAGGCCCTGAGTTCAAACTCCATGCCACCAAAAACCCCAAAATTCACACAACCACGTAATTCATTTATGTTGACATTTGTTGTATACAAAATTTTTAATATGTTTTATGATAATCATTCTGAATTGTATCTGTTATTATAAATATACAGTTGGTTTGTTCATCTTTATATCGTTACCTCTTAATATAGGAGATTTATTGAACACATATTTGTAAATGGTACCAGTCATGTATTTTGTACCTTAAGCTATTCAGAAAGTTACTGACATAACTAGTTTTTAGTTATCTTCTTTGATACACAGGTAACACATTATTTTCCATACACAAATTAATATAGCTTGACAGTTAAAAAGGACCTCAAAAACCAATGTATTCAATATTCCTCTATTCTATCTATTTCTCTATCTATCTGTCTGTCTGTCTGTCTGTCTGTCTGTCTGTGTCTATGTATGTATTAATCATCTGCCCATGTACATATGTGTCAATCAGATCTCTTTCTCTCTCTCTTCTCTCTATCTCTGGTACTGGGATTTGAACTTAAGGCCTCAGACTTGCTAGGCTGATGTACTACAATTCAAGTAAGCTATACTCCAGTATGGCTTTTTGCTGGCTATTTTAGAGATGGAGTCTAACAAACTTTACCTGGGCTGGTATTGAACATCAGTTCTCCAGATCTTAGCCTCCTGAATGACTAGAATTATAGGCATGAGCTATCAGTGCCCAGATCTGTTTTATTTTTTTGAGACATGGTCTTGCTTTGTTGTCAAGGCTGGCCCATGAATTCATGATCTTCCTACCTGAGCCTCCCAAGTTAGTGGATTACTGGCAAGTGTCACCTTGCCCAGCTCTCAGTATTTCTCTCTTTACAGACGCCAGAGCTTAAATATGCTGTATTTATGCTTTATTATAAAAGGCTCCTAGAAGGCAATTACTATATTTATCTTTATCAATGCTAAATGTTCATTTAGATGGACTGAGGTAGGGTTTTTTCTTGTTGGTACTTACTTACATGAAATTGCAATAATTTAAATAGAAATCTAGTCTGGGAGCTCTTCAAGCAGGATTATTTTCACATCTACCATATTTTATATGCATATATACATATACATATATATACATATAATTGACATGCAATTAACACTTGCTTGGCACAAGTGTTTTTGCCTATTTGTGCCAAGCCTGATCATTAAGTATGTCAGCTTCTTGAGAAATAGTTTTTTCTGTAAATCTGAATTCCAAATAATGCCTTGTACATAGTAGGTAAGCTGTTAAGTAAAGGTACTCTTAAAAGTGAACAACTGAGCCAGACGCTGGTGGCTCATGCCATCTAGCTATTCAGGACTGAGATCTGAGGACTGCTGTTCAAAGCCAGCCTGGGCAGGAACTTCCATGAGACTCTTATCTCCAATATACCAGAAAACCAGAAGTGGCCCTGTGGCTCATGTGATAAAGACACTAGCCTTGAGCTGAAGAGCTGAGGGACAGCGCCCAGGCCCAGAGTTCAAGCCCCACGACTGACAAAAGAAAAAATAAAAGTGAACAACTGGCCAGGTGCTGGTGGCTCATGCCAGTAATCCTAGCTATTCAGGAGGCTGAAATCTGAGGATTGAGGTTAGGAGCCAGCCAAGGCAGGAAAGTCTGTGAGACTTTTATCTCCAATTAACTACTAGAAAACTGGAAGTGGTACTGTGGCTCAAAGTGGTAGAGCACTAGCCTTAAGTAAAAAAGCTCAGAGGCAGTGCCCAGGCCCTAAGCTCAAGCCCCAAGACTCACCAAAAGGAAAAAAAAAAACAAAGGAACAACTGACCTTGTCACAGATGGTGCCTGTAATTCTAATTACTCAGAAGGCTGAGCTACAAGGAAAGTGGTTTGAAGCCAGCCCTTGCAGGAAAGTACATGAGATTCTTGCCTACAATTAACCACCAAAAAGCTAGAAGTAGAGCTGTGGCTCAAGTGGAAGGGCATTAACCCCTGAGCACCAAAGTTCATGGACAGCACCCAGGCCTTGAGTTCAAGCCCCAGGCCTGGCACAATGGCACATGAGCACGCACGCTCTCTCTCTCACACACACAACACACAAAAGGGAACAACTGTGAGCCAGGCACTGATGGCTCACATCTGTAACCCTAGCTATTCAGGAGGCTGTGAGGACCACAGTTCAAAGCTAGCCTGGGTAGAAAAGTTTGTGAGACTATTATGTTCAACTAACCACCAAAAAAAGCTGGGAATTGGAGCTGTGGCTCAAGAGGCAGAATGCTGAGTAGTGCAGCTCAAGGGCAGTACCCAGTTAGGCCCTGAGTTAAGTCACAGAACCAGTTCAAAAGAAGAAAGAAAAAAGTGAATAATTGTTTACTTCTGAGTACTATTTAGTCTCAAAAGCATCAAGATCTCTAATCTTCCTTGATTACTCTATAAAGAACTTCAATTTAATAAATAATATTTACTTGTACTTCAAAGACAGTTACCCTGTACCTGGCCTCTCTTAAAAAGCTGGCCTCTGTCTGGCTATCATCACTTTGAACCGTGGTCAGTGTTGGCATCTTTGATAGTGAGGTGAACTAAAAACTGCTTTTGATATAATCTGAAGTACAGAAAATCACCCATTATCCTTACCTGCACATTAAGTAGAATTTAATCAAACCATATGATCTAACTACCGTTTAAAGGAAAGAGGTCAGAGGAACAAGCTGAACAAAATAAAATCTAATAAATCCAGAAAGTATGTCATTCTCTAGAGTAAGTAATCCAAACTTCTTAAATGTCATTCTTCAAAGCAAGAAACAGAAAAAGTTAAAACTTCTACATTAAAAGACACTAAGGGGCTAGGAAGGTGGCTCAGTGGTAGAGTGCTTAACTTGCATGCATGAAGCCCTGGGTTCAATTCCTCAACACCACATAAGTAGAAAAAGCCAGAACTGGCACTGTGGCTCAAGTGGTAGAGCTCTAGCTTTGAGCAGAAGAGCTGAGGGACAGTGCCCAAGCCCAGAGATCAGGCCCCACGATTGGCAAAAAAAAAAATATAAAGAAGACATTAAGAAAAATAACCATATAAAATGGTGTGTGTGTGTTAAAAAAGACATTAAGAAAAATAACCATATAAAATGGTGTGTGTGTGTGTGTTCATGTACCAGTCCTGGGACTTGAACTCAGGGTCTGGGTCCTATCCCTGAGCTTTTTTGCTCACTACTTGCTCTACTAGTTGAGCCACAGCTCTGATTCTGGCTTTTTTGGTGCTTAATTGCTTAACTGATATCTAAAGTCTCATGGACTTTCCTGCCTGGACTGGTTTTGAGCCAAGATCCTCAGGTCTCAGTATTTTGAATAGCTAGGATTATGGGCATGAGCCACAAGTGCCTGGCAAAATTGCTTGCTTCTTAGTTGCACATATTTAAGTATGAAAAATCTTTTGGGAACAACTGGAGAAGTGTGAACTGGGTATTAAATTATTATTAAAGGAATCAGTATTTTGATAAACATGAAAATGATATAGTAATTATTTTTAGAGATGCATAAAGACAAAATTTAAAATATCTTTGGATTAAAATATGAGACTAATGTGGCAAAATGATAAATAGAAGGAATGAGCATATGACCACTCATTATATAATTGCTACTTTTCTTTTCTTTTTTGTAGGTCATAGGGCTTGAACTCTGGGCCTGGCGCTGTCCCTCAGCTCTTCAGCTCAAGGCTAGTGCTCTACCACTTGAGCCCCAGAGCTACTTCCGGTTTTCTGAGTGGTTTATTGGAGATAAGAGTCTCACAACCTTTCCTGCCCAGGCTGGCTTTGAATTGTGATCCTCAGATCTCAGCCTCCTGAGTAGCTAGCAGTACAGGTATTAGCCACCATGCCCAGCTTACTTGCTACTTTTTATGTTTGAGGAAATAATAGAAAAAATTAAGACTGCCTTATATTTGTCTCACTGAGTCAGGGCTGCCACATCCAATTTAAAAACTGTGTTCAGTTCATTTCTAATGAGTCACTATGTACTTAATTTATAATCATCAAAGAAATATACATGTATACTTTTTTTTTTTGGTTCATTCATGGGGCCTGAACTCTGGGCCTGGGCGCTGTCCCTCAGCTCTTCAGCTCAAGGCTAGCATTCTACCACTTGAGCCACAGCGCCACTTCCTTTTTTTTATTTTTTTGCTTATGTGGTGCTGAGGAATCGAACCCAGGGCCTCATGCATGCAAGGTAAGCGCTCTACCACTGAGCCACCTTCTCAGCCCACATGTATATTCTTTAACACAGTAAAGCATCAAACTTGGTGTGCCTCAGTAGAGATGAACATCCAAGCTCATATTTTCTTTTTGTCAAGCTCATTATTTATACTATGAGAAAACAAACATGGAGAAATTCCAATCTGAATCTATTTCCTTCTCAGCTCTTCGGAGCTAATTAAATTTTAAATTCTAGCACAGATCTCCTAAGATTAAAAATCTGAATCAAACTATATATATTTTTCTTATATTCTAATACTTTTTCCCATGTTTTCCTGCCTCCTTTGCTCTTCTTCTAACTATTGTTCAGTATTATGCTAACAAATGGAGAGATAAATACCTGGCATTACCACAATCCTGCCTTTTGCCTGAAAAAAGAAAGAAAAAGCAAGTTTTATTATCTTTCTCGTAACTGGGATAAGGCAGTTAGAAATGATTTTAAGTGTATTAAATCTTTTTTTTTTTTTTTTTTGGGTCCGCTCATGGGGCCTGAACTCTGGGCCTGAGCACTGTCCCTCAGCTCTTCAGCTCAAGGCTAGCGCTCTACCACCTGAGCCACAGCGCCACTTTCGGCTTTTTTTCTTTTTGCTTATGTGGTGCTGAGGAATCGAACCCAGGGCCTCAGGCATGCAAGGCAAGCGCTCTACCACTGAGCCACCTTCCCAGCCCCTGTATTAAATCTTTTAAAGTACTGATATCTTTTTTTTTTTTTTTTTGCCAATCCTTCTGGCACTGTGGCTCAAGTGGTAGAGTGCTAGTGGTCAACAAAAGAAGCTCAGTGCCATTACTGGCCTTTTGTTTATGTGGCACTGAGGAATTGAACCCAGGGTGCGTCATGCATGCTAGGCAAGTACTCTACCACTAAGCCACATTCTCAGCTTTTATATCTAATTTTTAAAAGATCTTCTCTATACTGGGACAGAGTTTTGGGAAAGATGTCCAGCATAGTAACTTTTTATCCATATATATATATATATATATATATATATGTCCTTAGACTCTCATTTTGCTTTGGAATTTAAATTATTGTAATCAACAGTATTTAAAGATGTAAAAGTCCAGAAAGAAACATGTTTTTTTTTTTCTTTTGGCTTTTCCAAGTCTGAGTTCTTATTTTGCAATGGTATATAAATTGCTGAATTTAAAAAAGATTTTAGCAGCAAAGAAAGAGAGAAATACACTCAAATATTTTATTCTCAATTACATTCCCTAGTTTATCATACCAATTAAACAAAACCATACCTTTAATTGGGGCTATAGAAATTGATTTAATTTCTATAAGTAGAGATTGAAATTCTTATAAAAGTATTTTTTCTTCCAACTGTTGTCCTAAGGGCCTATTTATCTTTCTAGGAAGGCATTTTCCCCCTCATCCTTACATAGTATATAAGCCCAAAATTCTAACCATCCTTTTGAGTCAAATTTCTGTGTATGCATATAAGATTGTATATACTTATGTATACAATCAAGGTCTGTGTCTTTCTCCTGCAAGAACATCTTTTGTCATTTTTATTTACAGGCCTCTAGGAACAAACCATAGGAATGTAGAAGAATCTTATTTTCTTTTTTGATATGGTGAACAAGAGAAATTACTATTCTCATGGAGTTTACACAATTATAGCAGACAGACAATAATAGGTATATTTAATAAAATTCCAGATAGTAACAAGTACAATGAAAAAAAACTAAAGCAACTAACAGTGAAACAGAGAAGGGGCTATTTCATAGAATTTAATACTTGTTAGAAATGTTAAGTAGAACAAAGATGGTTCACATTCTCAAGCGTGTAAAAGCAAAGCATCCGTAGAACAAAAACTAATATCAACATAGTTGAAACAATTTTAGAAGAGGGAAAAAGTCACATTTACTTATTGCTCCCAAAGAAAGGTGTTCCAAAATGCAGACAAATGGTATTTTGAAAAGATAAGCTCTATCAATTATTACTGTATCACTTTTTTTTGCCTTTCATAAAAGATTTAGAATTATATGTTTACCTAAAATGACCAAAGTGATTGAACAGTATGTTTAAAACACCTAAGTGTCTTAGGTGTTAGGTTTGAGTATGAAATGTTCCTTACAAGTTTACTTTATTAACCGGGTTGATTTTCAGCAGGTGAGTTTTTAGCTCCTCATGATTGAATCATAAGGGGCATGGATTAATCCATTGATAGGTTCAAAATATGAATAGATTATTGTGAGGTAGTAGATCTGTGGAAGGTGGGGCCTGGCTGGAGGCAGTAGGTGACTGCGCATATATTCTAGGGGATTCTTTCTTGCTGTGGTCTCTTCCTGTTACCCTTTTCTATGCTTCCTCTCCACCATGAGATGAGTAACCTCTGCCACAGGATATTCTACATTACCACAGATTTATAAGCAATGGAGCTAAAGATTAGGGACTAAGACCTCTGAAACTATGGGCCAAAATAAATAATCCCTCCCTTGAAGTTGTGACGTGTCATGAAAATGGGAATAATATGCCTTGCAATATATGTACTATTGTCATTTAATTTTGTAGTTGAGTAAAATTACTAGCAAACTGGTATTTAAACCTGAATTCCAATCCCAAACCCTATGCTTTAACTAGTATATTATAACACTACTGACTTTAAGAAATAAAGTCATTATATGAAAAAATTTAATGCAGCTCTTCTTATCAACCAATGATTAACATATAAACTGTTAGGGACAACTTATAAGATGCTTTTGCTCGGTCTTATGAATTGACTAAAAGTCTCAACTTTGATTCTGTGCTCTTTGATCTGAGATATTATTCTCTGCTACAGTCAACTTTGTAATCACCATGAGCTCTAAGAAAGACCACATTCACAAAAAAGGAATCTGTATGAAAGGCAAATTGCCTCTCAAACAGGCAATGTCATATCATGTTAAAGCAAGTAACCCAAAACTCAGGAAATCACCTTGTTCCTATTCTGTTCTAGTAATAAAGTAGTAACTTCTTCAGAACTCCTCTAGAGCCAGAGACTGAGCTAATGGTCAACCTAGGGACTGTTTTAACTATGCCCCAATTCTCCCTTTTTTAACCTGAAGCCAATGTCTATACCTGTAAAGAATGCTGACATGTACTGAAGCACTATCTTCCCATGACTGCTATGTAATAAATCTTTCTCTGCCTTTCATTATCTCTTTATCTGACATAAGGGGAAGTGGCCTGGACTTTGGGCCTGAGGTCTAAAAGACAAGTACAACACAAAGATAGTTCCTAATGTAAAACATAGCTATAGAAAGTACATCTATTCTCTACTGCTTAGGTGGTGGTAAACTTTTAAAACTGTAAACCTGATTTACCAACATTTTAGGCTTCTCAAGTGTACCAAGGATTAAATATTTATTTTATTCTAGACCTTTACTTATTTATTCTATATTTATTCTACAGGAACAATTTCCTCATTCTCTTGATCTTCTGCTTTTATTTGGCAACTTCCAACAATTCTTCAAGTGAGTAAAACATTATTGTTTAGATGTCTTTTCTTCTGCAAACGTTTCTCTATTTCCAACTTCCATTTCTCTAAATCTGGTGTCAACTCCTCTTCAGCATGTCCCCACAATACCTTCTTAATTTATAGTACTCTATTAAAATATAGCTGTTATGCATTAGATTGTAATGGTAGTGACTATACATGTACATATGCACTTTTATACTCCTTGGTCATCATAGTATAAATACTCTGCACCTAATATATACTACATATTTTATGGTTTTTTTTTTGGTCGGTCGTGGGGCTTGAACTCTGGGCCTGGGTGCTGTCCCTCAGCTCTTCAGCTCAAGGCGAGCACTCTACCACTTGAGCTACAGTGCCACTTCCGGTTTTCTGGTGGTTTCTTGGAGATAGGAGTCTCACAGTCTCTCCTGCCCGGGCTGGCTTTGAACCTCGATCCTCAGATCTCAGTCTCCTGAGTAGCTAGGATTACAGGCATGACCCACCAGCGCCCGGCCTATACTACATATTTAAAAAATCAGCAAGTTCCAGAATATCAAAGTCACACCAGATCACATACAAGTTACCTTCATGGTTATCAAAAGCCAATATGAGAATGCTTAGTAGTATTACTAATAAAAGTAGTAATAACATAGAAACTAGCATGCATCAATACCTATGCCAAGCACTGAGCTTAAGGTTTTACCTATTTCTCTTTTAGTTCTTAGAAAAACATTATGAGGGGAGAATTAAATTCATCTGAATTTCACACAGGAGAAAACAGAGACTTAAAGATTAGTAACTAACTCAACTTTATGTAGTAAATAAATGTCAAACCTGAGTCTCAAATACAGAGTTCATGTATTTCAGTGTCGGTACTCTAACTTAGAATACCTCTGAACTGGGCTGGGAAGGTGGCTCAGTGGTAGAGCACTTGCCTTGCATGCCTGAGGCCCTGGGTTCGATTCCTCAGCACCACATAAGCAAAAAGAAAAAAGCTGGAAGTGTCACTGTGGCTCAAGTGGTAGAGCGCTAGCCTTGAGCTGAAGAGCTGAGGGACAGCGCCCAGGCCCAGAGTTCAGGCCCCACAACTGGACCCCCCCCCCAAAAAAAAAGAATACCTCTGAACTGGTCAAAAAAAATAGACTTGCTTCAATTATAAAGTCTTCCCTGACTGCTCTACCAATGATACTAGCTCGTCAGAACTCATACAAGAAAAAAATATATTGACATATGGAGAAAAATGCAAATATAATTTTAGTTTTGGAATGTGCCCGTGGATGATAAGTATTGTATAAATCTTGTACAGCATCCGCTAAATCATATATAGTATGATAATGAAACAATGTGGCTTACAAAGAGGCGACGCTAATGGAAAAGGTAAAGTTTGTTGTTTTTACCAAAGTTAGGTCAAATCCTTAGGCATTGTGTAATTTGACCTGAAGAGCTTTGACTATTAAAAACACTCATAAAAGAAATAAATGCATCACTGTTTGCTTTTTTTCTATAGAATAATCATAAAGTAAATAATAGTTTCACAAGGAGTAGCCAACAGAGTTAAGAAGAAGAAATGGTTGTACCTGGTCTATGAGTCGTTTTATTACTGGCAGCCCTTCTAGTGCTGAACTATCACATCCACTAGTCAATACTCGTTCAAATCCCAGGTTTAAGAGGGTTTCTAGAGCTGCCACTGGATCAGGAACCATGTCAAAGGCTGAAAGAAATAAGATTGATTTGATTTTTGAACAAAAATTTCCTAGTTCATTTTTTTCTAAAATTTATTAGAGAGAGAGAGAGTGAAAGAGATAGAAAGAGCGTCTTCTCCTAGATTTAGTTCATACAAGAACCAACTGGAAAATATTCAGAAATTTTACAAATCATTTTTCAACCATTGGCATCTTAAAACTGACTTAGCCAAGTGAGAGAATTTAAACCACAGAAATTATAATACAAATTATGACTCTTTTTCCCAAGAGCCATTTTACTAGCACATCAGTCTTCATACTATTAGCATTATAAATAATCGTTTTATTAGCACACATTTTAGTAGGTATAGTTATTTTAAAAAATGCTAACGACTAAGGAGGGTGAGATCCAGAGATTCATTAATCAAAGCCAGACTGGGCAGAAAAAAAGAATGTAAGTGGTAGAGTACTAGCTAAGCAAGGAAGCCACGCAAGTGAGAGGACCTGAGTTATACCCCAGTGTCACCAAAAGAAAAAAAAAGAGAAAAATGGCTTTCTGCTTTTGTTCTCAGCACTGCTATATTACAAAATTCAAATTCAGGGTAGATTAGATGCTAGTGGTCTTCTGGGACAGATCTCTTTTGTTGCACTTTAGAGTATGTATGCAGAAAATTCTACCATAGAGGCTTTCCCTTTGTCAGTGGCAGCACTTTCTTACCAGTGACTACATATGCTATCTCATTGAATAAATGGGTGGAAAACAAGTAGAATCTAGAACAATGTAAAATTGTATTAATTTTGAAACATGAAAATATTTTGTTGAGACTAAGTAGATGAAAAAAAGAAATTTGAATGCATTTTTTAGTTTAAGAACAGAAAAGACCAGTCTATAAACTAAAAACTTTTTTGATGTGTGGCTAGATTTAGGATGCCAAATTTTATGCAACATACCATTTTTTCATTACTGCTAGCACTGCTAAGATCAAATCAAAGAGAACAGGTTTTTGGGTGTGTGTGTGTGTGTGTGTGTGTGTGTGTGTGTGTGTGTGTGTGTGTGTGTGTGTGTGTGTGTGTGTGTGTGTGTGTGTGTGTGTGTGTGTGTGTGTGTGTGTGTGTGTGTGTGTGTGTGTGTGTGTGTGTGTGTGTGTGTGTGTGTGTGTGTGTGTGTGTGTGTGTGTGTCATCTATTTCAAAAGAACATAGCTACCATACTTTATCTCTAATTTTTATACATGAGTTCAGCTACTCGGACTTACTTTCTCTTAGCCTATCTTTGAACACTTAGTTAAAAGGAGGAAAAACACTAAACTTCTGAAGCTTATCATCAACTTTTAAAAAAAGTATTTTTTTGGGGCTGGGAAGGTGGCTCAGTGGTAGAGCGCTTGCCTTGCATGCCTGAGGCCCTGGGTTCGATTCCTCAGCACCACATAAGCAAAAAGAAAAAAGCCGGAAGTGGCGCTGTGGCTCAAGTGGTAGAGCGCTAGCCTTGAGCTGAAGAGCTGAGGGACAGTGCCCCACGACCGGACCCCCCCCCCAAAAAAAAGTATTTTTTTTATTAAAGACTCTTGTTTTTATTTGCAATGGCAGGTACATACCCTCTGAAGACAAAAGTGACACTTGTTCCTCAATTTTGCCAAGGCTGAGCCAAAGTGTATGGGAACTATAATCACCTGATTTATAGACAGGAAGATTTCCTTATATAATTTGGGTAAGCTTCCAATCATGAAAAGTAATTCTGTATGGTAATTTAGAAAGTCAAGGACATTGAAATTTAATAGCACTTGTCAGTCATTGGTTCACTGAATATTTAACATTTCGTTCTTTTCCCCTTCCTAAAAATGCTCAGTTCTTCATATATCTACTGTCTCTTCCCTAAGGAACCCTCTACATGAGAAAGACGACCTCATTCCCTGGCACCAGGATCGACTGTGCCTGATACACATTAGGCAGTATGCACTATTTCACTAGCCAAAGTGATTTATTCTTTTTAGGACTGCACATAACCTAATATGATCTGATTTAAGTGTATCTCAAGACTGTTAGTAGGATGAATACATACCCTTAAAGCAATGCTTACAGACACTCTATTATGTTCTACTACCATGGACTTTCAACAACTTTTCATAATTGTGCTTTCAAAATTTTTAGAAATTTATACTTCTCTAAGTAATTTTTCACCCCAAGATCTAAGAAATAGTGCTAACATTGCTAACTTTCTAAAGTTGTCAACTTTCTAAGTACTAGTTAACTTTCTAAGTGGTTAACTAGCATTAAATAGTATTCCATAGAAAGGTTGTGGAAGCTCGTGAAATTAGAAAACTGAAGCCATTCAATAGAACTTCTAAAATAAAAATGACTCACCTCGGTGGAAAGTGACTGGCAGAGGACGACAAATAGCTATAAAAAGTTACATAACAACATGAATGAAAAAGTCACGATTGGTTACTATAACTTTTAATACTTTTTTTCTAAGAAGTTCAAAAATCCTATCTTTCCATTAAACTTCAATTTTTATATAAAATTTAGTCGTCTTAAAAGTATTAGATAAAAATTACATATTCTCAGGCTGGGAATGTGGCTTGGCAGTAGAGTGCTTGCCTAGCATACATGAAGCCCTAGGTTCAATTCCTCAGTACCACATAAATAGAGAAAGCTGAAAGTGGTGCCGTGGCTCAAGTGGTAGAGTGCTAGCCTCGAGCACAGAGAGGCTCAAGGACAGTGCCCAGGCCCTAAGTTCAAGCTCCAGGACTGGCAAAAAAATAAAAAAATAAAAAAAATTACATATCTGGCACCTATAAGAATAGCATTACAACTACCACTTACCCCTCTGAAGATCTTCAAAAAATATTTTTCTATAATTCTAGCTACTCAGGAGGCTGAGATATGAGGACCATAGTTTCAAGCCAGGCCCAATAGTAAGTCCATTAAGAGTCTTATTTCTAAGTAACCAGCAAAAAGCTGGAAGTAAAGGTGTGATTCAAATGGTAGAATGCTAGCCTTGAGCGAAGGGACAGGGCCTAGACCCTGAGTTCAAGCCCCAGTACTGGTACAAAAAAAAAAAAAGAAAAGAAAGCAAAACAAAAAAGAGAAATACTTTAGCCTAGTAGTATAGAGTAATATAGGTAGCTTGTTTCTCTCCTCTCCAGCTTTACTGTCATCAACTGCAAAAGCTTTTGAAGTTTGGTACAGTGGTAAAAGGACCAAAGTAAATTTTCCTTTAGCCCTGCGAGAACAGTACTAAAACCTGATCTACAACACACACCTAAGTAACTACTGTTGAAGTGGAGCTGTGGCTCAAGTGGCAGAGTGTTCACCTTGAGCTGAAGGGCTCAGGGACAGTGCCCAGGCCCAGAGTTCAAGGCCCACAACTGACAAATAAATAAATAAATAAATAAACTAACTACTGTTTGGGGGGCTCACAATTTTTAATTTATTCTTAGCAGTGCTGGGATTTGAACTCAGGGCCCTGAACTGCTAGGCAGGTGCTCTATAATCTAGTCACACCCTAGCCCTAAATAACAAATGTTTAAAATGGATAGGCTAGTAAAGTATCTGCACATATAACTGAAAAATCAATTCAATGATTATGTTTTTCTCTTATTGAGAACATAAATACAACCATCATTAGATGCCATATCTCAGATACAAAGTCTTACCCATAAGGGACATGCACAGCTCTTTGTCAATGTGTCCATCTTCAGTCAATGCCCCAAACACCAAACCATCAGCACCATAAAGCTTGGCAAGCCGAATGTCAGCCTTCATTACCTCAATTTCACGATCTGAATATAGAAAGTCACCTCCACGTGGCCGAATCATCACAAAAACTGGGATCTGAACACACTGTTTCACTACTTGAAGGACACCTATAAGAATAGAAAGCAGACTAAAATTCAAATGTGAGCTAAAAGCCCTAGGAAGTCAATACAATATTATGGGTCATATCCAACTATTATCATGTAATATTTCCAAAAAAAAGGAAGGGTTAATGGAGGAAACCAGAGAAAGATGACATAAAAGGAGGGGATTGAGAAGAAAAGTTTATGTACAATGTAAGGCAAGTAATAAGAAAACCAAGGGCTGAAAATGTGGCTTAGTGGTAGTGCTTGCCTAGTATGCATGCTTGCCTAGTATGTTTATGTGGCATGGCTGCCACATAAACAGAAAAAGCCAGAAGTGGTGCTGTGGCTCAAGTGGTAGAATGAGCAAAAGAAGCTCAGGGACAGTGCCTAGGCTCTGAGTTCAAGCCCCAGGACTGGTAGAAAGGGAAAAAAGGAAAGGGAAAGGGAAGGGAAGGAAAGGAAAGGACAGAACGGTTAAAAAGAGTAATCTAGGCCAGACGAGGAGGAAAGGAGCTACGACTAGTTGCCTAGAGGCCGCAGAGACAGCGACGACCAAGACAACCGAGACGCCACCGCCGGGCCCCCATGGCGGCTACCAAGGACAGTCATGAGGATCACGATACCTCCACTGAGAATGCAGACGAGTCCAACCACGACCCCCAGTTTGAGCCAATAGTTTCTCTTCCTGAACAAGAAATTAAAACACTGGAGGAAGATGAAGAGGAACTTTTTAAAATGCGGGCCAAGCTATTTCAATTTGCTTCAGAGAATGACCTCCCAGAATGGAAGGAGCGAGGCACTGGTGATGTCAAGCTCCTGAAGCACAGGGAGAAAGGGACCATCCGCCTCCTCATGAGGAGGGACAAGACCCTGAAGATATGCGCCAACCACTACATCACGCCAATGATGGAGCTGAAGCCGAATGCTGGTAGTGACCGTGCCTGGGTCTGGAACACCCAAGCCGACTTTGCTGATGAGTGCCCAAAGCCGGAGCTGCTCGCCGTCCGCTTCCTAAATGCTGAGAATGCACAAAAATTCAAAACAAAGTTTGAAGAATGCAGGAAAGAGATTGAAGAGAGAGATAAGAAAGCAGGACCAGGCAAAAATGATAGTGCCGAAAAAGTAGCTGAAAAGCTGGAAGCTCTTTCTGTGAAGGAGGCTGGAGACAAGGTGGAAGAGAAATCGGAGGAGAAGCAATGAGTTAATCTTCCCTCCTTCTTTTCTTTTTTAAAAAAAAATTTTGCCCTACCCTTCCTTTTCAGTTTCGTTTTTTTTTTTTTTGTCAGTCATGGGGCTTGAACTCTGGGCCTGGGCGCTGTCCCTCAGCTCTTCAGCTCAAGGCGAGCGCTCTACCACTTGAGCTACAGCGCCACTTCCGGTTTTCTAGTGGTTTATTGGAGATAGGAGTCTCACGGTCTTTTCTGCCCGGGCTGGCTTTGAACCGCGATTCTCAGATCTCAGCCTCCTGAGTAGCTAGGATTACAGGCGTGAGCCACCGGTGCCCGGCTCAGTTTCGTTTTTAAATTCTGTTTTGTTTTTACAAGGGACTTTATATAAAGAACTGAATTCCAACATTCAAGTTTTTTCTAAGTTTTTACCCTACTGAAGATGACTTCTGAAAATCCATTCCCCAGTCATGAAAATGTATTGTGCTAACTTTCTTTTCCGTAGTGGAAACACTTATTTATAGTCATCAAAATAGTGAATAAAATTGCCTTTGAAAGCTGAAAACAAAAAAAAAGAGTAATCTAGAAAATTAAAGATAATTCAGGAGGCTGATAAAAGCACTTGTTGACAACAAAAGTCCTATGACTCAGAACCCTCTTAAGGATATGTGACATTTGAAAGTGTATTAACTACCAGGCTCAATGTCTGCCAGTATATGCCCCAAGATCCAGTTTCCCCTTTCTATTTTTTCTTTCTTAAAGATGCAGTCCAGAGTGTCCTAGAATTTGCTATGCAGATCAGGCAGGCCTTGACTCTCAATTCTATACCAGACTCCTGAATGTAGAATTATAGGCATGTCCCACCATGCCCAGCTCTCCTTTCTAATTGATTACCATCCCTCTAAAGAAAAAAGGAATCTACTATGGATATAGTTAAGCATTTATGAAGTTTATGTTCCTTTTAAGGATAAAATATATAGCAAAACCTGTTTTTGAAAGAGATACATGGAGCTAAGGGTACAGCAAGTATGAGGCCTATGGGCCCGGGGTTTCATCCTCAGTACTAGAGAAAAAGAAGGGAAAAGTAAAGCTCTATTTGTGATGTTATGCAGATATATGAACAAAAGTATTTACATATGACATGAAAAGCACTAGTTTAGAAGTTCAGTATAAGAAATATGACAGGCCTCATTATTAGGTGCTTATCCAATGAGTTTTCTTCTTTTTCCTCATTAAAATAGCCCCCATTTTGCACAGGCTAGCAATATGTCACTGTCAAGCAATAAATCATGGTTGATGCTGAAAAATTGATTGTACTCAAATTTATAAGTATGATCTAGGAATTTTAGAATAGCTGGGGATTGCTTTCTTTTAATAAGAAGATTCTGAAGCGCGGTTCCACATACAAATCTTCTATATTACATAATGTTATCATCAATCTCAGATTATCATGTTTTAGGAGTGAAGTTCACATAGGGACTTCTGAATTTGGTGAGGACAGAGTAATAGGACTAGATTCATTTTTCCTTCCTACAATAACTAAAAATGGACAAAATATATAAAGAGATGGTTTGTAAGAATCTAGTCATCAAACAACAAAAGACAATGACCTATAAAATAAGTGAGTGACAAAAAAAATAAATGAGTGAAGCGTGCTCTATTACTAATTTACTGCCTTAATTTCCAGGATACAATACAAAAATACGAAACCTAGGTGGAGCCTGAAAAATTCCTTGATTTGAAGAGAGAAAGTTGTGAGTCCAAGGTGGCTAGTAATAATTTTGCAAATTATTGCAAAAGAGAGTAACAACATGAGAAGAACATGAGCTCTGCAGATCTAGTCTGCATTAATATTCAACCGAATGTTGTGAACATGCAAAGAAACTACACAAGGCCAGAAAATTAATAATATACTGGTCATGCACCCAAGCCAGTTCTCACCAATTAAGCAGAAAACTTCAAGAATCAGGCTTGCTAGAGGTGGGAGAAAGAAGGGGGAGAAAGAAGGAGAGGAAGAGAATGATGGTGTTGAGGGTTTGATTAGAATACATTGTATGTGTGGAAATGTCACAATAAAATTTCTCCTTGAATAGCTAATATATGCTAAAAAGAAAAAAATGAAGATAATCCTGAGTGGGAATCTGTATACTATCTGTAAACAAAAATACCAAAAGGGCCAGGCCAGGGATTATAGGCTCATGCCTGTAATTCTAGCTACTTAGGAGGCTGAGATTTGAGGACTACATTCAAAGTTAGGCAAACAGGAAAGTTGGTTAGACTCTTATCTCCAATTAACCACCAAAAAGCCAGTGGTGGAGCTGTGGCGCAAGTGGCAGAACCTGGCCCTGAGCAAAAAAGCTTTGTGACAGTGCCCAGGCCCTGAGTTCAAGCCCCAGGAACAACACACAGGAAGGATGGAAGGAAGGAAGGGAGGGAAGGAGGGAGGGAGAGAGGGAGGAAGGGAAAGGGAGAGAGAGAGGGAAAGGGAAAGGGAAAGGAGGGAAGGAAGACAGGAAGAGGGAGGCATTTCGAATTAGTATAATATCCTTAACATGACAGTAGTAAAAGATCCCAATTAAGCTGATAATCAAGTGCCTCAGACTGTAAAACATCTATGAGAAATGTGTGAAAAATAAATACTTACCCATGCTGGGTGTGGTTCCTCCCTCCAATAAATCAGAACATAATTCAATCCTACTAGCACCTATGATTAAAAAAAAGCATTGCTCAACACAACTTTTTAAAAGTGCTTCTTAAATAGCAAGCTGTTGATGTTTGTTTTTGAGGGTTTTATTTATCAATTGTGGGGCTTGAATTCTGGGCATGTGTACTGTACCTGTGCTCTTTGGCTCAAGGCCAATACGGTACCACTTCTGGTTTTCTGGAGGTAAGAGTCTCACAGACTTTCCTACACAGGATGGCTTTGAACTGCAATCCTCAGATTGCAGTTGAGTAGCTAGGATTACAGGCGTGAGCCACTAGCACTGGCTTATCTTTTTTTTCAAATGTAGAAGAACCTTAAAAGTTGGCTAAGAGAAATGATAAAACTTTTCATCTCAACTGTATTCCACATTGTGCTACTGTGAAATTTGAGATAAATTAAGCCAGTTCTCTTAGAATTTTGTACATATAGTTAACTAGTTATATGTACCAGTAGTACATACCTGTAGTTCCAGTATCTGTCTTTCAGACTGCAGGTGTATGAGGTTGCTTGAAATTATCCCACAACCACTGATTTTACAGTTTCTAAAGTTTTATGAAAATGAAGGGTGACAAAGAAATGTGTCCAGCAAAGCTAAAAATATGCATTATGTGGCTCTTTGCCAAAAAAGTTTGCTGCCCCCCTAACATACTTGAAAAATGGAATGATGGGTACATATGGGTTCATTTTATTTTTATAACTTTGTATGTTTAAATTTTTTCCAGAGGAAGAAATTAAAATTTTTTTGATCCTGAGATGATAAAAATGTCTATGCTTCCTACTAAAACAAGTTGAGGAATCTTTTTTGTTTTTTGGTTTTTTTGGGGTCTGGTCGTGGGCCTGAACTCTGGGCCTGAGTGCTGTCCCTCAGCTTTTCAGCTCACTGCTAGCGCTCTATCACTTGAGCCACAGCGCCACTTCCGGCTTTTTTTTTCCTGCTTATGTGGTGCTGAGGAATTGAACCCAGGGCCTCATGCATGCAAGGCAAGTGCTCTACCACTGAGCCACCTTCCCAGCCCAAGTTGAGGAATCTTTAATTCCAACTTCTTACAAGGAGGCAGAAAATATTTCTCTCTAAAATTCTCCTTACTTTAATCTTGTTATTTTTAAGTAATTTTATAAACAAGAAACCTTGGGGCAAAAGTAGGTAATATCTAGACTTGGAATATAACACTTTGTCTATCATATACATAAGGCCCTGCTTTCAATTCCTAACACTGAGAGAAAAATAATTAATTAAATGTGATTTTTTTTTTTCAGTTGGAAACTGAACCCAATTTCATATAACCTGGGTCAAGAGCTCAATTGTGAGCTCCATACTCAGTCCTCTATGAAACCATCTTTGTTCATTTGAAATGCATAAATTTTTGCTAAGTTCAATAAAATAATTGAATTATTAAGTATGCACTATTGTATGCACTTGTATCAAGATGTGAAATGCTTGGGAAAGGGAGAAATTAGGTCCCAATTTCCCAATTTCCCGCTGTCATAGGGTCTTATTAGTGAACCCTAGGTTTGCCTAAAATTGGCTATGTAGTCCAGGCTGGCCTTGAACTGTTTTTTCTATTTGGTGGTATTGGAGTTTGAAATCAGGGCATTATACTAAACTTGGGTAGCACTGTAAAAGCATTCATTACCTATCAGTTGACTTGAGACTGTAATAAGGCCTTGAACTTTTTTTTTTTTTCTTTGTTGGTCATGGGCTTGAACTCTGGGCCTGGGAGCTGTCCCTGAGCTCTTCAGCTCAAGGCAAGAACTCTACCACTTGAACCACAGAATCACTTCCAGTTTTCTGAGTGGTTTATTGGAGATAAGAGTCTCACGGCCTTTCCTGCCCAGGCTGACTTTGAACTGTGATCCTCAGATCTCAGCTTCCTGAGTAGCTAGGATTACAGGCTTGAGGCACAGGCGCCCAGCTCCTAGGTTCATTTTCATACTGTTAAAAGAGTTACTAAATTCTTTTTTTTGGGGGGGGGAGGGGGTCCGGTTGTGGGGCCTGAACTCTGGGCCTAGGCACTGTCCCTCAGCTCTTCAGCTCAAGGCTAGCACTCTACCATTTGAGCCACAGCACCACTTCGGGCTTTTTGTTTTTCTGCTTATGTGGTGCTGAGGAATCAAACCCAGGGCCTCATGCATGCAAGGCAAGCACTCTACCACTGAGCCACCTTCCCAGCCCAAGAGTTACTAAATTCTTTAATTTCTCTTACCTCCTCTTTCTGCATTCACAGCTGATTCAACCGAATCAACACACACTTCCATGAGAAACCCATTTGCTGCTCCTAAAATACATGAACAACAGACTTATGAAAGATATTCATAAAGTGATTTAGTCTAAGGCCCATTAAATATTATAATATTGCTGTCTCTGAACTGTGAAATAGACACAGACATATCCATAAGAAATCCAACTGAGGGCTAGGAAGGTGGCTCAGTAGTAGAGTGCTTGCCTTGCATGCATGAGGCCCTGGGTTCGATTCCTCAGCACCACATATGCAGAAAAAGCCAGAAGTGTGCTGTGGCTCAAGGGGTAGAGTGCTAGCCTTGAGCTGAAGAGCTGAGGGACAGCGCCCAGGCCCAGAGTTCAGGCCCCACAACCGGACCCCCCCCAAACAAAAAAAAAAAAAAGAAATCCAACTGAGAAATGTTGAAAGAATGCCAATTTAATCTTTCTAAAACATAGACTTAATCATTTTTTCTCCGTTTTGGCTATATTGGGGACTGACCTCAGGGCCTCACACTTGCTAGACAGGCACTCTATCACTTGAGCCAACTGCTGGCGCCGCCCCCCCCAACCCCCCCCCCACCCCCCTTCCTAGTCTTGGTTATTTTCAAGGGAGTGTCTATCTCACAGAGGATGACAGACACAAGGCAATGTGCCCAACTATGGGTTGAGACATTCTTCTAACCTTTTGTCTAGACTACCTTTGAACCATGACCACCTGATATTTACCTCTTGAGATCTCCTACATTTGGTTCAGCTCAATATTCTTAACTAAAAATACTGGATGCTTCTCAGTGCTTGTAGAATGTTTAAATGTTTAAACATTTAAGGAATATATGTTTAAAAGCTAAGTATGAACTTCAAATCCTGGACCCATCACTTATTTGTTGTGTGACCCTAGACAACTTACTTAAAGCAGAGTACTTTTTAGTTTTTACCTCACAGTAGTGAAGGTGATACGAGTAATCCATATTAAAGCTATGATGACTACCAGGCATTCAAAAAGTACTTATTATCATTAATAAATTACACATTTTTTTCTCTATGTGCCTCGTTTCTTCAATCTCCATCTCTCTGTTGCTTACAACCTTTCCCAGCTAACAAAATCTTTCTAGCTTCATGTTTAAATATGAAAAATTTGTCAAGTCACACTTTCAGGCCTTTTTCTCTCTTAAAGTAGGAGACTGTATCTCCCTCTTTTGCATTCATGGAACTCTTTTAACTGTTGTATATTCCTCTTAAAAAAAAAAACTTTCTTATTAAAACACTCATTACTTTCTATGACTTTTTTTTTTTTTGGTCCAGTCGTGGGGCCTGAACTCTGGGCCTGGGCGCTGTCCCTCAGCTCTTCAGCTCAAGGCTAGCACTCTACCTCTTGAGTCACAGCGCCACTTCCGGCTTGTTTTTCTTCTGCTTATGTGGTGCTGAGGAATCAAACCCAGGGCCTCATGCATGCAAGGCAAGCGCTCTACCACGGAGCCACCTTCCCAGCCCCCTTTCCATGACTTTTTAAAAATTGTGATCTTCTAGATCTCAGGTCTCCCAACCAGGGAGGATTATAGGTGTGAGCACCTAGCATCTGCTTCTTTTCAGTTCCTAAGATCTTGATGTGAGAAATTTTTATCACCATTCATAAGCAGTCTATCATGTTACACAATAGCCACTCAAATTTTTATTTGCTAAAATCTGAATAATTACTAATTCATATACTGACACTAAAGAATAAGATGTAGGGGCTGGGAAGGTGGCTCAGTGGCAGAGCGCTTGCCTTGCATGCATGAGACCCTGGGTTCAATTCCTCAGCACCACATAAGCAAAAAGAAAAAAGCCAAAAGTTGCACTGTGGCCCAAGTGGTAGAACTCTAGCCTTACAGCGCCCAGGCAGGCCCCACGACTGGACTCCTCCCCCCCACAAAAAAAAGAGTAAGATGTAGAGCTGGGGATGTAGTTCAAGTGGTACTTATTTATCTAGGAAGCTCAACACCCTGAATTCAATCCTTGGTAATCTTCCCAGCCATATATGCACTTTTGAGTTTTTCCAGTAAGTAAAGTTTGTAACTTATTTTAGGTTAAAAAAAAAAAGCATACTAGGGTTGGGAAGGTGGCTCCGCGGTAGAGTGCTTGCCTCGCATGCATGAGGCCCTGGGTTCAATTCCTCAGCACCACATACACAGAAAAGGCCGGAAGTGGCACTGTGGGTCAGGTGGTAGAGCCACAGCCTTGAGCTGAAGAGCTCAGGGACAGTGCCCAGACCTAGAGTTTAAGCCCCAGCACCGATTCCCCCCCCCCCCCCCCAAAGAAAAAACTGAATAGCCGGGCGGCAGCGGCAAAATCTCTAATCGTAACTACTCAGGAGGCTGAGGTGGGGGTTCAAAGCCAGCCTGGGCAGAAAAGTCCCCAGAGACCCTTTCCTTTAATTAACCACCAGAAAAACGGAAGTGAAGCTCTGGCTCTAAGTACTAGCCTGGAGCAGAAAAGCTCAGGGACAGAGCCCAGGCCTTGGGTTCAAGCCCCACGCCCAGAAAAGAAAAAAATAAAGTAAAACAAAACAAAACAAAACCCACCTAACTGCATACTGCATGTGCAATGACTCCCTATTCCATCAGTTTCTGGTAATGGTCACCACCGCTGCGTGGTGAAATTTGAGTTTCTCCTACCCAATGTGACTTTCGTAATTAAAAATAAAAGCTGGGCACCGGTGAGGGAACACGCCTGTAATCCTAGCTCCTCAGGATGAGGCTGGGATCTCCAGCATTGCCGTTTGAAGCCAGCCTGGATCGAAAAGGCCGTGAGACTCTTATCTCCAATGAACCACCGCAAAGCCGAGAGCTGAGCGGTGGCTCAAGTGGTAGAGTGAAGTTAGCCTTGAATGAAAAACCCAAGCCCATGAGATCCCCGAGTTCGAGCTCTAGGCCCGGCACACGCGCGCGCACACCCCCTAAATAAGTAAATAAGAAAATACAAGAAAACTTGTCGAGAACTTGTGGTTGGAAGAACGCAGCCTTCCGCGAGAGGCTAGGAAGAGGAGGGCCCCGGCTGCTCTGGTCTGGGGCCTGCCGGGCTGGTCGGCGCCGGGGTTCTTCGGCAACAGCCCCGGCGTCGCAGCCGGAGGTGGCCGAGCGCTGCCCCCCCGGCCTCGGCCCGGGCCCCGCGCCGCTCAGGTCAGGCGTCCCCCGGCGAGGATGTCCCATCGCGGCCAGGGGGCGAGCCGCTCTCCCCCGGGCGCGCGGGGCCGCGGGGCCCCCGACTCCCACCGGCGCCTCACGGCCCCGCTCCGCCCCGCACGCCCCCAAACGCGCAGCCGGTGGGGTCGCGAGGCGCCGAGGGAGAAGTCCTCGGCTGTGAAACCCTGACAGGCCGGCTCCCGCCCCGGCCCCGCCAACTTTCTTCCTCTCCGCACCGGTCTTCCCGGAGGACGTCCGCGTGAGTTTCCGCTCGCAGGAGGCCCCTTGCCTTTTCATGCTCCACGCCTCTCGCTACGCCTTCGGTTTCCACGCAGAGCCCCGGCTCCTACGCGCGCGAGCGGAGAAGCGCGTTCCCAGCGGCGGCGCGCGCCCCTGCGCGTCCTCGACGCCCGACTTCCAGTAGCCACCCCCCCCATCCCCCCCCCCCCCCCCCCAGTCCTTCGAGAAGCGGAGTCCTCGGCGCTTGCGCAGTCGCCAGCTTCCCGCGGAGGAAGTGTCGCCTGGCCCGGAAGTGATTCTCTTTTCGGCAGCGGAGAGGGGCGACCCTCCGCGAGCGTTGTGTGTGTGTGTCTGTGTGCGCGCGCGCGCGGCGCTCTCCGGTCAGGATGCAGCGGGTTCTCCTTCCGCCCTTGAAGACTTTGGTCCGGGGTCCGTGTGTCCAGCTCTTGGTTCCTAGGGCGGCCCCGAGAGCACAGGTACCGCACGGCCGCGGACTCCGACCCCGGAAAGTGGGCTGCGATAAAGCCCCGCTTCCCTGTTCTGGTAGCTCCGTCCATTGCGCCGTGTATTTCCCCGTATCCAGAACCCCTGAGTTCGGATCCAGACACACTGCTTGCTGCTAGCTGTGGGTTATTAGCCAGATTACTTAAACCCTTCTGTGCCTCAGTTACCCTTTCTGCAAAATGGAGATAGCCAGAGCTCCTGCACCGAGCGGTAATGAGTATTCAGTGAGTTAACGAACAGCAAACCTTCAGCACGTAGTAAAAGCTCACAGATTTTTACTTGTATATTGTTTTTTTTTTTGCACAGAAACTACTGTGCAGTCCCACTTTACAGTGAAGGAAACTGGGCCTGGTTTGTAGTTAAAAGTAGTGAAATGGTAGATTTAGTTAAAAAGTTCAAATGTTTTATAGGTGAGGACCGAGGGGTCCCGCTGGGAACATCTTGCAGTGAAGGCGTTGTTGGCTCGTCAAGCTGAGACCAGACTGCTGGCCAGAGCTCATAGATCCGTGAGAAACAGAAACTTGAACCTAAAGGCATATATATGTCTGTGTTCAGAGCTGTGAGGAGGAGGGCAGCAGGAGACATTGCTTTGAAAAAGTGATACATAAACCGAGGACTGCACTTAGCAACCATGGAGTGTTCCAGAGAAAATCACCATTTAAAAGACCCAGGGGAGCAAGTAGAACCCTATAAAGGAGTACAGTGATGTCTGGAGGAAGTATGCAGAGGATGGACCTTTAGGTAGTGTGGGAATGGATTGGGGTGATATAAGGCTCTAGACAGAAAACTGAGTTGCAAAGTGAATGCAGTGGTCCAGTTAAGAAACACTGAGCCAGTCCGGGTGGCTCAAGCCTGTAATCTTTACTACTCAGGAGACTGCAATCAGAGGACAGTGGTTGAAAGCCAACCCTGGCAGGCAAATCCAAGAGACTCTTAGCTACAATTAACCAGCAAAAAGCTGAGAAGTGGAGCTGTGGCACAAATCATAGGCTGTCATCCTTGAGCTAAGGGACAGCACCCTGGCCCTGAGTTGAAGTCCCGGCACACACACACACAGCACACACACGCACACACAAATGTTTGAACAGGGCAGTAGCTCTGAAGATGCGACCCTATTGGGTCCTTCACCCCAGTCAGACTGGGGTTATGTGGGTAGCAGCCTTTCTTTGTTTCTCCTGTTGTAATTTTCTGTCTTGATCCTCAGTGTGGTTGCAGCTGTGGCATCAGGCGCCCTCTGAGGCCAGGGCAATATAGCACCATCACTGAAGTGGCTTTACAGCCTGGAAAGGGTACAGTGCCTCTTCCTTCAAAGACTGCTGAGCGGGCAGTGGGCCGGTGGCTCCTGGTGTGCAGTGGAACAGTGGCTGGAGCAGTTATTCTTGGTGGAATAACTAGGTGAGTAATTTGCTCTTAGCAAGTTAGATATTTGGGTTATCAGTAGACTCTCAGGATGACTGCAAGGATAGGGATGCTAGTGTAACTCTCATTTTACAGATGGAGAAGTTGAGCCTTTAAAGACAGAGTATATTTTACGGCTTGTCCTGTCTTAGAACAGATTACTGTTTTATTAGTAAGAGCCTATTATAAAGACTACTTTAGGTCCTAATTAATAGTTGTGTATTGTTTCTGTATATTTTCCCTCCATTCAATGTTCAGTTTTATCTTAAACCTTTTTTCAGTTTGTTTCAGTTAAACCCAAATAAATTCCATGTATCACAATTGGTCCATATACATTTTATGTCTCTTAATCTATAGATTTGCCTGGCATTGGTGGCTCATGCCTGTAATCCCAGACCAAGCAGGAAAGTCCGAGAGACTCTTATCTCCAATTAATCACCAGAAAACCAGAAGTGGCATTGTAGCTTAAAGTGGTAGAGTGCTAGCCATTAAAAAAGAAGCTCAGGGACAGTACTCAGGTCCTGAATTCAAGCCCCAGATCTGGCACAAAAATAAGAATTCTACAGACTTCATAGATTTAGAATCTTCTCTCATCCTTTGCAGGTTTTGTTACTGTAAAAATTTTAAAAAAATTATCCTACAGATAACCGCAGTCTAGATTTTGCTGATTGTGTATATTTGCCGATTTTCCCCCTCTATGTCCTATAAGAGGATAGTAGCTTGATGAGTGAGTAGGCAAAATACTTCATAGTTAATTAGAGCATTCACAAACATCTGTTAGAGATTTCAACAGTCATCCATAAACTTTGCCAAGATCCATTATTTCATTAGTTACAAAATTATAATGTTTTATTAGCTCAACTAAAGAGAAACTTTCGTTCCTCAGCAAATTGATGGGCTACAACCATAGTTTTTATACAGAATACAGGATGAATACTTGATTCTTTGCCTTTACTTTCCAGTTTTGATATGCTTTAGTTCATTATGAGGATGATGGTGATTTGCTTAAGTTGGCTTTAATGACTTTTTTGACAGGGTTGTTTATTTGTGACAGGTTCTCCCTATATGTCCAGGCTACTTTAGAACTTGCTAGCCAGGATAGCCACCAACTCAGAATTCTCCTGCCACAGCTTCCCAAGTCTTGTCAGGGCCCTTTGATAGCTAATTTTGTTCCAGGCTCTTTTTTTTTTTTTTTTTTTGTCGGTCGTGGGGCTTGAACTCTGGGCTTGGGCGCTCTTTATGCTCTTTATGCTCCCTATGCTCTTTAGCTCAAGGCAAGTGCTCTACCGCTTGAGCCACGGTTTTCTAGTGATTTATTGGAGATAAGAGTCTCACGGATTTTCCTGCCCAGGCTGGCTTTGAACCTTGATCCTCAAATCTCAGCCTCCTGAGTAGTTAGGATTACAGGCGTGAGCCACCGGCGCCCGGCCTTTTTTTTTTTTTTTTTTTAATATGTATTTTATTGTAAAAATATTGTATAGAGGGGTTACAGTTACATGAGCAAGGTAATGAGTACATTTCCTATCAAGCATTGCTGCCTCCTCCTTTGTTTTTCCCCTACCATCCCTTCCCTCCCACCCTCCACAACTACCCCTCCCACTCCCACCCCCTAAATTGTAAAGTTCGTTTTTCGACATAGTGTCTTGTATATCTCATTGTTATAAGGAGTCAACCTGTATCCCTATTTAAGCATTTAGTTTTTCCCCTTCCCCTCCCCAAATCAGAGAAGTGTATATACAAGATGCTGGGCACTGACATCAAATACAGTGAAAACAGGGGTTATACTATGGGGGAGGAACATACAAAGAAACAAAAAAAGTCACATGGTACCTTATAAACATGTTAAAAACAATAGCAAGAAAGAAAAAAAAAAACCACTTGTGTCCCCATCTTGGGGTTCATTTCACTTAACATCATCCTACCTGGTCATATGTACATAGCTTTTGACCTTTTCTGCTTGTCCCAGACATATACTTATTTCCCTTATTTCAAATAAGGGAAACCATGGGACCTCTGTTTATTTGGGCCTGGCTTACTTCACTTAATAGAATTTTTTCCAAGTCTTTCCATTTCCTAACAAATAGAACGGTGTTATTCTTTCTGATGGAGGCATAGAATTCCATTGTGTGTGTGTGTGTTTGTGTGTGTGTGTGTGTGTGTATCTCACATTTTCTTGATCCATTCATCTACTGAGGGGCATCTGGGTTGGTTCCATATCTTAGCTATGATTAAATAATGCTGCAATAAACATAGTTGTGCTGGTAGCTTTAGTATGGTCTTGTTTGTGATCATTTGGGTAAATGCCCAAAAGTGGGATTGCTGGGTCATAGGGGAGCTCTATGTGGAGTCTTGAGGAATCTCCATACTGCTTTCCAAAGTGGTTGAACAAGTTTACACTCCCACCAACAATGCAGTAGGGTTCCCTTCTGTCCACATGCCCTCCAGCATCTGTTGTTATTAGAGTTCTTGATTATAGCCATTCTAACTGGGGTGAGGTAGAATCTCAATGTTGCTTTGATTTGCATTTCTTTTATGGCTAGAGAGGTTGAGCATTTCTTCATATGTCCGTTAGCCATTCTTATGTCCTCTTCAGAGAAGTTTCTCTTTAAGTCTTTAGCCCACTTATTTATTGAGCAGTTGTTTCTTTAAGGATTTTTTGTTGAAGGATTTAATTTTTTTATTCCAAGTATATTTTAGATATGAAACCCTTATCTGTTGTATGGCTAGTGAAGATCTTCTTCCAATCTATGGGCTTTCTATTGATCTTGCTAGCTATGTTCTTTGCCATGCAGAAGCTCTGCAGCTTCATGCAATCCCATTTGTCCTACCTTTCTTTTATTTGTTGTTTCTGGGTCTCTATTAAGAAAATTTTGGCCTGTGCCAAGGAGACCTAGGGTCTATTCCGTCCTGTAATGTTTTTAGGGTGTCTGCTTTGATTCAAAGGTCTTTGATCCATTTGGAGTTGATTCTGGTGCAGGGTGATATAGAAGGACCTAGCTTTAATTTTCTACAGGTCATTAACCAATTTTGCCAGCACCATTTACTGAAGAGGCTGTCTTTTTCCATTCTATTTTTTTTTTTAGTTCCTTTATCGAAGATTAGGTGGCTATAGGTATGTGGGTTCATTTCTGGGTTTTCAATTCTATTCCATTGATACTGAGGTCTGTTCTTGTGCCAGTACCAAGCTGTTTTGATAACTATGGCTTTGTAGTAGCATTTGAAATTTGGTATTGATAGTCCTCCAGCACTATTCTTTCTGTTAAGGATTGTTTTTGCTATTCGGAGTCTTCGATTGTTCCATATGAATTTTTGGATTGCTTCTTCTATTTCATTGAAGAATGAGGTTGGAATATTGATAGGTATCGCATTGAATTTGTAGATAGCCTTGGAAGTATTGCCATTTTCACGATGTTGATCCTTCCAATCCAGGAGCATGGAAGGTTTTCCACTTCCTAAGTTCTGCTTTGATTTCCTTTTTCAGATTTTTAAAGTTTTCATCGTAGAGATTCTTCACTTCTTTTTCAGGCTCATCTTTTACATTTCTTACCTCAGGCTTAAAGTTAACTGTTGGTTTAGAAATCTTGACTTTTTTCCTTTATTTTTGCAGTACTGATCCTTCTCCCAAGTAGCTTCAATTACAGGTGTACACTGTCACATTTGGCCCTCCAAATCCTTTTGGTGAAAGTATTTTCTAGTTTTACTTTTCTTTTTTTTGGGGGGGGGTCTGGTCATGGGGCCTAAACTCTAGGCCTAGGCACTGTCCCTCAGCTCTTCAGCTCAAGGCTAGCGCTCTACCACTTGAGCCACAGCGCCACTTCCAGCTTTTTTCTTTTTGCTTATGTGGTGCCGAGGAATCGAACCCAGGGCCTCAGGCATGCAAGTGCTCTACCACTGAGCCACCTTCCCAGCCCTATTTTCTAGTTTTAATGAAATGTATGTTCCTCCAATCGTCTCTATGTTTCTGTGACTACTGTATCTGTTAGATACTACTTTTATGAGAAAGTGAAACATATTCGAGTTATATTGTCTTCAATTTCACAGAAGAACCTAAACTTATATGTGAATCTCTTTTTTCCATATTAAGAATGTTGGTTATTGCTAGTATAGCTCAGTAGTTTGTGTGTGCTTACTGTATAAAAGACCCTATGGGTTCAAACCCCAGCACCAGAAAACTAAGAATGTTGGTTATGCATTTAATATGCATTTCTTGGTATAAGGATTGGTTTTGCTTGTGAACACTAATGAAAAAAATCAAGTGGAAGCCAGGAGCAATAGCACACACCTCTAATTCTAGCATTCAGGAGGTATAAGTTTGAGGAAAGCATGGACTCCATAGCAAGATCCTGTCTCAGAATAAATAAGTAAACAATTAAGCGAGGAAAGTTAGAAAATGAAAGGATTGAGAGAATAGGAGAATAAAGAAATAAGGGCTAGAAACTGGGAATGTAACTTAGTGTTAGAGCATTAACTTAGCATGTACAAAGCCCCAGTACTGCAAAAACAAGGAAAGAAAAGAAGAGAAATTTGTACCTGATAGCAGCTACTTCTTTCAAAATTCCATGCACTAGAGAAAAATATGTCAAGAAATAAACAATGAAACAATGTCTTTAATGGGGTTAAAATTCATACCTACTTATTGCTACAAACTATTCATAAATCCAGAATCATATTATTCCTTCCCTTAAGATTGACAGAGTCTGGCCTCTCAATGGTAGACTGGCATTTAATAAAGGAGATGAAGCCACCTACAAGCCAAGAAGAATGGGAAGCAGAATTCCAAAAATACCAACAATTTCCAGAATTTAAAATGTAAGTATTGGAGGGGGAAATCAGGTAAGCATCTCATTGGCCCCATTCATTCTTTTTTTTGGGGGCAGGGGGGTTGTGGGGCTTGAACTCAGGGCCTGGTGCTGTCCCTGATCTCTTTAGCTCAGGGCTAGCGCTTTACCACTTGAGCCACAGTACTACTTCCGGTTTTCTGGTGGTTAATTGGAGGTAAGAGTCTCGTGGACTTTCTTGCCCAGGCTGGCTTTGAACCGTGATCTTTAGATCTTAGACTCCTGAGTAGCTAGGATTACAGACAAGAGCCACTGGCACCTGGCATGCCCTATTTATTCTTTTGCTTCTTAAACTTCTTTATTTGCTTCAGTTTCATTTAGTGAGCTGCCTAGTGAGTCTGCAGATAGAGAGCAGGCCTACAAAGCTCACAGCTAATGCAGAATGTTTCTGCATTCTATAGGGAAATAATAATTGGTGGATGTTTTCTCTTTCCTCACTTTTGACTTCCCATTTCCCCCCCAGCTTGAATCACGATATGACCTTGGCAGAATTCAAGTTCATCTGGTACATGGAGTACTCACACCGGATGTGGGGTCGAGTTGTAGGCCTTGCATACATCCTGCCTGCTGCCTACTTTTGGAGAAAGGGCTGGCTCAGCCATGGCATGAAAGGACGTGTTCTTGCCCTCTGTAGCCTAGTCTGCTTCCAGGTAAGATCTATTCAAAGTTAGGAAACCACAGGTGCTCCAGGAGTGACGTAGTTGGCAGTATTTTTGAGGAAGGAATCTGTGAGGCACTATAACAGAATGGGTAAGTGAATGCATTTTTAGTGTCACAGGCTTGGTTCAAGCCCTAGCTCTGTCAGTTGGTAGGGCCACAAGTTGTCTGGTTTCTATATATTATGGTTTCCTTACTTGTAAATATGGGTAATAATAGTGCGCTACCACTTAAGATTATGTGGATATTCAGTGGAATAATGCATGTAAACCACTGAGTACCCAGAATGAGTAAGCACTGAATAAATACTTTCTCTTGTGCTACAAGTAGTATAAATAGGACTTAAAATCATGTAAGCTGAACTTTTAAGAAAAAGAGCTTTGAAAGACTTCAACTTAAAAACGGAGGTAAAACACTCTGTATATCACCTTTATCATAACAATGAATTTTTTTTTAATGGAGGTAAAGTTAAGAGCCAAGAAAAGGAATTACGAAAGACTATGCCTGGAAGTATGTGGGTCAAACAATAAAGATCTTAAGGGGACTGTATCAGAGCACTAAATATAACACAATTTGATCTAGGGGAAGCTAGTTAACTGAGCACTGGTAAGTTGAACCAGTTAGAAGGGATTAAAGAGGCAATAGAAACAGAAAAACATTAAATACTAATAAAAAGCCTACTACTAACTAGGAGACATTATTTTAGAATTAATAAACACTAATAGATTTCCAGGGAGTTTTAAGGAATCTTAAGATGTCAGATAGTATTATATAAGGAAGAAAGTAGGGGCCACTATGTCAACACTTGTATTCCAATGTCTCATGCAGATGAAAACAAGGTAATTAAAATAGCCAAAAGTAGTCTTGAAATGGTGAGGAGATGTCCGAACAGATTTTCTGAGAAGTATGTATTTAGAAGTAGGAGAATGTTACCTTTTTAACTTGGTTCTACCAGAAGGTGGAAGTAAAATATCTCTACCTTATCTGATATGATTTGACTGATACTGTTTGGTTACTTGAAAAAGCCAATTTAAACAGAATCATAAAAGAAAGGGCTGTACACTTCTAAACTTAAACACGTACTTTCATTATCAACTTTTTTCTTTTTTTAATTAAGGGCAAGGCCTTATTTAACTTTGTAAGTTTGGAATTTAAAAGAAGATTAAGAACTTAGACATATACAAAGAACTTAGACATAAACAAAGCAATCTGCATGCAAAATCCTACAGATTTGTGTGACTTCCCCCAAACCTTTGTGATTATCTAGTCCCATCTAACTTAACAATAATTTTTGTTTGTTTGCTTTTTGTCAGTACTGGAGTTGAGCTTTTAAGGCCTTACGCTAACTAGGTTCTACCAATTAAACCACTGTTAGCACCTTTTGAGATAGGGCCTCCTTTTATGTCCCGACTGGCTAAGATTGTGATCTTCCTATTTGTGCTTCTCTTTTTCGCTGGGATGACAGGGGTGTGCCAATGTACTCAGCCATTGTGCATCCACTGTAACTTGGGATGATGGACACACACCATCACACCTGCACACACCACCACACCCAACCATTAGTTGAGATATTGTCTCTAACTTTTTATATCCAGGCTGGCCTCAAACTTCAGTTTCCCATCTCCACCTCCCAAATAGCTAGGATTACAGGCTTGAGCCACTGCACTCAATGACAATAATTGTTGTTAAGCAGTTGTCACTATTCAGCTTTTCTAAAGCATGAAATCTAGTTTTTAAAGAAAACTCTATTTATTCTATTTCACTGGCTTATATAATACTAAATCATATCAAGTATTTGTAAGGTTTTCATGTGGGCAAATTGCTTTGTATTTTTCTATATTTGGACTATGCTTGAGTGAAATCGTTGTATTATGTTAATGGTGCTGGTGAAGAACTGCAGAGATCTTGATCTTTGGGACCCTGGGTATGTGGAAGGGTAGGTAGGGTCCACTGCTGATCACTAACATACTTCCTCTATAAACTAGTTTTAACTTTGTGTGCCTCTTCTCTTTGGAATTCTAGGGTCTGTTAGGGTGGTACATGGTGAAAAGTGGATTAGAAGAAAAGCCAGATTCTTATGACATCCCTCGGGTCAGTCAGTACCGCCTTGCTGCCCATCTGGGATCAGCCCTGGTTCTTTATTGTGCTAGCTTGTGGACCTCACTGTCACTGCTACTCCCTAAGCACAAGGTAAAAGTCAGTCTGGATTGTTAACACATGTTGACAGGGTCAGGGGGATGGAAATTCTGGTTCTCATTGGAAGTTGTAAGTGAACATTTGGCTTCCCTTATATAGTAACAATCTATCAACTTACCAGAAGCTAGATATTGCCAGGGTTTAGAGAAACATTGAACTTTAGGGCTTTGCTGAACTTTGAGACCGTAAGTGTGCAGTGCAGTTCTGTTGAGCTGGAAGTATTTGAAAGAAAACTAGCATAGGAGCTGATTTTTCTTTTTTGTCCTTGAGATAGGATGTCATTATGTAGCTTAGACTGGCTATAAATTGACTGGCTTCAAAATTGAAATCCCTGAATGCTAGGATTACAGACATGGCACCACATCCAGCTTTCATTTTTTTAAATTGCTATGAAATAAACATAACAACAACAAAAATTGCTATCCTACTCTGTGGTAGTGCTGGGACTTAAACCAGTCCCTGCAGCTATAACTCCATCTTATCATTAAATATAGTTTGTTGATGTTAGATATATTCACAGGATTAGGTAACCAGATCCAGGACTTTGTCATAATTAAATAACAACTTCTGCCCACCACCAGTCTATTTTATGTCATTGTGATACTTTATATACTTGGAATAATATACTTTTTTGTCTTTTTACTGACTTACATATCATGTCCTTATCATCCATACTGTAGCATGTATCAGAATTCCTTTCCTTTTTAAGGTTGGGTAATAGTCTATTTAAGGTTGGGTATATATAGTAGTCTATTTAAGGTTGGGTATATATTTATGTGTACATGTGTGTTTATATATACAATTATATTTTATCTATCTGTGGTATTTGAGATGCTTCCGCTTTTTGTCAGTCATGGGGCTTGAACTCAGGTCCTAGACACTGTCCCTCAGTTCTTCAGCTCAAGGCTAGCACTCTACCACTTGAGCCAGAGTGCCACTTCCAGTTTGTTTGTTTTTTCTGTTTATGTGGTGCTGAGGAATCGAACCCCGGGCCTTATGCTTGCAAGGCAAGTACTCTACCACTGAGCCACCTTCCTAGCCTCATGTTTCCACTTTTTGACTATTGTGAATAATTTAGTTATGAATACTGGTGGGCAAATTCCGCCTTGAGATCCTGATTTGAACTCTTTTGGTTATGTAGCCAGCAGTGGAATTGCTGAATCCACTTCTGAATTCAGGGGCTGAATATCTTGTCAAGCTTGCTACTGAATAAGGTGAGAGCATGAATTTTAGGGAAAAGTGAGACGGAATATCACCAATAAGAGATACCCCAAACACTTTAACTCTGACTCACAGAAGGTAGATGAGGCAAGGAAGACCAGAACAAGGGCAAAATGTGAAATTATGGTGTTATATAAAGGTCATGCTGTGTTGTATATTGAGAGGGGACTTACCATTCAAGTCTAACACTATATTAAATCTGATTTTCCTTTAGGAAACTTTTGCTTTTATGCTTTGATTTAATAGCAAGATACAATTTTTTTCTGATACAATTTTTTTCTGAGGCCCTCATTTATAATGGAGGTATCAAGATACCACACCACTATGGATCACTAGTGAGCTAGCTAGCTATACATTTCAGTGTTCTAGCACTTGTCTAGCATGTATAGATCCTGGGCTTCATTCTAAGCACTGCAAAAACAAAGAAAGGAAAACCTTTATAATTTAAATCAGGCATAGTGTCACATATTTGTAATCCAGTCATTGAGGAGATGGAGATATGAGGGTAAAGACTTTGTCTCAAAAACCTAGTTAGGGGGCTGGGAAGGTGGCTCAGTGGTAGAGCGCTTGCCATGCATGCATGAGGCCCTGGGTTCGATTCCTCAGCACCACATAAGCAAAAAGAAAAAAGCTGGAAGTGGCGCTGTGGCTCAAGTGGTAGAGTGCTAGCCTTGAGCTGAAGAGCTGAGGGACAGTGCCCAGGCCCAGAGTTCAGGCCCATGACTGGACCCAAAAAAAAACAAAACAAAACAAAAAACAAAAAACCTAGTTAGGGGGCTGGGAAGGTGGCTCAGTGGTAGAGCGCTTGCCTTGCATGCCTAAGGCCCTGGGTTCAATTCCTCAGCACCACATAAGCAGGGAAAAAAAAGCCAGAAGTGGCGCTGTGGCTCAAGTGGTAGAGTGTTAGCCTTGAGCTGAAGAGCTGAGGGACAGCACCCAGGCCCAGAGTTCAGGCCCCACAACCGGACCCCAAAAACAAAACAAAACAAAACCTAGTTAGATGTAATCATGGCCAAGTGGTTAAGGTGATGGACTAGAAAAACCTAGTTAGTTAATTAAATACTAGTAATTAGGTATTAAGTCATGGAGATGAGTTTGTTTGTTTGTTTTAAGTACTGGGGTTTAAACTTAGAACCTTGCAAGAACTAGCTAAGTGTTCTGCTACCAAGCCATGCCTCCAGCCTTGTTTTTTACTGGTTATTTTTGAGATAGAATCTTGCTTCCTCCTTAGCTACATTGCCTAGACCAAGATCCTCCCAATCTCTGCCTCCCATGTAACTTATTGACAAACACATGCCAGTGGACCCAGCTGTAGATTAAGAAGGGAATCTCAAGAACTTATCTGCCTGGGCTAGCCTCAAATCTTGATTTTTCCATTCTTAGTCTCCAGAGTAGTTAGGATTACAGGTATGAGCCACTGGCCCCTAGCTGGTATAGAATTCTTAAGTGGAATCATTCAATGGGTATTTGGTATAACAGGTATAAATTTTCTAGTAAGGACTGGAGATATTAACTTGGCAGTCACAGGAAAGCCAGATGGATGAAACATTGTCACATCTGAGTAACTCTTGTTGCTAAATCATTTAGTTATCAACAGATGCATACATGTTTGAGTACCTTCATACTAAATGAGTTTATACCTTCATAAAACTCACAGGTTAGCAGGAAAGACACATAGTAAAAAAAATTACAACGAAATATTACATGTCTGTCTTCTGTTTCTAGAGGCCCAAAAAGATCTAATGTTAAAGTATCACTTGGGTTTGGTGTTGGTGATCTTGCCGCCTCTCATAGTTCCAGCAATACAGCTTACCTTTGTGATTTTTTTTTTTTTTTATTTAGTTGCCTGAAACCCGCCAGCTCATGTGGTTGAGACGCTTTGCTGGTGGAACAGCAGGTCTGGTGTTTCTTACAGCTCTCTCAGGTAGGACTCCTCTTATCAGAAGTGGCCCGCTCTCCTCTTGTCACATGTTTTGTCCCTTCCTTTTTCATCTTCCTATTTCCCTTCTATACCTTTCCCATCCTTGCCATCTTTACTCACTGTTTTCCATTTGTCTTCTCTTCCAAAAGCCAGTCAGTGGAACAAAAATATATGTCCTAAGATTTGACTTCTAGCTTCACCACTTAGTAGCTGCAAGCTGTGGCAAGTTTGTAGTTGCCAAGCTGTGGAAGCTCTTAAGTTATCTGATCTATAAAATGAGATGATGACTATAGTATGAGTAATATGCATGACGTGCTCAGGCTAGTACCTGGCATTTAGCAAAGACTCCATAAGTGCTAGTGGTTAGTATTCTATAAACATCATGACAATACACCAAGATATGTCGTACAAAAAAGATCTGCAGCCGGGGCGCTGGTGGCTCATGCCTGTAATCCTAGCTACTCAGGAGGCTGAGATCTAAGGATCGCGGTTCAAAGCCAGCCCGGGCAGGAGAGACCGTGAGACTTATTTCCAATAAACCACCAGAAAACCGGAAGTGGCGCTGTAGCTCAAGTGGTAGAGCGCTTACCTTGAGCTGAAGAGCTGAGGGACAGCGCCCAGGCCCAGAGTTCAAGCCCCATGACCGACAAAAAAAAAAAAAAAAGATCTGCTCACAAAGATGGGCAGAGGTAGAGGGTTCATTGAAGCAGAGAGTCCAGCCCAGGTTTCTCCATTGTCTAGACCATACTTCCACCTGTACAAGTGCATTGCCAAGTAGAGGGATCAGTTGCCTTATATGATTAAAACATAAGATTCATTTAATTAATAGTAAAGAAAAACTGGAATTTTGTTCTTTTTTTTTTTTTCTGTCAGTCGTGGGGCTTGAACTCTGGGCCTGAGCACTGTCCCTCAGCTTTTTGGCTCAAGGCTAGCACTCTACCACTTTGAGTCACAGCACCACTTCTGGTTTTCTGGTGGTTAATTGGAGATAAGAATCTAATGGACTTTCCTGCCCAGGCTGGCTTTGAACCGTGAGCCTCAGATATCGGCCTCCTGAGTAGCTAGGATTACAGGCGTGCGCCATCGGTGCCCGGCTAGGAATTTTGTTCTTAAGTCACACTACATTTTGAGGGCTTATCAGGCACATAATTCCTGGCACCCATACTGGATAGAATACTTCTATTATCACTGAAACTTCTTTTGGACAATTCTGTTCAAGAATGAAATAACATTGATTCACACCAGTGAGATACCTTTCCTTTTCCCTTTTTTTGTCGGTCATGGGGCTTGAACTCTGGGCCTGGGCACTGTCCCTGCACTCTTTAGCTCAGGGTGAGTGCTTTACCACTTGAGCCACAGTGCTACTTCCAGTTTTCTGGTGGTTAATTGGAAATAAGAGTCTTATGGACTTTCCTGCCCAGGCTGACTTTGAACAACAATCCTTAGATCTCAGCCTACTAACTAGGATTACAGGCGTGAGCCATTGTCACCCGGCTTTTTTTTTTTTTTTTTGACTAAAAGAACATGAATTTTGTCATTTATAGGTGCACTCACAAAAATAAGGAATGTGATCCAAATTTCTCTGAATCTTTTTTGACCATAATGAATCAGTCATCCATTAATTGTGCCCAGACCATTAATCAGCCGTGCCTTCTCTATATGTTTATCCAGAATTTAGTTTCTAAGTTTTTCTTTTCTACTAATTTCTTTGCTCATTCAACCAATATTTATTGAGCACTTAGGGAAGATAAGTAATACGTGTGCGTGCATGCGTGCACACACACACAAATGAGTCAGGTGATATTTAGTGCTGTGAAGAAAATTAAAGCAAGCTCAGGGACTAGTGAGAGGTAGGATAAGCAAATGCTATTTTCTATTTTTGGCTAGTACTGGGATTTGAACTTAGGGCCTTGCACTGGTTTGCTTTTTGCTTATTTAGCTGGTACTCTATACATAAGCCACCTCTCTAAGCCCACCTTTTTGCTGTTTATTTTGGAGATGGAGTTTCTGCTTCACCTTACCTTGAACCAAGGGCCTCTGGATCTCAATCTCCTGAGTAGCTAGGATTACCGTTGTGAGCCATTTGCCTACCGACAAATACCATTTTATATAAAATTGCCGGGGAGATGTCTTTGGTAAAATGACATTTGAGCAGAGACCTGAAGAAGTAGGGAGTAAATCTTGCAGATGCATAGGAAAACAGAATTTCCAAAAGAGATGAGCAGCATTCTGTGAAGCATGGAAAAGACATCATAATCATTGTTTTTTTCCCCACTTCCAGACTAATATGCCTCTCCCTTCAGAGCTTCTAGTCTACTTCTCTAAGCAATGATATTGGAGGAGCAGGTGCAGGACTCAGAGATGTTGAAGTTCTTATGGTGATGGTGATATATATCCCATATTTGAGAAGCTCCTATTACAAATCTTTTTATTATTCTTTAACTGCTCCCTTTGTCTAACTCTGGGAAAATAGCTTTTTCTATGTTCAAAACTAATATTTGGTCCCTTGCTGTCATTTGAGTAAGTTCCATTTATCTTGACATACAGGGGCTTTTGTGGCAGGGCTGGATGCTGGACTTGTTTACAACTCCTTCCCCAAAATGGGAGAATCTTGGGTTCCAGAAGACCTCTTTACCTTCTCCCCCATCCTGAGGAATGTTTTTGAGAATCCCACCATGGTTCAGTTTGATCATCGGGTTCTGGTAAGTTGGGCTGATAGTTCCAGTGTGGAGGGTCAGTGAAAGATAGCAGAGCAGCAGCTTTGTTTCCTGTTCTATTTTGGAAGAAATTCTAGGACCAGTTCTCTGGCCTAATGATGTTTTTGTCTTTATTCTTCATACTCCTCCAAGCCAAACCCTAGCTTTCAGGGTATTGCTAGCTTCTGAAAGTTTAAATATGCCCCACACCACATGGCCAGAAATAACTTCTTTCTAGATTGTCTTCTGTCTAGATTGTCTTCTGAGCAGAAAAGAGATTGAATAGAGAGAGTGCAGAGACCTGATTGCCCATCATAAAGTTTGTCAGAGAGCTCTAAGGATCAGGGGCTTTATCAATACTTCTCAGTTTAGGTTGATAGGTATTGAGGGCCTGTGGGTCATGTGAAGATTGGCTGGATAGCCTGGGCACAATGAATCAGTATAGCAAGGAAGCCTGGAGAAGCAGTGGTACTGGCGTAGTGAGGCAGGGCAAAGCTACTTGTAGGGAGATAGACTTGAGATGACAGTCAATCTGAGAGGTTTCAGAGGAACAGAAATAAGAGTGGCTGTTAAGAATAAAGGTAAAAAATATCAAAGGAAAGCCTAACATTTCTCCTGTCTTGCTTAAAATACTCCCAACAAAAATGAGATAACTAGCATGAGTTTCGAGCTAGAGACTAGATATCATTAGAGCAAAACATGCTGAGATAAGGTGATGATCCAGAGAGGTCCAAAGGGGTCTGGGGCAGGGACGCATTACCTTGTGTAATTTTAAAATTAGTGATGAGGACGCAAATGATTTAAAAAATAAGGACCAGTTGGGTGCCATTGGCTCACGCCTGTAATCCTAGCTACTCAGGAGGCGGGGGGGTCTGAGGATCACAGTTCAAAACTGGCCCGGGCAGGAAAAGTCCATGAGATTCTTATCTCCAATTAACCACCAGAAAACCGGAAGTGGCACTGTGCCTCAAGTGGTAGAGCGCTCGCCTTGAGCTGATGAACTGAGGGACAGTGCCCAGGCCCAGAGTTCAAGCCCCACGTCCAACAAAAAAATAAGGACCATACTTGGGATAGCCACATTTGAAGGTGCATAAAATTACCAACAGTGTGTGTGTGGATGTGGAGAATACACACATCACGGAAATTTAGGTGGAGCCCTGGATAACTCTACCATTTTAATAAGCAGAAGAGAACAATGGATTCAACTGAGGAGAAGGAACTGGGGTGGGACTGCAGGGTGGTACTTAGAGTCGCTCAGTGGTTCTGGAGGAGAGATGATAGATGGAATCAGGAGCTAGGTTCTTGACAAAAGGTGAGTAGAATCCTAGCACATATAACTCTTCCTTCCCCCCAGGGAATCACTTCCGTCACTGCCATTACAGTGCTGTACTTCCTCTCCCGAAGAATCCCCCTTCCTCGAAGGACCAAGACGGCAGCGATGACCCTGCTGGCTTTAGCATATACACAGGTATAAGCCCTTTTCTTTGGCCTGAGGGTAACCGCAAAATAAAGTTGGTATTATAAAAGATTAATAATTAATAGCGAGAATATCAATACAATATTCTCACAAGGAATGATGAATGGCCAGTAAACAGGAATAGCTTTTTAGCATCATTCAGAAGCAAATTAAAAGCACCATTCTGTGCCTGTCAATTTTGAAAGAAAGAAAGGAGGGAAAAAATTGATGGAAGATGATCAGCCATTGGGGTGGGTACAGGAAAATGGATGCCTTCATATACTAAACCTCATGCTCTTGGTAAAAGTGTGAATTTGTATCACTTTTTTCAGAGGAAAATGTGGCAATATCACTCAAAATAATAAGCAGGTAATCCTTTGACCCTTAAAAATATGATAATACATAAAAAGCTTTTTGTAAGAAAACTCATTATAGAATTGTGATGGTAAAAAACTGGAAACAGTCTAAATACTTCACCACTTTAAACAGCAATTTAAAATAGTAAGATTTTGGGGGCTGGGAAGTTGGCTCAGTGGTAGACTGCTGCCTTACATGCATGAGGCTCTGGGTTTGATTGCTCAGCACCACATAAGCAGAAAAAAAGCTGGAAGTGGCACTGTGGCTCAAGTGGTAGTGCACTAGCCTTGAGGTGAAGAGCTGAGGGACAGTGCCCAGGCCCAGAGTTCAGGCCCCATGACTGACAATAAATTAAATAAATAAATAAATAAATGAGATTTCAAGAAACAGGGTGTGTGTATGTGTGTGTGTGTGTGTGTGTGTGTGTGTGTGTGTGTGTGTGTGTGTGTGTGCGCGCGCTAAGATCTGAGGGTTGTGGTTTGAAGCTAGCTGGGTTAGAAACTGTGAGACTCTTTATCTCCAATTAATCACCAGAACTGGAAGTGGAGCTGTGGTTCAAAGTGATAGAGTGCCAGACTTGAGCAAAAATGCTTGAACCAGGGCTGGGAAGGTGGCTCAGTGGTAGAGCGCTTGCCTTGCATGCTCAAGGCCCTGGGTTCGATTCCTCAGCACCACATAAGAAAAAAGCCAGAAGTGGCGCTGTGGCTCAAGTGGTAGAGCACTAGCCTTGAGCTGAAGAGCTGAGGGACAGCGCCCAGGCCCAGAGGTCAGGCCCCACGACCAGACCCAAAAAAAAAATGCTTGAACCCTGCCATGGGTTCATGTTCCATGATTAAAGCCCTAACCCTTCACCCCCCCACCCTACCCCCCAAAAAAATCTCATGGGCTTTCCTGCCTGGGATAGCTTTCAAGCTGCAGTCCTCCTGAGTAGCTAGGATTATAGGCATGAGCTACCGGCACCCAGCTATATATTTATTTATTTATTGGTTTTTTGTTGTTGTTGTTGTTTTTGGCAGCCCTGGGCTTGAACATAGGGCCTGAGCATTGTTCCTGAGCTTCTTTGGCTCTACCACTTGTGTAACAGCTCTGCTTTCAATGTTTTTTGTTGTTGGTGGTGGTTGTGGGGCTTGAACTCAGGGCCTGGATGCTATATGAGGTTTTTCACTCAAGGCTACCATTCTACCCCTTCTAGTTTTCTGGTGTTTAATTGGAAATAAGAGTCTCACAGCTTGGCACCGGTGGCTCATGCCTGTAATCCTAGCTACTCAAGAGGCTGAGATCTGAGAATCATGGTTCAGAGTCAGCCCAGGCAGAAAAATCCATGAGACTCTTACTTCCAATTAACCACCAGAAAACTAGAAATAGTGCTATGGCTTAAGTGGTAGAGCACTAGCCTTGAGCTGAAGAGCTCAGGGATAGCACCCAGGCCCAGAGTTCAAGCCCTATGACCAACAACAACAACAAAAAGTCTCACAGACTTTTCTGCCTGGGCTGCTTTTGAATCTCTATCCTCAGATCTCAGCCTCCTGAGTGGTGAGGATTATAGGCATGAGCCACCAGCGCCAGGCAACAATTTATTTTTAATAGAATAAAATTTGTGCATCTCTGTAAATACATCCAAAATTATAAAAGGCGTAGAAATATAAAGTAACAATATTTGGGAAACTGGAATGGGGTGAGGGATAAATAAGGGATATTTTAGGTTTATATATTCTGTTCAGAATTCATTCTGAACAGTTGTATGTGTGGGGGAGTGCATGTGCATGCACACTGGTGGAGGTATATCTGGTTATTCACGTGCACTCATTTTCAATGTGAATTTGTAATGACTACATTTTCTTTTGCTTACTTTCCTTTGTAACAGGCAGCCTTGGGAATTAGCACTCTGCTGATGTACGTTCCAACTCCTTTGGCTGCCACTCACCAGTCAGGCTCCCTGGCTTTGCTTAGTGGTGCCCTTTGGCTCATGAACGAACTCAGAAGAGTCCCAAAATAATTCTCAGAAGATCAGCTTCCCAAGACTGAAACTGCTTCAAGACACTTAAGAGAGCTCAAGGACTTGGCCTTTTCTACAGTGACCTTGGCATGCCAAGTGGTTTCCAAATTGGTCAACTTATTTAGAACTCTGCCTGTTTTGGTCACTGGATCAAGAATGTTATTAAGTATGGTTACACTGAAGGTTCCTTTCTATTATCTATTTTTTATGTTGACAATCAGGTTTCATGTGTAAAAAGAAATGTTTGGTATTTGCTGCTGCTTAATAGGCTGTGCTTTGGTGTTTTTAATATTAGTAAGATCTTGGTTATATGTATGACTTCTGTGTCCTTGTGCTCCCAAGTACTGTCCACTGACTAGCTGTGGACAATGACAGACTAGCCAAACTAGCCAGTAAGCTGACTGAGTGCTGGCCTCTTGCTAACTTCTAGCATCCTCAGATCTAGATTTTTAAAAATCTAGATTTATTAACTGTTGGCAACTCAGTTTTTTTCATGTTCTGCACACTTAGCATGTATAGTAGCCATATATGATCTGAGGTTTCCCGTTTGCCATTTTTAAGCTAGATGGTATCATTTCCCTTTCCACTGCAATATAGTGTGCCCTCTATTATACCATTTTCAGATGTTCTTAGCACTTTTTTTTGATTTTTCAGAAATTCCAGACCCTGGTAGGTAGGTTGAGGCCTAGAAGCAGGTCCCAACTTGTCTCATACTAGGATCCTTTTTTTTTTTTTTTTTTAAATCATATTGCCTAGTTCAGCACTAGTAGCCACATCTGTAATCCCAGCTACTTAGGAGACTGAGCTTTGAGGATCACAGTTCAGTCTGAAACCGTATTTGGCAGACAAATCTCCAATTAACCAGCAAAATGTTAAAAGTGGAGGTATGGCTCAAGTGGTAGAATGCCAGCCTTGAAAGAAAAAAAAACAAGGGAGATTGCAAGGCCCTGCATTAAAGTTCCATTACCAGCACAGGAGAAAACAAAACCTAGAGGCCCCACACCAATGAAATCCCAAACTCTGGGAGCAGTGGTATGCTAGTTTGGCTAGTTTTTACATTCCCCACGTGATTCCAGTGGGCATATAATTTCTGGCCAAGCTTATTCTCATTCCTTTCAAACTTCCTCACACCCTCCCTATCTCATTTAATATGCTGTGTGATCTTGTTTGTATGACAACTGGATATTATCTCCTTTAGCTAGTAGAATTCTTCAAAGGAAAGGAACTGCAGTCATCTGACAGGTTCCAACACTGTCATCTCCAGATTGTAGTCAATCCTTAGCTAAAAACAGACGGCAGAGGGCAGTATAAGCTAACCACAAACAGTTTACCCAGAAAATAGCAACTCATGAGTAAGTTCACATTTCAGATGTTTTACTTCATTTTTATTTATTACATCTGATTAATGTTTGATCAAACATCTCATATTTAGCTATATAACTGCATTATGCTTCCCATGAGTCCCTGGTGAATAGCAAACACCTTAATTATTTTTGTATTTGTGTTTTCTCAGTGTCACCAGACACATACTAACTACTGAATGGAGTGGATGAACTAATGGAAAATGGAAGATTATTCAATAATGTCCCAAAGGCCTCTTTTAAAAGTCATCACAGTTCTAAAGGATTAACTGAATTGCCTTTGAATTTTCAAGTTCTCTCAATTCTGTGAAGTTTTTAAACTTGAAGGAAATTAAAACACAATTATATCAGTCCACCTAGACATTTTTGTCTTTACCCCACACTGACATACACTGTCCATTGTCAGAGATAAAGATTAAAAACTGCCTGAAGTGATAGTAGTTGCCAACACTAACCATTTTTGGCTAACCAGGTTACTTGCAGATCTCCTTTCTGGTCCTGGAGTGAATGGTGGATTGTCTGTGGCCATGTCTCTGCATAAGGGCTACTGCATCACCTCTCTAACATACTTTGCACGTTTTCCTCAATATTGACTTGGTGTTTATCAGTGAGAATTTTGAGTATTCTACAAAATTGTTCTTATTTAATGTGAAGCATCTGAAAAAGTCCTCACAGCCACCCAGAGCAATGCAACAGTCAGACTTTGGCTTTTTAAGTATAGAGTATCTATTGTTGTGGGTTATAATAAAAAGTTGACTTTCAGTGTACTCTGAGCAAGGTAGAAACATGATGTATACCTTGGAGCTTCTGCTAGTAAGGAAGTGTGAAATGAGAATTTCAAGCATAGCATAATAAATAGAGGGTTTGTCTGGGATCTATGGTAGCAAAGAAAGACTTTTATGAGGCTCATAAGGGGCATATCCTTCACCACCAGTGGGACGAAACTCTGGCAGGTGCTCCACAGGAGCAGTTGCTTGGGAAAATACCATGATTACCTTACTTGGATTATGCAAGTTTGGATTTAGAATGTTCCCAGAAGGTCAAAGTGTTAAAACCTTGGTCCTGAAGATGACACTACTGGGAAGTGCTAGGACCTTTACAGGGTATGTTTTTGCAGGAGATCTATACGTCATTGGAGTCTGCCCCTAAAGGGAATTGTGGGACTCTAGATACTCCCTCTTATTCAGCTTCTTGGTCATGAGGCAAACAGTTTAAATCTATTACACATTACTACCACAATAAAGCAAAAGGGGGCACTCGATCATGGAATTAAACTTTTGCTCTTAATTGTCTCAAGTCCTTAGAGTGATGGAAAGCTGACTGATGGAAGTGGAGAGGAGTGGGAAGGGGGTGGGGAAGGCAGCTGCCCTACTTTTGACGGGTAGCTCAGGAACAGACTTGTCATCAGACTTGACTGACATCATGCATGCATGGCTATAAACATCCTATGATTCAGAAGAGTTTTCAACTTTGGTCTTTGTAAAAATGGTGAAGAAATAATTTTATTACATTAAAAATGAAAACCATTACACTACCAGTGATAGCTCAGTCTTATAGATAAAAATACTTCCTTATTACTCAGATTTTCAAGAAATAAAACAAAAAGTCAACTGCTGTATTTTTCATTCTCTCTCCCTCTAATTATGGAACTGGCAGAGTAGGCAATAATAAAATACTTGGGCATAACAAAAATGTTAATAACATATAGTCTATTAGGTTACTTCAAAAAAAGAGAGAAAGACATAGCAAAGTCAAATGAAGCTTTAACAAGCCACCTGCCAAAACAACCACAAGGATCACCACACACTCAAACACAGTGCTACAACAGTTCAACGTAGATCAGATCCAAGTCAGAACAGAGAAAACTAGGGACAAGCACAAGAAACACAGAACAGGGGCTGGGAAGGTGGCTCGGTGCTAGAGCACTTGCCTTGCATGCATGAGGCCCTGGGTTCAATTCCCCAGTACCACATAAGAAAAAAGAAAAAAGCTGGAAGTGGCGCTGTGGCTCAAGAGGTAGAGCGCTAGCCTTGAGCTGAAGAGCTGAGGGACAGTGCTCAGGCCCAGAGTTCAGGCCCCATGACTAGACCTTCTCCCCCCCCCCCAAAAAAAGGAAACACAGAACATTACCCAACAGTACTTGATTTCAGATATATTTACTGTTTGTAAAAATGCTTGATATTGTCAATCAAAGGAGCTAAGATGTTGTTTTCAGTCCTTATTTTTTAACAGTATTTTTTTTAATAGAACACCAACAAAATCCTCACAAGCTTGACATAAGTGTACTGTTCCAATGGCAAGATCTGAGGCTAGTCTAATCCAAGAGACCAGTTTGGGAGAATTGGAAATAGCCATTACTAGTAACTTAATTTCTTAATCCCAATGGAAGTGAAGTCACACCACTGCAAAAAGGGAAATTAGATACTAGTTTTGAACTATTAAAAAAAAAAAAAAAAGTAAAGACAGCAAAAATCCCAGCACTGTTTCTATAAGAAATCTGGAAACTGCCCAAGAATTACAACCAAGTTCTTCAATGAGGTAGTTAGTCCTTTTTAACCTTCATTTCAGCTGTAACCTTTGTTTAGACTGTAATTCACCATATTAATGGCTTGGAGGCTGTCATTAAGAAAACTGTACAAAATTTAGAGACATCCAAAATTTTAAAGTATTGGAAGGAATACAAAACTTAAAATGGTTAGTGTATTTCTAAGTGTGAACAACACAACCACAAATGAGGATCAGAAGCTATTTCAATTACTGGGCACAATTGGTTGCGGTCAGCTGTACGAAAAAGAACGGATTCTACAGAAATAACACTTGTGGAAAGACTGTGTTAAGGAACATACCATTGTAGCTGTCAAATCAGTTGGGAGAGTATATGTGCATTACAGAGAAACCTAGAGTCTAGGAGGCCAATCATTGTGATCTGCACAAATTACAACTACTCTGGACTTCAACTTAGAAAACCAAGGAGAGTTGACCAGAAGACCTCTAAAATCCTAGCTTTACAAAAAAGTCTCAGCCAGGTGCTGGTGGCTCATGCCTATAATCCTAGCTACTCGAGTCTAAGATCTGAGGATCACAATTCAAAGCCAGCCCAGGCAGGAAAGTCCATGAGACTCTATCTCCAATAAACTACTCAGGAAAAGCCAGAAGTGGCTCTGTGGCCCAAGTAGTAGAGCACTAGTCTTGAGTACAAAGAGGCTCAGTGCCCAGGCCTTGAGTTCAAACCCCAGGACTAAAAAAAATTTTAAAGCCTTATCCTGAATTGTCATGGATGCCTCTGTCATATTAGGATACTACAAGATTTATAAATTGCCAAGCAGATGCTAATATATGCTCTTGAACTTTCCAGCTTCCAGACCCTGAACTAACTAAATCTCTCTTTCATAAATTAAAGTTAAAATACTCTCATATTCTCAAGTTTATTTATGGTGATGGCTCTTTTAAACTCCATTCCCATCTAACTTAGGGTCAGGGGCTAAGGGTAAAATAGGATGCTCTTTAGAGTAGCATTGGTCTTGGAAACCAAAGGCCAATATTCTCTTCTTGAATCCACATGACTTTTTTTTTTTTATTTAACCTTGTCTCCTACTGGCAGTCCCTTATCTTGTGCAGAAGACAACTGACCCACCTGGATAGCAAAGCTTACAAAGTCAAGACTAGAGTGGAAGCTGGCTAAAGCTTACAAAGTCAAGACTAGAGTAGAAGCTGACTAGCCACTGAGTACAGTGCTCCCTCCCTTAAATCATGCCACCCACTTGCCTTTTACCTAAGAAAACACAAAACACAAAACTATGACACTGGGCGTGGGAGGAAAACATCTGTTTGGATAATACCAGTGAGAAGTATGTTATTTTATTTCAAAAATGTAAATATAGATGTGACAGTAAGTGTTAATGCCTAAAAAGCCTGGCTTAGTGAGTGCATGGCAGGCTTCCAGTCTACAGCACTTCAATAATCACTACCCAAGGCCTTGAAGTTAAAGGAAGGTTGGAGAGGAGAGAATACTTTAGATTGCATTGTTGAATAAATACAACATTGGCAGAAAGTGATTAAAATTTCTCAGACCAAGGAAATCCAGTTCAAGGAGATAGGGAACAGAAAGCAAGATGGTATAATTTGGATTAGAGTTAACTGCAACTTAAGTGAATGTAATACCATCTAAGTGGGTATTATACATATTTTCATTATGTTCTAGAGACAAGAATTCTGGGGGAAAATGATGGTTTGTACCATTACAAGACAAAGCATCACTATGATAAACCACTGATTCCATTTTTGACATTTGTGACCCATCTTAGTAATAACAAGTACTAAAGAGTGCAGGTTCATTGTTGCTGTTATCCAAAGTGGTTGGTAAGATTGAAAGGAAGCAGTGGAATATCAATTTTATGATACTATAATTATCTTCCAGAGGAAGCACAGCATGCAGAATACAAACAAATCTTTAGAAGCTAAAAGAAGATAAAAGGTATGGCAAGATTGATTTCTGCTCCTATAAGCAAGAGGAAATACATGCATGCAGACATGCATGTACAGGCATGTGTGCATATATATGTCCACATACATATATGTGTGTAATTGGCCTTCAATAAAGAGTAAATGGATTGCTTCTGTCGCTAGCTAATGAGACCTCATTTAATATCTACTCATTGGAAGCAACAGAAGAAGCCTAGGGACCTATATCAAAAGCAAATACTGGTAGCTCAGTGATAGAGTGCTTACCTTGTATACATGAAGTCCTCAGCATCACATAAACAGAAAAAGCCAAAAGTGGCACTGTGGCTCAAATGGTAGGGCGCTAGCCTTGAGCTGAAGAGCTGAGGGACAAGTGCCCAGGCCCAGTTCAGGTACCACAACCAACACACACAAGAAAGAGCAAATACTCAGTTCTTCTGAAGGTTAAAATAATTTTTCTTTCTTTTCAAACTATGGAACTTCAGGAAGTCTTACAGTAAGAAAAAGAAGCCTAGATTCCAAATATTAAAATAATGAACAGGATATAACACAAAAACTCAGGCTAATTAAAATAAATTCAGAAATATAATTTATATTGAAAAATAATAGGTGTATGCATCCTGAGATTCTGAGCTAATCAAAGAACATAGTATTGATCTGAAAGAGTGTAATGCTTAAATAATATTCATAAAATTCTTAACTGTCTAGTCATAGTGAATGCTTAACAAATGGTAGCTATTACTACAAGGATGAAGACTAGCCTTATTAATAACAGCCTTACCAACATAGTCACTGCCTTCCTGCTTCAATTTCAGTTTGAACATATAAATACTATCTCTGTTAGATCATTGACTAGATATCTTGAGAGAACCAAAGATGGTATTTGGAAATCAAGGTAAAGTGAAAAGAAAGTACCTGAGTAGGCAATGGCTAGAAAAGAAAAGATTCTGACATTATTTATAAGCAGCATCCATAAGGCAAGGGCTCACTTACAGAACAAAAAAATAATAAGGAAAGAAAGTGAAAGCAAACCAGGTGAGCGTTGCTCACACCTGTAAACCTAGCTAATGAAAAAGCAGAGATCTGGAGGATTGTAGGTCTAAGCCAGTCTGGGCAGACAAAACTCTGACTCCATCTCCAATGAGCTAGCAAAATTCTGGACTAGAGGTGTATCTCAAGTGGTAGAGCACCATCAATGAGCAAGCAAGACAAATGAAAGCACAAGACCCTGAGTTCAAGCCATGGTACCAGCACACACACATGTGTGTGAGCTCATACAAACATACACACACACACACAAAGAGAACTGGGAAATCTTAAAATTTAAAGGAAATTGCTATGACAATAGCCCTAATGAAATAGTAAAAGATCTCTCAAAAAAAAAAAAACCAACAAAACTGCAGGGCTTGGAAGGTGGCTCAGTGGTAGAGCGCTTGTCTTGCATGCATGAGGCCCTGGGTTCTATTTCTCAGTATCACATAAGCAAAAAGAAAAAAGCCAGAAGTGGCACTGTGGCTCAAGTGGTAGAGCACTAGCCTTGAGCTGAAGAGCTGAGGGATAGCGCCCAGGCCGAGGTCAGGCCCCACGACCGGACCCAAAAAATAAAAAATAAAACAAAAAGAACTGCAAGGGTCTTTACTAGATCCATTCCTACCTAATTTGAAAATAATTCCAAGTTGGGCAGTATGGTGCACACCTATAATCCCAGCACTCAGAAGGCTGAGACAAAAGGATTCCAGGCCAGCTTGCACCACAATAGTGAGAAACTGTCCAAAAAATGAGAAAGAAGTAGGGATGGGTGGGCAGAATAATTCAAGATTTATTACCCTTTTGTCAAGAATCAATATATTTAAAGAAAAAGAATCAGGGCTGGGAATGTGGCTCAGTGGTAGAGTGCTTGCCTAGTAGGCATAAAGCCCTGGGTTTAATTCCTCAGTACCCACATAAACAGAAAAGGCTGGAAGTGGCTGAATGCTAGTCTTGAGCAAAAGAAGCTCAGGGACAGTGCCCAGGCCCTGAGTTCAAGCTTCAGAACTGGGAAAAAAAGAAAAAAGAAAAGAATCAATATACTTAATTTTAATTCCAGTTTATCCATAGGAGGGTCTTAATTTATTTTTCTCTGATACAGCAATCAGTTCCATTGTGTTCCTAGTGTGGAATTTATTTTTGCAGAGTTCTACTTTTACCCTTTCACAGACTTTTTTTTCTCTATTCATCTAATCCTAGTAATCAAAACACTTTTGACAAAAAGAAAGTGACTTCAATTCTATGAGCATTTTTGTGTGCACACACAGAATTGAGCATTTCTCACACACAGAAGAAAAAAACAGTAAAAGAAGACACCATGGAGAAGGGGAAGTTGGTAAAAAAGTAAAATTCTCATACAATTGAAAAGCTCACTGTAGAGAAGCAAAGCTCCTGAAGGGCAGTGGATGAAGGTGTAATTATGGCTTTTTCTCTCTTCTTGTCAATGGAATTGCTGTTCATCAAGATCAGTTTCTTAACAGTGGTTCTGAAAGTTATCAAATGACTTCTTAGCAGATTTCCCTATTTATTCCAATGTTTAGACTTTGCTCTTTTTCTGATATTCCAAAAGTCAGAAGTTTGAGAAAATTTCTATTTCCAAAAAAATTATATTAATAAATAAGGAGCTTTTTTATTTGCCTTTGCTCATTTCTTTCTTTCCTTAACAACCCAAATATATCCTTTCTAAAACAACATACTGACCCCAGCAGTGAAATGAAGGAACTCTCCTTGAATCTTCCTGTAGATTAAAAATACGCATAGGGGTCAGTGACCTGAAATCTAGACAAGCTCACATCCCCAATCTCTGTCATAGTTTTCCCATTCTACAAGCACAATTAAGGCTCAATGAAGCAACATTAATACCCACAAAGCATGTGAGGCACATAGACGTGGAAAAATCTGTCTTCTGGTTAGACCAGGTATCAGATAAAATATTGTCAAATTGCCAATAAACCATCTATTTAGAAGAGTCCCTAATCTTTTAAGTCACACACTAACATCAGCAACATTGCCAGGGATCTTGGCTTACACTCACAATGGCTTGTCAAGTAAGCAGGGAAGTTATATCGTTTTGGTTGCGTGGAAATTCATATCTGGTCCACCAAACTGCAAAGATCTTGGATCCCTATTAAAGGTTGTGGATCTCCACATAAATGATATCTCTGTTACAGAGAAAGAAGAGGCTGCTGAATTTGCTAGGATGTCTCTGGCTGTGTATCAGATGCTCCAAGTTTGGTTTCAGGTAAGCTTCCAGTTTGCCCAATGCCAACATCATGCTTCGGCAAGGGGAAAATTGCGGAATCCCACAAACACACCAGATGTGATACGCATAAGAAGCATGCTTCAACTGGACTGCGGTGCCCCAATCTCTCACCATTCAGTTCCTCACAGACTAAATTACAACTTCTCTCTGAGAAGAGGTCCTTGTTGCTCTAAAGGAATTAACCATGGAAATTAAACTAGGAATTTCAAAGCCAAAGCAGCATCTGAGGCCAGTCCAAAAATAAGCAGCAACTCTGGAGTACTGGAGTTTCTCCAATCCTGGTCCAACCTCATGGCCCCACCTGTACCCCAATCATTGGCACCACCTCTTCAATCCACAGCAAGTCTAACGGAGCTGAGGCACGAGTTTGTCGGTGGTGAATTCGGCGGATTCGCAGAAGGTATAGGATGATGGCCAGTAGCACCACCAAGATACAGGCAAAGAAGAGATAGTGGTTGTAGACAAAGGAGAGACGCAGCCAGCTGCCATGGGCTTGTCGGACACCTTCCTGCCGAAGATCCCTGGGAAGAAGGGGGTTTGGAAAGAATGATGAGTTTCAGAGAGAAACATTTACTCTGATCTGAAGGAGCTCATCTAGTTCCTCCATGAAGACATTCTAACACACCAGTTATGCAGCTGAAGAATGCCTCCATCCCTAAGGATGATGGGCAATTCTTCCCTTTCTCTCCCTGACCCACAGAGGGAGCCTTGCATGCTCAGACACTCCAGAATCTAGCAACAAAATCAAAAGGCTTTTGGAACTAAAACCAACAAAACAAAACCCAGGAAAACTAATCATTCCCTCACATAAACTTTAAAATGCAGTTTATATAGTACTAATAAAAACAGGATGGTCCTTGAATTCAACCAAGAAATCAGAACAAATATTTTTTTTTAAGTTGGTGCATTTCCTCAATTGTATTACAACCTAGAAAGGGATAAGGATATGATCCAGGGGCCTGGCTAGAACACATGTCACTCATAAGTTGTCCAGACACTAGATCCATTATCTTATTTTATTTTGTTTAAGCTGCAGTGTTTTTCACATACGCAAATCTCCACACTTCATATAAAATACACATTTCTGGCTTCTCTGAATGAATGAGAATTACGGAATGCTGGGACAGCACTTGTGCCCTATATTGGCACTCACTCTCAGGTACCCCTCAACCCCACAACAGCCTGCTTCTCACTTCTTTTACCTGCCAGGCTTCTGACAGCCATGAGTTTAGAGGAACAGGCAGCAATGACTAAGAATTTGTCTGAATTTATCTGTATGAATCTAGGAAAATGAAGATCTAAAAATTGTCTCAAGTATCTTATAGCACATCAAACAAGGTATCTGGCAACAATAACGGATGATAAAATGATGGAAGTGCTCTCCACACCAAAAATATCTCTTTTGTCTTTTGTTCTAATTCTGGACCACCAAAAACCATCTCACATCAATAACAGTTTCTGGAGTGACTCTACCCATTAGAAAAGCTTAATTTATCCAGAGAGCCTACATATCCATCCTCTCTAGTCAAATATATTTTCCAGAGTAAATGAAGGATATTTTAGTTCATCAGTCAGCATCTTAGAAGTGTGTAGTATGAGCCCAATCCTAAAGATTGACTGGTGATAGGCGAACAAATAAAGCTGACTTTATGAAATGGTAAAGCTGACGAACAGACCCCAAACTGTAATTGTCAACCTTCTGGTTCAACATGCCTCATTCAAGTAATGTTTCACATGGAAATAATAATGGGAGTCTGTTTGCTTTGGGGGGGCGGGGTGTAGAGGGGTTACTTCAAAAATGTTTGGGGGCATCCTCTGAGCTCAAGGTACCAGCTTAGTCTCACTTTACCTGAGTGGTAAGAAACGAGTTTTATACAAAATGGCTCCCAGTGTCCACTGAACCTCTCGGTCATATACCAGCTGGGCTGTGCGCAGGTTTGGGTAGTCGTAGGGAAAGTGGAATCCTTCATGTAGCACTTGGTACATCCAAGCTGACTTGAAACACTGATATCTGTATTGTGACAAATTCATTTTTTAAAAAATAAGCAAGAAAAATTCTAGTGCATTCCTTTGCAGTAAGCCACAGATTCACACTGGATGTCAAAAGACCTGTCTCATCCCACTTCATCTCCCTCACCTCTAGATGGAGCCAAATTTGAGCCTACTTTATCTTAACAAAAATAAAGACTATCTTTTAGCAATAATGATATTGTGACTATGGTGGTGATGGGGGTTCCTTCCTTTTTTCCTTCCCTCCCTCCCTGTCTCCCTTGTAATCTCCCTCCCTCCCTTTTTTCCCCCAATAGTACCTGTCTTTAGAGAATACCCTGAGAGTATGTATCTACAACTGTAACTACATGATATCTGGGATATAATTCAACATAACCCAGTTGTGTGTGTGGTGGGCAAGTAAGTGCCCAGCATTTAACACCTGTTAGTAAAAAAGCTAGGTGATAGGTACACAAGAGTTCATTATACTATTGTATCTTTTGTATATGCTCAAAATAGGAAAATTGATTGCTTACTGGCAAAGAAAGTAGTGGAAGTTTGGAAATAGGTATATTTTACTCTTCTATTTTTCTGCATGCTTGATATAAATGTTTGAAAATGTAAAAAAGAACATCATTTTTTTTTAACATGAAATCACTTGGAAAGAACTTTCTTAAGTAACCGCTGGTTTGCCTTGGCTTCACTAAAATTGGCTCACTGTTTGGTCCTGATTCCTTGGAAGCTCAAAATCTGAATAATCAAATTCTCCTTCAACATAAAATCTAGTCTGCACTACTGCTCCAACATTTTCCATAGAATTTGCTATCCACATATTACGGTCATGTAGGATAGCAAGGGAAATTACTTACTTGAGTCGATGCTCATCTGCATGTGAAGAAAAGAGTCCATTTTTGAATCTCTGAGTTAGAACTGACCAAGCCATGCCGCAGTAATCCTGGAACAACAAGAGAGCAGTGCAACATAAAACTCTAACTTTCCTACAGTCACAAAATAGATTTCATGCTACTTGTGGGCTACTAGGTGACCAAGGAAATAGAAATGACACATTTATTCAGTAAACACAGTCCTATATGCCTCTTTATTTTTTATTTATTTATTATGCTGGTCTTGGACTTGAACTCAGGACCTGAGCACTATCTCTGAGCTTTTGTGCTCAATGCTAGCCTCTACCACTTTGAGCCACACCATTTCTGGCCTTCTAGTAGTTAACTGGAGGTAAGATTCTCATGAACTTTCCTACCCAGGCTACCTTTGAACTGTGATCTTCAGATCTCAACCTCCTCAGTAGCTAAGATTACATGCTTGAACCATGGATACCCTTATCCAAAATTACAACCCTTCCCATATTAAATACTGCCTTTTCCTGCTTTATTTTTCCATTGAGCACTTATGTTATTGTACTCATTGTGTATACATATGTGTTGTGTTTATTGCCTATAACAAAAGTTGACTAACAGACTCTAAAGGCAAGGAGATACAGGTGGCTAAATTTTTATCTATTGAAGTAACTAAACATGTTAACTATGTGTTAAGTCCAATATGAAGTGAATTTTTACTCCTCCATTTTAAATTTTTAAAATATTTCTATCACAACTGTTTTCTATAACATGTTTCTAATATTCTGGCCTCTTAATAACTAAGAGAAGGAAAATGAACTTGCCCATCTACATGCCATCTCCAAGAACACATTACATCTAAGACACCCAGCAAAGAAAAAAAAACCAAGATGACACTTTTGAGCCACAAACATTAAACAAGACTACTAGAAAGTCAAAGGCAAAACCACTTGCCATCACTAATTTACACCTGGGTGATATGACAACCCATGGAAGTCTAATTTAATTATAAGGCAGTCTGGCAAATCAGGTTCCTTAACTTGTCTAATTCTGCTTTCTTGTCTGTAAAATGTTGGCTCATAGAGCCCTTGCAAAGAATTGAGTGAGATCATGCATTCAAAGCCTTCTGCCCAGTGCCTAGCACAAAGCTAGGCATCTAAGAAGTAGCTGCTGCCAGCATGAGTCATCTTTATATTAATGAGTTACCTGAGCAGCCTTAGCAAATGTTGGTCCGTGGTAGCGGCCTCCAATGCGCAGCACATCCTCTGTGCAGTAAAAGAACTCAGAGAAGCCATAGAACTCGCTATTATTAAAGTCAATTGGTGACTGATAAATGCCATTCAATGAGGCCTGGCTGGTGTTGGAGCGAGCCAGCAGGGGGCTCAGCATCGCCCCACAAGTGGTCCAGTCTCCCTTTCCTCGGACATGCAGGATCTGGCTGTTCCTCTCTACCACATCTGTGAGTCCCACGGGCAGACAGGGATCCAGAAATGGATTGTCGGGACTCAGGCCTGTCTTCTGGCCCAGCAATCTGTCACAAAACAAACAAAACATGAGACAATGAACTGAACCTCATGTAGGAACTCTAATGCTCTGCACAGATATCTTGTTTCTATTTTTCATGGCAACTCTAGAAACAAGATGCTACTATGCTGTGATATCATATGCACATTTAACTTAAACAAATCATATTTGGAAAGAAGAGGACTGGGGCATAGTTCAAGTTGGTAGAATACCTGACTAGCAAGTGCAAAGTTTTGAGCTCAGATCCCCAAAAGAAAAAAGAGAATAATACAAAGGCATTGGCGATAACTATGTGCATCAAAAGGAACTCCAAGAAATGGAAAGAGGATTTTACTTCATTGCTGTTTTTGTTTTCTTTTCATCTTGTTTGTTCCTTTATTTGTCTTTGGGAAGGTAAGGAGGGCACAGAAATGGAGGGACAAAAGGTGAACAAATACAGCAATGGTATTCACTAGAAACTTTTGGGTGGGGATAAGAGGGAAAAACTAGGAGATAGTGAGAGAATGTCCAAAAAGAAATGTACTCTTTACCTGACTTAGGTAACTATAACCTTTCTGTATCTTGCCTTTTTAATAATAATAAAATTTTTTTTTTAAAAAAGAAGAGAACTATGTCAATGATCTTTTGTACTTAACCCTATAGTCAACACCTCTAGCATAGCAGTAATGCCAGGCTTTGAATGAACAGTGCCTGTTGTTACAACACATGGAGCACCTGCTCTAGGGAGTTATGACCTTGGAGGCTCTGAGTGGGCAGGAGACAGAGAGAATCTGATTCCCTCCATGGCCATCACACAGTTCTGGTTCTTCAGTCTACACTTGTCAAGTACTCATAGTCTCATTACTAAAGAGATTAATCTGCAGATCTGGTTAAGAACGGAAATTAAATGGAGAACAAATAAATCTGTAACAGTAGTTGATTATTCGTAAGTTCTGAAACAGATGTGAAAGACTGGGCTTCCTGGGATGAAGATACACCTGTAAGCAGAGAAAATAATAAGATAGCAACTTAACAGAATTCTTTGGGACAACTAGAATCTGAATGTTTTAAGGCATGTCATGAACTACAAGGAAAATTCAGAAAATCCTTTTAAGAGAGAACCATGCCTGGAAATAAGGATTTCTCTAGTCAATTGGCAGCTACACAAGCTTTACCGTTTACCCCTCAATCTCCTGAAGTAGGTGAATTAGACACTTAGCCAGAAAATACCAGTGCATGAGAAGATGATGCAGGCTGGCATGAAGCCTGGAGGCAACACAAAATATCAAGCAGAAAAAGAACAGTAGAACAACAAAAGAAGAAAATGGAAAAGGAAACACAGTGGCTAGGGAGAAAGCAACAACAAACTAAATCGCCTGTGAAACTCATATCAAATGCCCTTCAGCCATCATAGTCTGGCAGAAGCAATGTGAGCACCACAGCTCAAGCCACAGTTGTATGGACTTAGCAGGACTTTGAGAACATAAATACACTGCTTGACGTAGTCATCCATCTTCTAAAACACCAGGATTTCTCCAAAGCACCTGGAACTGTTAGTGATAGAGACTTAAAAAAATTAAAGAGACTAACGGGGAAGTATTTTCTTCAATATGCTTTCAATGTAGGACAACTGATAATTAAGGAGAAAATATTACAAAGGGGGGTCACCAAAATACCAGCTAAATGTATGAGTATAGATAATATTATGGTAGAACAAGATGCTATGCTTTCCTTTAATACACATAGCAACAATTTTATTGTTTTCTGGTTTTTGTTTTTTTTGTTTTTGTCGGTCATGGGACCTGAATTCTGGGCCTGGGTGCTATCCCTCAGCTCTTCAGCTCAAGGCTAGCACTCTACCATTTGAGCCAAGCACCACTTCCAGCTTTTTCTGCTTATGTGGTGCTGAGGAATTGAACCCAGGGCCTCATGCATGCAAGGCAAGCACTCTACCACTGAGACACCTTCCCAGCCCAAGTAACAATTTTAAATACTCAAACAAAAACATTCACAACTATATATGATGGCCTAACTGCTTCATCTGGTACTCAAATAAAGAATCTGTGCTCTGAACAACCCTGGAGGAAAAACTGGCTATTCTGGACTTAATGAGAGATCTTTGAAAAGCTTTTGTTGTTTGTAGTTTCTTTTAACAATACTGTAGTTTTGGGCTGGGAAGGTGGCTCAGTGGTAGAGGGCTTGCTTTGCATGCATGAGGCCCTGGGTTCGATTCCTCAGCACCACATAAGAAAAAAGCTAGAAGTGGCGCTGTGGCTCAAGTGGTAGAGCACTAGCCTTGAGCTGAAGAGCTGAGGGACAGTGCCCAGGCCCAGAGTTCAAGCCCCACAACCAGACCTAAAAAAAACAATACTGCAGTTTTGAACTATTCAGGGCCTCATGGTTGCTAGGCAAGTGCTCTACTCACTTATTTTTGAATAGAATCTCACAGTTTTACCTGGGACTGGCTTTATACCATGATCCTCCTATCTACTTATGCATCTAGCATATCTTAGGTGACCACCATACACAGCTTGTTAGTTGAGATGAGATGGGGGTCTCTTTATCATTTTGCCCAGGCTGGCCTCAAATTATGATCATAGTGATCTCCACCCCAGAGTAGCTGGGATTACAATTGCACATCACCTTGCCTAGCCCATCAAAGGTAAATTACAGACTTACAGATACTCTCCACTTTTTTGGAGGTAGGGGGGGAAACTGGAGACTGACCCCAAGGTCTTGAGCATGATAAGCAAGTGGTCTTGATTTCTGGGAGCAGTATTATGTTTTGAACTCAAGGTTTCAAGCTTTCTGCATAAGTGCTTTACAATTAAACATACCTCCAGCTCTGTATTGTTTTAACATAACTCTTGTCTAAGATGACTTACTCTACTACAAATCATCAGACATGTTTTGAGCCCTATTGTCAAGAAGGAACTGCTAGGTGTGGCATTATACTGCATATTTTAAATCAGATATGATTTATGCCGTGTCTGGGTGGAGGACCCACAAGAGATCACAATAAGCTGCTACATGTTTTACAAGTCCTAATAATGAAGAGCAGGATACACTCCTGCCCAGTCACATCTTGACAGAAGGTCTCTAAGAAGGAGATGCTAGCCCACTGGCATGAAGGTTGTCAGAAACAAAGTGAAAGAAAGGAGGGCTGGGAAGGTGGCTTAGTGGTAGAGTGCTTGCCTTGCATGCATGAGGCCCTGGGTTCAATTCTTTAGCACCACATAAGCGGAAAAAGCCAGAAGTAGCACTGTGGCCCAAGTGGTAGAGCACTAGACTTGAGCTGAAGAGCTGAGGGACCGCGCCCAGACCCGAGTTCAGGCCTCACAACCAACCAAAAAAAAAAAAAAAAGTGAAAGAAAGGACTTATCTGACATCATACCTGCAGTATGATGGCATTCAATTTTAGAAACTTAGATCCCATGTTAAATATACCTGTTTTTGTGTAGAGTTTCATTCAGCATGAGGTCTTCATAGCGCTGCCGGGCAAAGTTGCCACCAAAACCCAGAAAGGTTGTTACATAAACCCTGTAAACATGTTCAGTGTGCTGTACATCACAGCCCAGGTTGAACTCAGCTAGCAAGATCTTGGCAGCTTCTTCCTGTTGTATAATGTCAAGACAAAAAAGGAATTAAAAAAAAAAAAGCTGTAAGTGAAGCTGTGACTCTGGTGATAAGAGTGCTAGCCTGGGACAATACCCAGGCCCTAAGTTCAAGCTCTAGGACAGGCAAGAAAAAAAAACTACAAGATTAAAGAAATTTTAGTTTTCACTTATGTCTACAAAGCTATGGCATTCTAACACACCCTCATTTCCCGACTCTTCTTTAAAATATTTAGGAGTTTCCTTTTATCTTCATAGCTTTACTTTACAAGGCATATAATAAGACTGAACCAAAAGTACAAATAAGAGGCCAAGTTGGAGACCAAACACCAAATTAGGAGCTCAACCATTATCTATAGTTATAGGAGGTAGAATTATTACAGTTGATGTCATTTTCTGGCATGTACTTCTCTATATTTTCCAGTTCTCTACAATGGGAATGTGCTATTTTCATAATTATAGGGAAAATTCCTTTAATAAAAAAGCAATTTGAAGCATTATTATGAGATGTATTCTATGGTCTTTCCTCAAACTATTCAAGTTCCAAAACTATTTTAGAGGTTCCAATATTCCTTATGACAGGTTTGGGCAGTGAGAAAGTTTAATTTGTTTGTTTGCTTGCTTATTCCTGCTTATCCTCATACTCATTCCCATTTGTGCACTGTGCAGCTTTGGTCTATATGGATTACTGAAAAATTATTGTTTGTTCGGTTTTTTTAGCTATTCATTCAGTTTTGTTTTGTTTTTTAGTGGTTGTGTGGCTTGAACTCAGGGCCTGGATGCTATCCCTGAGCTCTTTTGCTCAAGACTAATGTTCTATCACTTTGAATGACATTTCTACTTCCAGTTTTTGATTGGTTAATTGGAAATAAGTCTCATAGAGACTTTTTTCTGCCCAGTTGGCTTCTAACCACAATCCTCAGATCTTAGCCTCCCTCAAGAAGCTAGGATAACAGGAGTAAGCCACCAGCACCTGGCTACTATTTATTTCTAATTTGTAAAACTGTAATTATACATAGCACCTTTATTCTTAGGCATCTACCCAAGAGATCTGAAAATGTGTATATCTATACAAAAATTTGTTCATCTCAGTATTATCCATAAGAGCCAAAAAATGGAAGCTGCTTAATTGTCTATCAACTGATAAAGGTACAGGAGAAACATAGCATGGTCATAAAATGGAATGCAATTTAGCCATCAATAGCAATAAAGTATTGATATATGCTAAACATAAACGAATCTTGGAATTATTTTGCTAAATAAGAGGCAGACATAAATGGCCACATTGTATGATTTCATTGATAAGACTTAGTGTAGGCAAATCCATGGAGGTAAAACATAGACTCATGGTCAGGGATGGGGCTGGTAATAACTGCTAAGGAATACGGACTTTCGTTGAGGTGTGAAAATGTTCTGGAATTCAGAAGTGATGGTTATACAATTGTGAATGGCACAAAAATATCTTAGGTATTCCAGAATTTAGAATGCTTTTTTAAATGTCAAGAATTCTTTTCCTCTTTTACTAAGCATTAAAATGCATTTTTGTGTGTGTGTGTGTGTGTGTGTGTGTGTGTGTGTGTGTGTGTGTGTGTGTGTGTGTGTGTGTGTGTGTGTGTGTGTATTAGTACTGGACTTGAACTTAGGCCTTTTGCTTTCTGCTTTTTTGCTTATGCTGGCACTATTCCACTTGAGCCATATTTACACTTCCTGCTTTTTGCTGCTTAATTGGTGATAACAGTTTCATAAATTTGTCTGTCAAGGTCGGCATCAATCCTCAGATCTTTGCCTAGTAATTAGCAAGGATTATGGGCATGAGTCACCAGTGGCCAGCTCCTTCTATCATCTTATGCCTAGTAAATGCCCCACCTTGCATAAAAGGTAGACATTTTGGTGGGCAGAGTAGGAATTGTTCTGGTTAGACAGACTTTTGAATGTTGCAAATGGAGGGAGTGGGGTCATTTGGTAAAGCTCAGGAATGCTAATAAACATAATAAAATAAACAGCCACACACAATAAAGAATTATTTGGCTCCTGGCCAAGCATGATGACCCCATGCCTACAATCCAAGGTAATTGTGGAGGTGGAGATTAAGAGTATGGCAATTGATGGCCAGCAGAGGCAAAACATTAGCAAGACCTCACCTTGACCAACAGGTTAGGAGTGGTGGTTCACATCAATAATCCCAACTATATGGGAGGCTGTGTGATTAGAAGCCAGTCTGGATAGTTAGGAGACCCTACCCAAAAAATAGCTGAAGTAAAAGGGGGCATAAGTGGTAGAGTATCTGTAAACAAACAAACAAAATTATCAAGCCTCAAATACCAATGGTGGTAAGGTTGAAAAGTTCTGGTTTGGCTCAAATTATAGCTCCATTATGGATTGACTGCCTGAGGTCATAGGCTATCTCCATTGACAGATTATAAGCTTTGAGAGACAATAAAACTAAGAGGTCTTATTTCTTGTAATACTAGATATTCAAATACCTCTTTTCTCTCCACAATGATATTTTTTTTTTTTGTCAGTCATGGGGCTTGAACTCTGGGCTTAGGCACTGTCCCTCAGCTCTTCAGCTCAAGGCGAGTGCTTACCACTTGAGCCACAGCGCCACTTCCAGTTTTCTAGTAGTTTATTGGTGATGAGAGTCTCACAGACTTTCCTGCCAGGGCTGGCTTTGAACCATGATCCTCAGATCTCAGCCTCCTGGGTAGCTAGGATTACAGGCGTGAGCCACTGGCGCCTGGCTTACTTCTTTCTTGAAATACATTTTTCATGTTCTAATAGGTAAGGAGTATTAGAAACCCAGGGAAGGAAGACTGCAGGAAAAGGCAATACCATTTGCTAAACAGTAAGTATGTATCAAATAGTGTGCTCCAGGATTTACAGTATTAAATTTACTCTCCAGGCACCCCAAGGAGATACATAGTAGTGACTGTGACTGCTAAAATGTATCAAATACTTGGTTTGAACTGGCAAGTGGGTAAGTGGGTGCTCTAGACTCCATGGTATTATTTCATTCTTAAATGTTACGAGGTAAATATTATTACTACGCCTTTTTTTACACTATATAACACTGAAGCTCAGAAAGAAAACATATTCAAGATAATCTACCCTAGCAAATATCTGAACAAATATTTGGATGCTGCCAGATTTGTCTAATGTAATTTTTTAATGTATTTTTTCCCTCAAATTTTAAACTGAATTTCTGTAAATGGCAAAATACCTGTTTCGGAGGCAGGAGAGAGGCAGAGGTGGGAACTTCATAAGCAATCTGGAGAGAGGCTCCTCCCATATCCAGGATCCCTACTGTCCTTCTTCGTCCTGCTGCTGATTCCTGAGAAGTCTCAACATCTGATTCTGAAATGATAAGGGAACAAGAAGACTCTAGGAATGAAAAACCAAAATTAACTCCAACAAAATCCCAAAATCTACAGTATTGCCTTAAAAATCAGAAAACAAGTGGAGTGCTAGTGGCTCACAGCTATAATCCTAGCTACTCAAGAGGCTGAGATCTGAGGAATGTGTTTCAAAGCCAGCCTGGGCAGGAAAGTCTGAGACTTAGGTACTAGTGGCAGGTGTGGCTTAGTGGTAGAGTGCTAGCCTTGAGCAAAAAAGCTCAGAGACAGTGCCAAGGCCCTGAATTCAAGCTCTAGTCCACCAAAACAACAACAACAACAAATTTCAAGTGATTTAAACATGATATGTCAATATATACATAGTGGGAAATATTCAAAAGACAAAAATAGCCAACACTTTAAATTCTAATAGCCGGTAGAGTGCTCACCTTGAGCTGAAGAGCTGAGGGACAGCGCCCAAGCCCAGAGTTCAAGTCCCATGACCGCCAAAAAAAAAAAAATCCTTTAAATTCTAATAGTCATATTGTTAATATCATTGGTATTATTCTTAAAATTATTTAAAGTAGTATGTCAATACATTTAGGAACAAAGGTTGAGCATAAAAGAGGATACAAAATACACAAACATTTTATGTAAAATAAACTTACCTTTATCATCTTAAATATGAGATACAAATATCACTATAAACTCATAGTTTTTTTTTTCTCTTCCTTAAAAAAAAGTACATATTTCCTAGCTTTGTTCATTGAAAAACTTAGAAGCAATGCTAACAAGGAGGCAAAGAACACCACTGACATCTAAGCCAAGATGTTTTCCATGAAAAGAAAACAGGTTTCTTTTTTAAAATGGCCAATGCTAGGCTAAGGGTAGAAAGTATGTGAGATGAGGTGGAACACCTTGGTATGTCACCAGCAGGAGAACTACAAGAATACTATAATTGTGTTAAAGGGTACAGGAGCAGACTGGAAGGTATTCTTTTTTTTTTCTTTTTGTCATGGGGCTTGAACTCAGAGCCTGGGCACTGTCCCTGAACTTTTTTGTTCAAAGCTAGCATTCTACCACTTTGAGCCACAGCTCTTCTTTTTTTTTTTTTTTTTTTTTGCTGGTTAACTGGAGATAAGTCTCATGGACTTTCCTGCTCAGGCTGGCTTTGAACTGTGATCCTCAGAAGCTAGGATTATGGGTGTGAGTCACCAGCTCCTAGCTTAGAGGTATTCTTAAAGACAACGAGACCTAGGAGTATGGCTCAGTGGCAGAGTGTTTGCCTAGCATGTGAGAAGCCCAGGGTTCAATTTCCAATACAGAAGGGAGGAAAGAAGGAAGGAAGAGAGGGAGGGAGGGAGAGAGGGAGGAAAGAATATGACTAGCTTTTTGTGCTAATCCCGGGGCTTGAATTCAGGGCTTGGACACTATCCCTGAGCTTTTTTTTTTTTTTAACCCGAGGCTAGCATCCTACCACTTGAGCCACACTCTACTTCTGGCTTTCTGGTGGTTAAGAGGTAAGAATCTCATGGACTCTTACCTGCTCAGGTTGACTTTGAACTTCAATCCTCAGATCTTAGCCTAAGTAGCTAGGAATAAAGGTATAAGCCATTTTGTTATGTTTTTAAATAGCACTGTGGATTTTTGTTTTGAAATTCTGGGCATGCTAGCACACTTCTGCAATCCAGTAATGTTCAGGCTGTGGCAGGGAATTTCAAGTTCTAAGGCCAACATGGGCTACATTGTGAAACAAGAAAGGAAGGAAAGAAAGAAGATGGGAGGGAAGAAAGAAGAAAAATAGAAGGAAGAAGGAAGGTAGGTAGGTAGGTCTGACTAACACAATTGGGGGTAGAGAGGAAATGTGTAGTACAGATTTTTTAAAAAGGCAAATGTTAATAATTGTTGAATCTGGGTAATGAATCCATACAGTTCATTTTACTATTTACTTTTATAATGTGTAGAACTTTCCATATTAAAAAAATATTCAAAAAAAAACAAAATGCTAAAAGAAATAACAAATTGGAACTGGAAATGAAGGAATATAAGTTTTAAAAAAGAAAAAAATAAAAGCATCCTCAAACTAGCACTTAAACACTACTGCTAGATTCTGACTTAAACCTTCAATCTTTAAGGAATTATAACAATGTTACTCACCATCTTCATGGTCAAATCTTCCCAAAACAAAGTTGATTCCAATCCATGCATAAACCCCTAAGGAAAGAGTAAGAAAAGGTCTCTCTTAATTATTGACTGCTGTATCATATTTACATCTTTCTCCCAGGTCAATTTTTTTCTCTTTTCTTCTAGGAAAAAAAAAGAAATCACAGTATTCTATACTCTCAGGGTTTGGATTTTAAACTGTGTTGGGCTGAAAATGTGGCTTTGTGGTACAGTGTTTGCCTAGCATGACTGTGGCTCAAGTGGTAGAGTGCTAGCCTTGAGCAAAAGAAGCTTAGAGACAGTACCCAGGCTCTGAGTTCAAGCCCCAGGACTGGCAAAGAAAAAAAAAAAGAATAAATTTCTTTCATTCCTTCCTTTCTTTCCTTCTTTCTTTTTTTCCTTCTTCCTTCCTTCTTTCCTTTGTTCCTTTCTTCCTTCCTTCCTTTCTCTTTCTTTCTTTGCAGTAAACTAGGTCCTGGTGCACTGAGCTGTATCCTCAACCCCTTAAATATTTTAATCTTGTGATTCGCTCCTCATACTCTAAAAATTATTTCCATTTTCCAAATTTCCTGCAATGAATAGAAACTAACTGTAAAAATAAATATTAAAAAATGTGTTCAGGGCTGGGCATGTAGAACATAGCAGAAGCTTGCCTAGCAGGCACAGGGCCATGTGTTCAATCACTGGCAATACAAAAGAAAGAAAAAAAAGAAAAAGAGTGAATCTCGGCGTTCTCAGAGGTACAATGAAAACTAGATGGAATACAGAGACCAGCTCTTTGAGAATTCTGGAAATGAAAGAAAGATAGTGGGCATACTTAGAAAGAGACCAGAATTTCAAATACCTCCAAGCCTTTAAGTGAGAACCCTATTTTTCCTCTTGCTTGGCCTGTACTCAAAAGCTGTTTGAAACATGACCACATGCATTGGGTGTGGACAAAGAAAACTATTTTTTTTTTTTTTGGTCAGTCGTGGAGCTTGCGTGCTGGGCTTGCATGCTGCCCCTGTGCTCTTCAGCTCAAGGCGAGTGCTCTACCAGTTGAGCCACAGCACCACTTCTGGTTTTCTAGTGGTTTATTGGAGATAAGAGCCTCACAGACTTTCCTTCCAGGGCTGGCTTTGAACCGTGATCCTCAGATCTCAGCCTCCAGAGTAGCTAGGATTACAGGCATAAGCCATCAGCACCTGGCTAAGAAAACTTTTAAGACCTTTCCTTTTGGTCTTAAGGAGTTAAAAAAGGAGACTTCAAAGAGAAAGGATTGAAAACCCCTCTCTGACCCTTTACTGTGTTCTCTCCTACTCAGGCAGTCCTATGGCAGGCCAGAGGTGCAGCCTGGTCAGGTACCTAAAACTCTAAAGGATGCTAATTCTTTCCTCTGCTCACAGAAGCTATCACCTCGTGTGGAGAGCCAACTCATGCTGCCTGCTTTCTTCTGTCATTCTGCCTCTTGGCCCTGGATACAGAAGCAACCACAGGAAGCACTTGGTAGAATGAGAAGAAATACAACTTGAAGAAGAAAACGGAGCTGGCCACTAGTGGCTTATATCTTAATCCTAGCTGCTCACAAGGCTGAAATCTGGAGGGCCTCAGTTTGAGGCCAGCAGAAAAGCTCACTAGGCTTTATCTCTAAAACAGCCAAAAAAAAAGGGCCAGAAGCATAGTTCAGGAGTGCCAGACTAGAAAACACAAGACCCTCACTACCACCAAAACAAAAAAACAACAACAAAAATAAAACAAAAGAAGAAAAAGAAGAAGTGGAGGAGGAGGAGGAGGAGGAAAAGGAGGAGGAGGAGGAGGTATACAGAATTTTAGGACTGAAATTTAAAGAGATAAATCTTTTTCTTTTGATGGACTACAAGTAGAAGACATATACTATCTCTCCCTTCTAAAGAAATGGAGAAATTCATCATACTGGCCACAGCTGAGCCACAAGGGAACACATATTCAACTCCACTCCAAAGCATAAACCCAACAGTGCCAATATTTAGGGAAGCATCAAAGCTTCATAGGAATTACAATTAAGTGAGAGCCCAGGACATGACAAAGTCCTAATCATTACCTGAAATTAGTTTCCCTTAGTTTAATAATTTGCTTCACACTTGAATTTGGTAAATCTGATCCAATTCCTAGAACTTTTTAAGTTTATAAAAGTACAATTAGCTAACCAAAAATCTATTTGAAATTGTCATTAAATACTAACATATTCTAACTACGGTGTGTAGTATAGTTAAAAATCCTAAAGCAGCAGTCTTTTTGACTGATTTGACAGTTACCAATACAAAATATACAAAGAAACTGCAAAGCAGGATCAAGAAAATTCCCTGGAGAAAACCCAAAAATTACACACACACACACACACACACACACACACACACACACACACACACACACACACACACACACACACACACACACACACACACACACACACACACACACACACACACACACACACACACACACACACACACACACACACACACACACCCATTAATGAAGCTAGGCTGTGCTGGCTCAAAGGTGATCCAGCTCCCCCTCTCCAGGCCCAGTACCTTCCTGCTTCCCAGAGATCACTTCAGCCTGAGACTGTGAAAAGAGGAAGTCAAACTCCAGTGGTAAATCTTTCACTAGGTCAGCCAAGATAGCCAACTGCTTCCTGAAAAAAAAAAAAAAATCCAAAAGTAAATCATTAATTATTTTCTCACCAAGTATTTATTTAGCCTGTAGTCCCAGCTACTCAGGAGGCTGAGGCAATAAGTCTGTTTAAACATATGTAACACAGGGAGACAGACCCCCATCTCATAAAGTAAAAGATGAAGAAACAGTTCTCTTTTCAAAAATTGCCTCACTTCAAATCGTTTAAATAGGGATACAGGTGGACCCATTGCAACAATGAGATGTATAAGTCGTTATATCGAAAACGAATTTTACAACTTTGGTGGGGAGGGGGGGAGGGCAAGGAAGATTGGGTTGGGGGGCCGGGGGAGGATGGGAAGGGATGGGAAGGGGAAACAAAGGAGGAGACTACAATGCTTGATAAGAAATGTACTCATTATCTTCCCCATGTAATTGTATCTGTACAGTATTTTCACAATAAAAAAAAATTGCCTCACTTGTCTTTCTTCTTATTCTTTTTTTTTTTTTTTTTTGCCAGTCATGGGGCCTGAACTCTGGGCCTGGGTGCTGTCCCTCAGCTCTTCAGCTCAAGGCGAGCGCTCTACCACTGGATCCACAGTGCCACTTCCGGCTTTTTCTGTTTATGTGGTGCTGAGGAATCGAACCCAGGGCCTCATGCTTGCAAGGCATGTACTCTACCACTGAGCCACCTTCCCAGCCCCTCTTTCTTCTTATTCTTATTGTATCATTGTTCATCTATCTCATCTACTTGTCCAGCTCTGCTACTGTTTGGTATCTCCTCTGCTTTCAAAGGTTTAAACTGCCTTCAAAGTATAGTCTCCAATTTAAAGAGTAATATGGTAATAGTAGTATACTTTCCCCTTATACAAACTTAAAATCTGAGATGGTTCCATGCCTCTCAGAGGGTATGAATAAACTATAGGAAATTACAGCACAGATTAGTAATCTACAAAACATATGTAACTGCCTTAATTCTAATTACTGCAAAAGAAAGATGTAAACTGAAGAACACACCCTCAGATTTTTCATAGTGCACAAACATTGCTTTATATGGGCTGGGGAAGTGGCTCAGTGGTAGAGTGCTTGCCTTGCATGCATGAGGCTCTGGGTTCAATTCCTCAGTACCACATAAGCAGAAAAAGCCGGAAGTGGTAATGTGGCTCAAGTGGTAGAGCGCTAGCCTTGAGCTGAGGAGCTGAGGGACAGTGTTCAGGCCCTACGACTGACAAAAAAATAAAATAAATAGAAAAAGAAAAACATAAAAAAAACACAATGCCTTGCATCACAAGGCATAGTTCTCTTAGTTCCATAAGCTTTTATGCAATCCTTTACATAAGCTAACAATTAACTTCTTAATCTCTGTATTTCAAGGTGTTTCTTTTTCCTTAATAAAAATCTTATCACAAAAAAAACCCACCTCAGATCAGGTTCAAAATCCAAAGTGTATAACAACATTTCCAATTCAGAGATGACATGTAAAATGTAATATCTGAGGTGGTTTTTCTCTTAATGTCTTAAGTATGTCAACAGTATTATCAAAGAAAAACCAAAACAAAGCTGCAAGTATTAGTATGAATCTAGGGAAAATGGTGGTTGAAAATGTGCTGGTGATGGTAGCTCGTGCCTATTGTAATCCCAGCACTTTGGGGAGGCTAAGGCAAAATTGTGAGATCTAGGCCAGTCTAACTTCATAATAAGACCTTGATTCTAAATGAATGCGTTAAGTAATTAGTTTAGCTAGTCAAATAAGAAATCAAATAAGAAATAAATTTCCTTCTTTTCTTCCTCCCATCCAGGTACCAGTGGTTCATGTCTGTAATCCTACCTACTCAGAAGTTTGAGATCTGAGGATCATAATTTGAAGCCAGCCTGGGCATTTAAGTCTTTGAAACTCTTATTTCCAATTAACCAGAAAAAAAGCCAAAAGTGGCAGTGTGGCTCAAGTGGTAGAATACCAGTTTTGAGTGAAAAAGCTAAGGGACAGTGCTCAGGTCCTGAGAGAGCCATTTTCTTGTATTTTTTAAATTATTCATTATAAAAATATTATATAGAAGCCAGTCACTAGTGACACATGCTAATAATCCTAGCTACTGAGAAGGCTGAGATGTGAAGATTATAGTTTAAGAAAGGAAAGTCCAAAAGTCTGTCTCCAACTAACCAGCAAAAAAGCTGGACCACAGGCATGGCTCAAGTGGTAGAGTGCCAGCCATGTGTGAGCAAGAACCAGAGGGTTCAAGTCTTGGTATTGGAAAAAAAATAAGCTACTGACTCAGACAGTGGTGACTATGACTTAGTAAAGTATATTGTTAGCACATATAAGTAGAGAGTTATACTTGATATAATAATTTCCCAATATGTCATGTATAGTGTCTAGAAGAGTTCACTGTTACACAGACTAAAGTCTTACAAAAAGTTCACAGAAAACAAGAGCGTGTGTTATCTCCTGATAAGGTGTACTTCTAAGCTACCTGTAGGGGAGACCTTGTTTACTCTGATGATGACAGGGAAGAATGGTCACCAACCTTCATTACTGTTTGCAATGTAAATTACCAATACCACTTTTCTAAAGAGCAATAATCCAGGATTGCTCCAAAATTTTAAATGTGCTTATTGACCTTTGACCTGGCTATTACACTTTCAGAAATTATTCCAAGGAATGAAGAGAGGAATACAACAAAATTATTTATTATAATATTGGAAAACCAGAAATAATATAAAAGAAATGAGGTCAATTTATATCTACATGTATGAGTTAAAAAGATGTTCAATATACTTTGTTGAATTCTACGAGGTTACAAAAATAGTATGTGTAATATGATTACATCATGTAAAAACAAAACAAAACTTCATGTACTTCATATTGAATTTTTAAAATTCAATGGGATTTATTCTTAAAATTTTTCATGACAAAATATTGGTAACTACTGAAGTTAATACAAAAAATTGGGAGGGTGAAATATTATTCTGTGAATATCTTTGTAATTTTTCAAGGGTGTTTCTATTACAAAATTAAAGAGTAGGAAAATCCTATTTGGCTGTTGGCAGAGAAAACAGACTAAGTTCTAATAAATTCAAAATACAATCTGGGTGACTCAACCACATATTAAATATTATTCACAAATGCTAACAAGGTAGTAAATCATTGATCATACAAAACAGGTTCTTGCAATGATAGTCACACTTACATCAACAACTAACTTGTCCTGAGAGGCAGCAATAATCTCATAAAACCCAGAATAGGGGTATGCGTTATTGAGAGATGATCAGAAGACAAGTAAACAGTATGGCACATTTCTTAAAAAATTCTCAATAAGATAAAAATTAGTATTCAGAGCTTCCACACTGACAGCTAACATCCTAGACAAATGGAGTGGAGTTATGCAGTGGATTTTGTTTTGGTGGAAACTTCTTTGACAGCAACAATGCTGGGTCATGCTGGGCCATGCCAAATGAGGCAATAGTCTCTTTTGCTCCAGACACATAAAGATAACCAAACCACCAATCAGATGCCTCTAGATAACCCTGCGAGTGACTCTGCCTCTCTGGCCTCTGGATCATCTTTTTCCTGGCCCTCCTCTTGGAAGAAATGGCATCTCCATCTTGTGTCAACTATTCTCTTCCCAGACTTTCTAAAAAAAAATTTTTTTTTACAGTGTGAATACTATTACGTCAGAAACAAAAATTCTAAATTGTATGTGCAGTATTATGGTAACTTTGTGGAGATCAGATACAGATTATACAGACAGAAGAAAGTGAAACAAAATGAAACAGTTTTGACTGAGGAATAGGAATGTAAAATTTGATCTAGTTTACCTTAAGATTTCCTTAAGTGATGTAGTGAGGTTGAAATCATACTACTTAAGGTTTGGTTTTAAAAATAAGTAAAAACAAATTGAGATTTCGTAAAGGACCCAGATGCATGAGGAAATAAGCAAGGATCTCTCATGGTAACAAGTGGCTGCATAAATAATCTGCTTTTCAACGGTAAGATACTAGCTGTGAGTTTAAACAGGAAGAAAGACTGGTGGGTGTCATAGATCACAGAACAAAAAAGAAAAAAACTGTTTAAATGAAAGGAAAGAAGTCTACTGAAAGCAGCACTGTTGAATGGTATCTCGTCTGACATGAAGTCTTATATATATGAACGGGGTTTTTGTTACTGTTTTTTAAAAAGGCCAAATATAGATATGAAAATTTGTGGAAAAGGGAACTATTATTTACCAAAGGAAAATATTTAAGGTAATAAAAACTACTCGATGCCTATGAGACTGTGATTGTTCTTGGAAGCAGGATTCTAAAATTAATGTTGTCAGTGATTTCATTAATATAACCTAAAAAGCACAGACAAGAGCTGGGATGTAGCTCAGCGGCAAAGTACTTGCCTAGCAGGTGCAACATCCTGGGTTTGGTCCCAAGTACCAAAAAAACAAAAGACAAAAAAAACACAGTTAAGAAAACAAACAAACAGCACTGAACTAAAAAGTGGGACAATATCACACTGCAAAGCTTCTGAACAACAAAAAAATGATCAACAGAGCAAAAAGACAAGTCAAGGAATAAATGAAAACAACAAACCACATTTCCAATTAGAGGTTAATCTTCAAAACCTAAAAGAAACTTACAACTCTATAGCAGTAGTAATAGTAGTAATAATAATAATCGATTTAAAAATAGGTTAAAGATTTGATCAGCTGGGCACTGGTGGCTCATGCCTGTAATCCTGCTCAGGAGACTGAGATCTCAGGTTCAAAGCTAGCCCAGACAAGAAAGCCCATGAGACTTTTATCTCCAATTAACCCCAGAAAAGAGGAAGTGTCCCTGTGGCTCAAAGTAGTAGAGCACTAGCCTTGAGCAAAAGAGCTGACTCAGGGACAGTGCCCAGGCCCTGAATTCAAGCCCTATGACCCAGGGGGGTAAAATCACAAAAAAACCAAAGTTCAGAGAGTTCACTCCTACCCTATGTCCATAGCAAGTATGGTGGGATCAAGGAACTGTCAAATCACAAAGGATTCTGACCTAAATATAACCTTCTCTTCTTTCTTCTGCTCTTCTAAAGCAGGAAGAATGATCAGGAGACAAGATGTTAGACTGAATTGCTGAGGTCAAATGGAAAAGACTTGACTGGGGCTGATGGTGATGAAGACCGATTTGTGTAGCTATAAGAGGAAGGACTCACTAGTTATCACTGGGAATCAGGTAGGGTCATAGAGGACATTGAAAAAGGCAGCATTGCTACCTGAGCTCTCCTGCTACCCATCAGCAGTTACCCAGTTCATTGGATGCTCTCTAAAAGTCAATGCTTTGTGATTCAACCCTTCAGCAAACTCAGACAGATATTGGCCCCAAGGCAGCAAGTAATAGGAAGATTAAGTGACTGGTGCAGTAAGTGGGTATAGAGGTGGGTGTGCACTAACTATCTCTGAGCAGGAAGCCTTTAGGTACCCTGTGAATTCTCCATGGCATACCACACCTACCTCCAGAGAAGGGAGCCACAAAAGATGAAGCACAGAACAGGCCCTTCAACCCTATGGCATTCACATCCAACATCATACCTCTCAGGTAGAAGCCTCATGCCTGCTGTGCAAAGGATGTAAAGTGGGGTCTCCTTGTGCTTCTTCACAGGCACGTGAGCAGCAGCAAAGCTCAGCAGAGGACGAAGGTAATCGCTGGCATGTTCTGGGGTGTCTGCCATTGCAGAGATTCCTTAAGTAAAATACGACACTTGAGAAGCAGATCACATAAAATGTAGAAAACTAACATCTTATAATGTTCTTATTAAAATCCTAAACATACATTTATTTGTTTGCTTGTTTATTGGTTCAAGATGAGTGGGTGACAAGGAATGAGATATTCCTCCCACTACTCAGACTCCTGCAAAGTCTCTCTCATACCTATAGTAGGTAAGAAGAGATTAATTACAAGAAGTATTCTGATAAGTACCTGGTTTGATTTTTTTAACCACAGGCTGGCTGTTGCGGTCTCTCATTTGTTTGATGTCCAGCAGGTCGTGAGGGTTCCCATTATGTTTTGGCCAGAAATAAACAAAAATCCGGGAGCCACTGCTCCCACAGTCTACCACAAGTCCATAATTGAGATTTGGGTCTTCAGTGTCAGTGGCTTCAAGATCTCCTACCCGAGCCAAATACCTAAGCCAGGTACAAAGAGAAATCAGCCAGGTCTATGAAGGGTATCAGCACATACTTGGTTTGCTCATGATCTTCACTAGATGCCCATATGAGCCAAGGACAAAGAACAGCAAGTCCCTCCAGAAGAAGGAAACAGTGTTGGCCATATGTACTGAAGTGTAGGAAGCAACAGTTGGTTGGCTGACCTATGAGCCACTAAAATTAGATACCTAAAAGACTCTCCACATCTGAGGCAGTTCTGAAACTGGCGAGGCTAACATTAAAGGGCTTATAGGCCTAAATTAATTACTGGATTTTGTTGTTATAAGCCACTAGGTTTTTTGTTTTTTTGTTTTTTTTTTGGTCGTTTGTGGGGCTTGAACTCTGGGCTTGGGTGCTGTCCCTTAGCTCTTCAGCTCAAGGTCAGTGCTCTACTGCTTGAGCCACAGCGCCACTTCGGGTTTTCTATTGGTTTATTGGAGATAAGAATTTCACAGACTTTCCTGCAGGGGCTGGCTTTGAACTGCGATCCTCAGATCTCAGCCTCCTAAGTAGCTAGGATTACAGGCATGAGCCACCGACACCCAGCTAAGCCACAATATTTTTTATTGATTTTTATTACCCACTCTAGATAATAGCAAAAAACTTATTTTCTACTTACGTATTCTTTTTGTATATAAGCATAAAGAATACCATAGGACAATGATCACTTAACATGGGTATCTGAGTGGTGATTTTTTTTAACTGCATTTTCCTTTTTTTTTTTGCTTTGTACTTATACTGCCAGAATTGCATTAATTTAAAAAAATGTAGGGCTGGGAAGGTGGCTCAGTGGTAGAGGGCTTGCCTTGCATACATGAGGCCCTGGGTTTGATTTCTCAGCACCACATAAGCAAAAAGAAAAAAGCTGGAAGTGGCGCTGTGGCTCAAGTGGTAGAGCGCTAGCCTTGAGCTGAAGAGCTGAGGGACAGCACGCAGGCCCAGAGTTCAGGCCCCACAACCGGACCCCTCAAAAAAATGTATTCATGTGGTAAGATAATGTAAAATACAATATAGTTAATATTACAATCTGTGTGTGCTTCTCCAAAGTTCATAGGTTAAAACTTAATCCCCCATGTGTGAATATTAAGAAGGGAGGCCTTTAGGAGGTGATTAAGTCATGAGGGTGGATTTTGAAACTACTCTGTACAACTATCCAAGATAATTTGTTAAAAATCAACTTTTGGGGGCCTGAGAAGGTGGCTCCGTGGTAGAGCGCTTGCTTTGCATGCTTGAGGCCCTGGGTTCGATTCCTCAGCACCACATACCCAAAAAGAAAAAAGCCAGAAGTGGCTCTGTGGCTCAAGTGGTAGAGTGCTAGCCTTGAGCTGAAGAGCTGAGGGACAGCGCCCAGGCCCAGAGTTCAGGCCTCATGACCAGACCCAAAAAATAAATAAATAAAATAAAATAAAAATCAATTTTTTTAAGAAGCCACAAGGATGGAGCACTCATGGATGGGACTGGCAACTGAGTGAGAGAGCTCCCTTATCCTCTGTTAATAAAGAATTAAAAAGATCATGCGATCTTTAAGACAAAGCAAGCCTCCAACAAACATCAGATCTGATGGTGCTTCATCTTGAAATTCTTAACATCTACAACTGTAAGAAATAAATTTCTGGCTGGGAAGTTGGCTCAGTGGTAGAGTGCTTGCCTTGCATGCATGAGGCCCTGGGTTCGATTCCTCAGTACCACATAAGCAGAAAATAGCCAGAAGTGGCGCTGTGGCTCAAGTGGTAGGGCGCTAGCCTTGAGCTGAAGAGCTGAGGGACAGCACCCAGGCCCAGAGTTCAGCCCCCACAACTGACCAAAAAAAAAAGAAAGAAATTTCTGTTTATCAGTTTTAAAAAATGTATTCTCTTAGGTGTGATGGTGTATACCTGTAATCTCAGCCCTGAGAAATCAAAAAGAGAAGCTAAGTATCCTACTGTACAATTTGAAATGCATTCTGTTAAAGGGAACATTATTTGGTGCTTCACTGTAATATCATAAGCACAGGGTAGAGTCAAGTTGAAATTTTTTCAGTATCTAAAATAGGAATGAATTCCAGGAAAAAAGATTATAAAAGTCTATTATGTGCTAGAAAGTTTACAATCCTGAAGTTTCTAGTTAACCACATATCTACCTACTCTAATTAAATTACTGGGCTGACCTGGGCTCAGACTCCACCAGTCAATTTATAATAGCTCACTTCTAACACAAGCAAGCTGACAGAAGTCTAGGTAACAGCTATAGAACTCTTGCAAATACCATATTAGAACCACAGATTTTTTTTTTTTTTTTTGTCGGTCGTGGGGCCTGAATTCTGGGTCTGGGCGCCATTCCTGAGCTCTTCAGCTCAAGGTTAGCGTTCTACCACTTGAGACACAATGCCACTTCCGGCTTTTTCTGCTTATGTGGTGCTGAGGAATCGAACCCAGGGCCTCATGCATGCAAGGCAAGCATTCTTACCACTGAGCCACCTTCCCAGCCCCGAAGCCACCGATTTTTTTTAAAGGTAACTCAAGCCAAAGTAGTGCCCTTCATTTCCCATTACAGAAGAGTTCTTAACTTCACATGCTTCACAGATTGTGCTCTGGCCACCATCTGCTCTGCTTCTCTTGGACAAGGTTCTAGATCTCATTGGCAACTTACCTTTTCCTAAATTTTACTTCCAGTGCAAAACTCTTGCTTTCTCCTTCCACAAGCAATATGAGGGGAAAAAATAGAACATTCTGGTTTTGAAACTACAGAGGGAAGACCCACACATGGGCTTCTAACATCTTAGATCTTATCACCTGAGAAGTGATAGACAAAATTCCGCCAATAGCTGAAAGTAAATTCAGGTTCAAAATTTTTTTCCAGTAGAAAATAATTAAATTAAATTATATATATATATATATATATATATATATATGAAACATTAACTAGTTTCATACATATTAAGACACAAGAGCAAGTGCAAGAGAGATCCTCATTTCAAATTAAGTAGTGCCTTGTTTACTGAGACCACAGAAGAATAGGGAAGAATGAATGCAATGTTCCTATGAACACCTTTTCCTGATCAAAGGTTTCCAAACTTGTTCTGTGAAGACAGAAGCATGACACACTCTGAGGAACACCACAAAATACCAACAAAGATATCATGTGAATCAGGAACAATTTACATAGGAATATGACCGTGATATATATTACAACATAAGCACTGTTAAACTAAGATAACCAGTAATCTGTTAATTTCCAGCTATGTGTTTTACAATTCTAGCATCAGTTAGTGCTCAACCACACTGAAGCACTACCTATGCCTACAAAAATAACACATTATGGAAGGAAAACTTATAAATGGAGGCAATGCTGTCCCTTATCTTCAGTGTATATTTTCAGGGCAGAGATGGGAACCGATGAATAGGAAAATCAAATGATATACTATGAATAACATTTAATTAGTCAGTCAATGTACCAGGAAATCCTAGATATTTTATTCTTAATTCAAATGACAAATAAAAGGCAGACTTTTTTAACTTTAGACATAAAGAAAATTAGATTACCAAACATTAAGAATCCTGTCCAAGATCATCTAGCTGGCAAATGACTATAGCTGATTAACCCTAAAATCAAGCCTCTTTCCCATACAGATCTCCCCATGAAAACGTAACTGAACCTTATAGCAACATTATCAACTCAGGCTGCATATTAAAATCCTGTCCAGAAGAGATACTATAATTTACATTTGCTGACAGTTCCCAAGTGACTTTGATACACAAAAGCTAAAAATCTATTATTTATGGTCATTATTAGCATAAAATACTAAAGACCATGCAATAAACATTTTAACAAACACATAGAACTGTCTGCCATTATAGAAATTATCTGTAGAAATGTTATTCTCTTTTTTTTTTTTTTTTTTGGGGGGGGGCCCCGGTCATGAGGCCTGAACTCTGGGCCTGGGCTCTGTCCCTCAGTTCTTCAGCTCAAGGCTAGCGCTCTTACCAATTGAGCCACAGCACCACTTCCGGCTTTTTTTCTTTTTGCTTATGTGGTGCTAAGGAATCGAACCCAGGGCCTCATGCATGCAAGGCAAGCACTCCACCACTGACCCACTTTCCCAGCCCCATTATTCTCTTTTTTAATAAATGTTCTTTCTCTAGCATCACTGTCAAACTGCCAGATATTATTGATCATTGTTATCAGGGTTCCTGGATCTATTAACACACCCTACCCACCACCAACCATCTAATTTATTATCTAGTATGTGGTGAAATGAGAGAACCATGCTAATTAAAATAGAAAACAAGTTTTATAGGAGAACCCATCTTATCAGTAAAGTACATGCACTTTTAGGGCATGAACTCAGTGGTATCAAATTTGGTTACTCATGGGTCTTTTCTGATTAATATCTGAGTCTTTGTTCCTGATTCTTAACTAAGTACAGTTCTTGATTCTTTGTTGCTGAGCCTACACACTTGTATATAAACTGTTATCTTGCTAGGAAATAATTACCCAAGTCTGCCTTTCTGCTTATGTACTTTATGAGTTCAGGAGCCACGTTTCATTCATCTTTGTACCCCAGGGCCTAACACAATGTCATGTGCACAGCAAGCTGTCAGTGAATATTAGCCTCCTAAATGACTCATGGGAGCTGCCACGAGTGAAGTTAATGACATATGGTAATTGTGGCAATATGGACATAAGCTTTCATGAAATAATAATGAGCCCTAAGGGTCTGACTGCTTAGCCAGAGCTTTACAAAGTGTTAGGGCTTTGGTAATATCATTGTAGTGGCACAGTCTGGGTGTTCTTCATCCCTACGGCTAACTTGATTTAATTCAATTTATTAACAAATACTTATTGGATCTGGTCATTTGGGATACAGTGGCGGATAAGAACTATCAGCTAGTTCTGCCTCCCCCATATTGAAAGAATGATCTTACTCTGTCTCTTTGGCTTCCAGCTAAGTTCAGGCCACTATCATCTCTACTGAAGTATTACAGTTAGTCTCCTTGTTTTATTTTCTGTATTTTCTTCCAATTCATTCTCCACAATGCCACAAAAGTAAGTTTTTTTTTAAAAAGTGAGTTAGGGGCTGGGAAGTTGGCTCAGTGGTAGAGCTCTTGCCTTGCATGCCTGAGGCCCTGGGTTCAATTCCTCAGCACCACATAAGCAAAAAGAAAAAAGCCGGAAGTGGCACTGTGGCTCAAGTGGTAGAGTGCTAGCCTTGAGCTGAAGAGCTGAGGGACAGCGCTCAGGCCCAGAGTTCAGGCCCCACGACTGGACCTCACTCTCTAATAGCCTATGCTAGCGGTACTGACCTACATGGAGTTCCTTTATCAGACTTTACCATCTTCTAGTTGGAAAGCTCAGATCTATTTTTTTTTTTTTTAATTCAAACAGCACTGAAGAAACTCAACTTATGAATTTGGTCTGACTGCTATAGTCACCCAAACGGTCTTTCCTCTTCTGGAAAGGAAGATACAAAAACACAAATGAACAGAGCTAATAACAAAGAAAAGGTTGGAAACTCAAGTTTCTTGAAAAAAGGTATCAAAGTCTCTGTGTCCTGGTACACACTAGCACTTGCACATTGTGGATCCTCAAAAACTTCTTGTTTCATTAATGACAAAAATGAATAGGAAAGCTAGGCGCTGGTGGCTTACACCTGTGATCCTAGCTACTCAGGAGGCTGAGATCTGAGGATTGCGGTTCAAAGCCAGCCAGGGCAGGAAACTCCATGAGACTCTTATCTCCAATTAACCACCAGCAGACATCTCAGAAAGAATGCAAGCCAATGTACACTGAAACTTCATCTTAAAGTAATGGGGGGAAATCAACCCATATAGTTTTATATCAAATGAAAAATTCTGGGGGCAGGGGGAGGCTGGGAAGGGATGGGAAGGGGAAACAAAGGAGGAGGCTACAATGCTTGATAAGAAATGTACTCATTATCTTGCCCATGTAATTGTAACCCCTCTGTACAGTATTTTCACAATAAAAAAAATTTAAAAAAAGAAAAATTCTTGAGCCGGGCGCTAGTGGCTCACGCCTGTAATCCTAGCTACTCAGGAGGCTGAGATCTGAGGATCGCGGTTCAAAGCCAGCCCGGGCAGGAGAGACTGTGAGACTCTTATCTCCAATAAACCACCAGAAAACCGGAAGTGGCGCTGTAGCTCAAGTGGTAGAGCGCTCGCCTTGAGCTGAAGAGCTGAGGGACAGCGCCCAGGCCCAGAGTTCAAGCCCCACGACAGACAAAAAAAAAGAAAAATTCTTTCAAAGGAAAGCAAAATAAGGACTTTCTCAGTCATACAAAAGTTAAATATAAAAGTGGAGTCATGGCTCAAGTGGTAGAGTGACGGTTGGTTTTTTTTTTGTTGTTTTGTTTTCTTGGGGTTTTTTGCTGGTCCTGGGGCTTTAACTAAGGGCCTGAGTGCTGTCCTTGAGCTTCTTTTGCTCAAGGCTAGTTCTCTACCACTTGAGCCACAGCGCCACTTATTGAAGATAAGAGTCTCATGGGCTTTCTGCCTGTGCTGGCTTCAAACCACGATCTTCAGATCTCGAAACAGGAAAGGAAAAAACAGAAAAAAAGAACAAAACAGAAAAGTCCACAAGACTCTTCTTATCTCCAAAAAGCTGAAAATAGAGCTGTGGCTCACGTGGTAGAGGGCTAGCTTTGAGTGAAAAAGCTAAGAGACAGAGCTCAGGCCCTGAGTTCAAGCACAAAAAGAAAACTTACATACTAACCCAGCATGGTGGTACATACCTGTAATCCTAGCACACAGGATGTGGAGGCAGGAAGTTCACGTTTACTATATAGCCTGTACAAAGTGAGATCTCGCCTCAAAAACAGGTAATTAAACTTTTAAAGAAAGAAAGCTGAAGTAGCTATTTTAAGACAAGATTAGATTTCAGAGCAAAGTATATCATCACGAACCAAAGAAATTTTTTAATATATCAACATGTACAACAGCTGGGTGGTAGTGGCTTTTAGAAGGCTGAGATCTGAGGATCAGAGTTTGAAGCCAGCCCAGGCAATCAACCAGGAAAAAAGCCAAAGTGAAGCTGGTTTTGCCCAACTGGTTGAGTGCCAGCCTTGAGCAAAAAAACTAAGCAAGAGCTCCAGACTATGAATTCAAGCTCCCACCCATGCCAGCACACACAAAGAAAAAAAAAAAAGTACAACAATTTTAAACATTTAAGCATCCAATAAGTCTCAGCCCACCAAGTAAGAAAATAGAAAGATTCCTTTCATGGTTAAAATGCAGTATCAACATTCCTGAACTAAAACTGAACACAGTCAAAATGGGGCTTAGGATATTAAGCAATAAGTAACATGGAATTTTGATAAGAGTATAATATCTCCCTAAAGGGCCAAAGGTACTGAATCCAAAACCTTATCAAAATGTTTATGACATCAGTGCCTTGCTGATCAAAGTGATCTAAAGCTGACTCACCTTTCATATTGTCTATCTCTTGGTAATGAGGCTCCCCAATGTCGTAAGTCCATGATCAGCATAAGTAAAAGGAGACAGGATATGAAGAAGAGTACCAGGAATGCCACCCGCTGACGGAGAAATGGGCTCACTGTGGGCACAGTGAAGTACCAGGAAGGTGGGCAGAGGTAGGAAAAACTGATCCTAAAATGAGACAAATAGTTAAGTGCTTACAAACAATTCAATGCTTAGATTTTTTCTTTTGGTGGCGGTAGGGCTTGGACTCAGGGCCTGGGCTCTGTCCCTGAGTTCTTTTGCTCAGGGCTAGCACTCTACCACATTGAGCCACAGCTCCACTTCCAGTTTTCTGGTGTTTAATTGGAGATAAGAATCTCATGGACTTTCCTGCGGAGGCTGGCTTTACACTGTGATCCTCAGATCTCAGCCTCCTGAGCAGTTAGTATTACAGTCATGAGCCACCAGCTCCTAGCATTAAAAGCATTTCTTAAAGTGGATAACAGACTCCCTAATAAAGTCAAAGCTTTATGCCAACCTAAGTCTAAACATTCTTTTAGTCTTGAATTTTAGAAAAGGACCTACACAGTCCATGCAAATCAGAAAAACCTTATCTTCTCTCAAACTTTGGATTGTAAGTATAATTCAAAGAATTAACCTCCTAATAATGAAAAGATTACCAGAGTCCTGAAGTGACTTGGCAATACTGGAGAATCAGATCAACCACAACATTCACAAGGAATGCTATCAAGACCCAGGACAGTCAGAAGTTATTCCACTGGTTTTTAAGTGTTCTCATAGATTATGTACGCACATAACTTTAAAATCAGTTTAAAAGGATAGATTGTGAAAAGTGGACCTTTTATCCTAACACTTTCTATCTCTCAGAGTCAGCTACTGGTAACCAGTTTCTATGTATTTTTCCAGAGATATTCTATGGACACACAGGTATAATTACAAAACAATACATATGGTAAATTTCCTCTGTGCTTTGCCAAGGTAGTAGGTCACTACTGCTCTGCATCTTTCCTAAATTTCACTCTATTTTAAAATGGTCCCATGTTGGGACATGTAGTTTCCACATCAATCCTTTAAAAAAAAAAACCCTTCAGAATCTGGGTGCTGATGGCTCATGCCTGTAATCCTCGCTAGTGAGGAAGAGATCTGAGAATGGCAGTCAGAAGCCAGCCCCAGCTTGAAAGACTGTGAGACTCCTATCTCCAATAAACCACCAAAAAGTGGTAGAGCACTGGCCTTGAGCACAAAAGTTTAGGGACAGCACCTAAGCTCTGAGTTAAAGCCTCAAGACAGGAACCAAAAATAAATCTTCAGAGTATTATAATGTATGGATAAGTGTATTCACTTGTGAAGCTAGCTCACTTTTTCCAGTGATCCAAAACATCCTAAATCTATCTGCATTTTAATTTAATTTGTTTATTTGTTGGTCGTAGGGCTTGAACTCAGGGCCTGAATGCTGTTCCTGAGTGAGCTCTTTTGCTAGAGCTCTATCACTTTGAGCCAAAGCTCCACTTGTGATTTTCTGATGGTTAAATGGAGATGAGACTCTCACGGAATTTCTTACCCACGCTGGCTTTGAACTGCGATCCTCAGACCTCAACCACCTGAGTAGCTAAGATTACAAGTATGAGCCACCAGAGCATGGCTTATCTGCTTTTTTAAAAGGTGGGGAGGGAGCCTCTTTGTTAAAATCCATCAGGGGACCCCTCGCTTCATTAGGATTAGAACTTTCAAAGAGCATTTTTACAAGGCATCACTTTGCAGATCTAAACCAGCAGACTTCCTCTACAACCTCATGGTTATGGACTGGAAACTATTACATCTACCATCAAATAAAATGAATAAAATATGCCTTTGGCCTTCTTTGCATATACCTGACCAGGATGCAAAGTCCAGGTGCAGTCCCAGGGCAAGTCCCACCAGTCAGAGCTTGCAGATGGGGGTGATGGGACAACCTGGCTACCACCCTTCCCAGAGTCCCCTGCTAGGGAGAAAGTGTGCAGCCTTACCTAGCCATGGGTTCCCCTCAGTGGTCTCAACGTCTGTCACCTTCTTTTCCTTCTGCCCTGAGAAGGTGGCCTCCTTGTCCCAGGCATCTCCCAAGGCTGCAACCTGGAAAGAGTTGGCTGGGTGTCAGGCTTCTCGCTGGCCCACGAGACAGTACCTCCGGCCAGAATTCCAAGTCGCCCTCGCCCTGGCCGGGCTCTCGTTCCTCAGGCCCCGCGGACCCCAGCCGGCATCCTGGAAGCAGGGCGTTCTCGCGGGCCAGCCCGGCCCTGAAGAATCTGCCGTCCTCAGATGACAGGGATGGAGCGTGCTCGTTTCCTCTCCCTGTCCCTCCCTGTCCCGAAGCTCCTCCGCGCTCCCACTCACGGGATCCAGCGGCACCCTTCCAGCTCTGCCACCACGGCTCAAGCACCGCAGCCTCCAGACCAGCCGGAAGGAGGGCCCGCGCCGCCGGCGGCGCCACGTCCCCAAGGAAACCGCACCGAGCCAATGACTGCCAGGGGACCCGCTAGAGAAGCCCGCCCCTCACGCAACCATAGCCACGGGCGAATCCACGGCGTCGGCAGCACGTCCGTTCGCCAGAGTAGCCAATCCTCGATAAGGGAAAACCACTAATGCCCGCCCGGAGACTTCTAGCCGCGCCCAATAGGAAAAGCATCGGCCGAGGCTCCGCCTAGAGGGGCGGGTGGTGGGCACACAGGTGAGCTGCGCTGGACCGACATCTCGGCACCAGCTGTTTTCAGTGGCTCTGGTTGTTTCTGCTTCTGCTCCCAGAACCTGGCCCCAGCCGCTCCAGTGGGTGAGTCCGCTACACTGCAGCGTATTCGTTGCAGAAGTGCACCCCCGACCCATAACTAACATATGATGTTCTTAGTCTTCTTTGCTTTCACCAGCCCCATCTTTCATTTGCAGGAAGGGACAGCATAAAGCCTAAACCTTTTCGAACGTGTCACGTCTGTCATCTACCGGCTCAAAGGTAACTTTCCTCACTTCTCTTACTCCAGCAGGATACCCTTGTGTGAATTGCTTGTTCTGCCCCTCCACTTGCCCCTCCACGATGCCCACTCCTCTTCCCTTTTAACTCAAGGGTCATCTTCCTCCAAAAGCCTTACCTCGCCCCTACCTCCTTTATACATGCCGTCTGTTGCATCTATCACTTTGAATTGCAATTATATTGGTCTGTCTGCCCTAGTAGCCAGAATATTCTTGAGGGCAAGACTATCTGCCTCTTATCTCTGTTCCCAGAGCGAGCCCACCCTCAGGGACATCAAATACAATTAATATGTGATAAATGAATGAGTGTGGTGAAAAAACAAAGACCACCTAAATGAGATCAAAGAGGCTTCCTTCCCCCTTCCCCCCCCCAAAAAAAAGCTGGCTATAACCAGGAAATCAGTCACTGTCACTGGGTTGACAGAAGCTCAAAGACTGTCAGTGGAGTGAGGAAGCTTAATAGTAAAAAGGGGAGTGAGTTCATGTACACTCTGACTTGAGTGTATTGGGGAAAGTAAAGGTTGGTTAAAAACATATTAGACAGATTTAAGAGAACATATTCTATCTCAGCTTGGTTCTGAGTTGGAGAAAGAGGGGCAAAAATATCCACATTGACCATAACTTACTGGGTCCTGATCATTCTGCACTGCTTGCCACAGAAGTTGTGGGTCAGAGTTCTAACTGAAATATAATCTGGCTATTGTCTAGTTTGTATATTCAATATGACTATTGTTTTCTCCTTCTACCACTCCCTTAACCTGGTGGTCTCAACCCATCCTTTCTTCTTCAATTCTCATTTCTCTTCTATCTCCAGTCCTCACACATAACTCACCTGAGCCTAGAAACCACACTGAACAAAACAGACGATGCATCAAGGTTGATAATAAACGCAAAATTATATTGACATCAATATTTACATCAGAGCTCAGTTCAGTACCTAAACCAAAATAGACAAAGAACTCAAAAAAGTTTTGGTTTCTCTCATATCTATAAACTGTGTGTGTGTGTGTGTGTGTGTGTGTGTGTGTGTGTGTATAATGAATGTGAATATGGGATTTTTTTGTGGGGATGAGCAGAAGAGAGGAGAGGAAAAGAGAATTATGAGAGGTCAATGATATCAAAATACATTGTATCTGTTATGAAGATGGCACTATTAAACACAAAAGTATTTAAAATAGTGTGTGGTTAGGGAAAAGAAATAGCAATAGCAGGGGCTAAACTGATCAAAATACAATATATGCATGCATGAAAGTACCAAGATAAAAACCCTTTATAATATTAATACACACTAATAAAAATGTTTTGGATTTTTAAAATTTTATTGAAATTGCCTTTGTGACTACTAAGTCTATCTATATCTCTCTATATATTTTTTTCAAACTCCAGTGTTCCACAAAATGGATGCTTTAAAGGTAAATATAATCCCTGTCTAATTTAAAGCAATATTTAATTCATAGGATTTAAGAACTACATTAGCTTACACTGCAACATCCTCCACAATTAAGATAATGTGAATAACTGCTGTCATAAAAGAAAAGAGGGGCTGGGAAGGTGGCTAAGTGGTAGAGTGCTTGCCTCGCATGCATGAGGCCCTGGGTTCAATTCCTCAGCACCACATAAAAAGAAAAGGCCAGATATGGCACTGTGGCTCAATTGATAGAGTGCTAGCTTTGAACTAAAGAGCTCAGGAACAGTGCCCAGTCTCCACTCTTAAGATTTTATTACTTTTCCTTTTTGCAAAATATTGAGTTTAGTTTGGACAATAGGATTATCATGTAATGAGTCCATATGCCATCAGGCATTTCTTAAGTGTGAGTCTCTCTAAAACTCTGTAATGCTTATTAGGATGATTATTATTGTATGATTAAAAGCTCACATGGCTGAGTTCTGGGATTTCCACAAAACAGACCAAATAAAAAATGGTTGAGATGATTTCTATTTGCTGTAATTCAGCACTCTGAAACAAATTATAGAAACCCATATTTCCAAACAGGCATAACTTCTCTTTAAAGCTCTTCTACAATTACACTGGTAATTTTGTCAAGATGCTATTGCTGCCCGGTCATAAGCAAAGTCAGTCAAACCCGTCCCACACTAGGTGTCAGTCTTCTTAGCTTCATTTACCAGTTCTTTCCTCCATACTTGATCATGCTCTCAGCTCTATAAAGGAGTTTATGTAGCCTTCACTCTAGCAAGTTTGTTCATCACGTATCCTTATAGCACCTCACTGTTTAAAACCAGACTTTTATCTCCCTTCTTTCACCCAAACTTCCTCCATCCTTATTCCCATCTTTAACAAAATTCCCTATGACTCACCCAAGCAGGAACCTGTGAGTCATTCTTCTTTCTGTTTTCTCCATTTCCATTCAACTGGTCATTAAGTGTTCTTAATTCAAATGCCTAAAATCTTTTCTAATACCGCTTGACAAGGATTGTAGATAATGGCTGTGCCTCTAGACACAGCTCCTTCTGAGTTCCCAATCTCCAATATGAGAGTATTGTAAGATTTAATCATGGTACTTCTACACTTAAATTCCTTCAATGATTCCTTATCCCAACAGGATATCATCTAAATTCCAAAACATGGTGTGGTAGATTTTGCTGACTGGTCCCAAAACTAATACTCTCTCTTCTGCCTTGTTGAGTAACCACATCCCAATGCCTGGCTGTGTTTGAAAAGTGCTAGGCTCCTACCCAGCCCTAAGGATTAAAAAGTCTAGGCTGTATGGCTGGACACTTCAGCTCCACTTACTGGTTTACTGTCTCCCTACATCTAGAATAACAACCCATCTTAGCAACAATTTGCTCTAGCATGAAAAAGTAATATTTATACATATGAGAACATTTTTATTTTATTTATTTATTTATGTTGGTCGTGGGGCCTGAACTCTGGGACTGGGTGCTGTCCCTGAGCTCTTCAGCTTAAGGCTAGCATTCTACCACAGACACAGTGCCACTTCTGGCTTTTTCTGCTTATGTGGTGCTGAGGAATTGAACCCAGGGCCTCATGCATGCAAGGCAAGCCCTCTACCACTGAGCCACTTTCCCAGCCCCAAGACAATTTTTTAAAAATTATTTACTGGGTGTGGTAGCAAGTGCCTGTAATCCCTTTACTTGGGAGATTGAGGCAGAAGGATTTGATTACAAGTTTGAAGCTAGCCTACACTGTGTGTGTGTGTGTGTGTGTAGTTAAATTAAAAACTGATAGCCAAGACCTAATAAAACATAAAAACTAATATGAAGTTAGTAAGAAAAGATATGATATGGATTTGATAAAGATTTCTTAGATTCTACAGCAAAATCAAGATCTACAAAAGAAAACTCTAAAAAATGAAGATCTACCCTTCAAAATACAGTACTGGGAAAATGAAAAGCCACACAGAGGTAAAAAAAAAATCTTTGTAAGGGGCTGGGAAAGTGGATGAGTGCTTGCCTCACATGCATGAGGCCCTGGGTTCGATTCCTCAGCACCACATAAATAGAAAAAGCCGGAGCTGGCGCTGTGGCTCAAGTAGAGCACTAGCCTTGAGCTGAAGAGCTGAGGGACAGTACCTAGGCCCAGAGTTCAAGCCCCAGGATAGACCAAAAAAAAAAAAAAAAACTTTGTAAACTACAATCTGATAAGGGACTTGAATATGAAAATGAATTCTCAAAACAAAAGGGGGAAGCTGAGCACCAGTGGCTCACATCTATAATCTTAGCTATTCAGAAAGCTGAGACCTGAGGATCGCCGTTTGAAGGCAGCGTAGGCCAAAAAGTACATGAGACTCATATTTCCAATAAACTACTCAGAAAAAGCTGGAAATGGCACTGTGGCTCAAGTGGTAAAGGACTATCTTTGAGCATAGAGAAGCTTGGGGACAGCGCCCAGGCCCTGAGTTCCAGACCCAGGACTGACAAAAACAAAAAAAAAGGTGTGTGTATGTCGGGGTGGGGTGGAAAGGAATGAACAAAAGTGAACAAAAAATTGGTACTTCATCAAAAAAAGATGATGGCAAATGAGCACAGATGTTCAGTTTCAACCTCATTTGTCATTAGGGAAATGCAAATTAAAACTACAATGAGATATTATATATCCACTAGAATGGCTATTAAACAAACATGCAATAATTTGCCAAGAACAGAGTGGTACCATGTCATGAAGATCTTTAAGCTGCTCTCTGGAAAGACCCACATGAAGAGGAACAGATGATACCTGCCAATAGCCAGCCACAATTTATCCCAGCCTAGCAAGATTTCAGATTCTGTAGCCCCAGCCAACTGTAACAGGTTCCTCACCCACAGAAATGATAACAAATGTTTATTGTTTTAAGCTGCTGAGTTTCATGGTAATTTGTCATGAAACAATAGATAACTAATATACTACCACACGGGCTTAAAATAAATAAGCTATACTTTGGCTGGCACATAGGAAGCTCTTCA